TCACTCCAAATGCCATTCTCACTCAAAAAATCAATTTAGTTTCTGCTCCTCCTGGAGACTTTATTGCAAAAGACTTGTTCCGGAAACAATGGAGACAAGTACAAAGTCTGGCCGACTCCTTCTGGAAGCGTTGGCGAGAGGAGTATCTTACAATACTGCAACCGAGAAGAAAATGGCAAGCAGACCAACCAAACTTGGCTATCGGAGATGTTGTTCTCTTAAAAGACTCACAAGTTAAAAGAAACGAATGGCCTACCGGGCTGGTTGTGAACACCTATCCAGGTAGAGACAACAGAGTGCGTAAAATAGATGTTCGAGTAGTTAAAGAAGGCACTCCGAAGGTATATACAAGACCTATTTCAGATGTTGTGTTATTGATTAAAGTATAGTGGTATTGCAGTATACCAGGCGGGGAGTGTTCTGCCTCAGTTGATAAAAATAAATAAATAAATAGTTTTGACTTTATCTGTTTTGTCTACTGCAGCTACCGTAGCGGCCATATTGTTTTAGGCTTTTCAACTGCCAGTGTCAACTGTCAATGTCTTCTGCCAGTGTTTTTGTTTTAGCTGTTCTTGTCAGTTTTTTATTCCTGTGAACTGTTTTTGGGCCTATAGAAATATCTGTCTGTGAGTATTGTAACACCATAACATACTAACTCACTCTATGAGGCACTTTGAATTGTTTTATTTTTGAGATCCCTGATAAAATGTAATATGCTAGTAGCGTTAGCCTTTCTAAGGAGATTACTATTGATGTTAGCATGATGCTAATTGGCTGTCGTATAGATGTTTTTTGTGATGTTGTTGATATTGTTGTATATATTTTGAATTGTTGAGTTGCCCTATGTTGTTTTATATAGCTCTGATTATTATTTGTTTGTTGAAATGTGAAGATAAAATTGTAATATGGATTTATTTTTTGTATGTTACAGTTTTACAGTCAACCTTCAGTAAATATCCAAAACAGCAAGAGGCTTCCTGGGTGCTTATTGAGGATACTGTTCGCTATCTGTAAAGCTAGTTCCGAAACGCTAGTGGAGGCAGAATAATAACATTAATCACTGTTCAGTTCTATGGAGGACAATCCTAAGAAGAGGTCATCATACTGAACTTTTTAAAATTCAGACAACCATGCACACAATAATGAACAAATACTCTGTAATCTGTACCTAATAAAGTGCATTTGGCTATTGGATATAAAATGTAATAAATAATTCTTTAATGTTCAAGTTAGTTTTATGTGATGTGATTTTTATGAATGTTTTGGTTAAATACGCTCTTCCAGTAATAGTATGGTGCAGACAAATGTACAGACAGACATAAAGCATTAATCTGAAAAAGTGGAAAGACCCAAAGAAACAGAGAGGGCATGCAGACTCCAACAGAGAGAGAGTCACAAACCCACATGTCCAACGGCTCTAGCACCAAGCTACAAATGTGACGATTTTGTTTACGCTAGCTTGCAATTTCCTGTTTTTTAACGTCTCTAGTGTTACTGAAGTGAAAATGCACAAGAATGTTGGGACCATATGGCTTTTGCTGAGCTTTTACAAAATTATTTTTCCTCTGACTCCAGTGACCAATTGTTCTAACCTCTTTAATAATATGTTGGTAACACCACTACAAATATAGCAGCACACAGGTTTAAATTAAGAAATATATTTTTCATTTTCAATTTGAAAAAGGTTGGTCACAGTTATACTTTCAATTAGTATTCCAATTCAAGTAAACAATTTCAGGAACAAAGGTATCGTATTTTCTGGACGAAAAGCCGCTACTTTTTCCCTAGATTTTGAACCATGAGGCTTAAATAAAGGTGCGGCTATTCTGTGGATTTTTCTTCCACCGCTAGGGGCGCTCTAACCGGAATTAGAATAAAAAATAAGATAGACGAAAAATCAATGCAAAGAAGAATACGGTACTTTTTCTTCAGCAGATAGAACACGCACGAGAAATTACCAATTAGTAATTATTTTAAAATCCTCGCTCCTTCATCATGGAAATGGCACGAAGAAGTTCGTATGATGCACGTTTTAAGCTGAAGGCCATCGATCTTGCTATCCAGTAAGGAAACCGCGCTGCTGCACGCAAGCTTAGCATCAATGAATCTATGGTGAGACGATGGAGGCGTCAGCGTGAAGAGCTCATACAATGCCAAAAGTCAAAAAAGGCTTTCAGAGGACATAAAAGCAGGTGGCCTGAACTTGAAAATGTCCTGGAGGACTGGGTGAACACACAGAGAGCAGGTGGCCAAGGTGTATCCACTGTACAGATCCGACTGAAAGCCAAAACAATTGCCCGCGAAATGAATTTTGAAGATTTTAAAGCTGGGCCGTCATGGTGTTTCCGATTTATGAGACGTAAAAACCTGTCCATTAGGGCACGGACCACTCTCTGTCAGCAACTCCCCGCTGACTATCAGGAAAAAGTTGAAAATTTCCACAAATTCGTTGAAACAAAGATACAAGAAAACTCCATCAGACCAGACGACATCATAAATATGGATGAAGTACCTTTGACGTTTGATCTGCCTCCAACCAGGACTGTTAACAAGACAGGTGCATCATCCGTGTTGTTGAAAACAACTGGCCACGAGAGAACGCACTTCACCTGCGTTCTGGCATGCACGGCATCCGGACAAAAACTTCCTCCAATGGTGATTTTTAAGCGGATAACTATGCCGAAAGAACAACTTCCGAAAGGCATTGTGGTCAAAGTTAATACCAAAGGGTGGATGATGGAAGGCCTAATGAAGGAATGGTTAACGGAGTGCTACGGCAAGCGCTCGGGAGGATTTTTTCACCAGAAAAAAGCGCTGCTTGTTTTGGATAGCATGAGGGCCCACATCACAGATTCTGTGAAAGCAGCGATCAAGAAAACAAACTCCATTCCAGCTGTGATTCCTGGAGGTTTTTATTTTTTATTTTTATTTTATTTTTATTTTTTTTTGTGATTCCTGGAGGTACAACAAAGTATTTGCAGCCACTTGACATCAGTGTGAATCGGGCATTTAAAGCCGCTCTCCGGGTTGAGTGGGAGACTTGGATGACAAGTGGCGAAAAGTCATTCACAAAAACTGGCCGCATGCGAAAAGCATCCTTTTCTGATGTCTGTCAGTGGATCCTAACAGCGTGGAGTGCTGTGAAAGAATCCACCATCACCAAGGGGTTCCGAAAGGCTGGACTACTATGCGAAGAGAACGGCGTCCCTTCAGAGCCAACTTCACCGGAGGATGACAGTGGCACGGAGAGCGAAACTGATGGAGACAGATGTGACGAAGCGCTTCTGAGGTTGTTCAACTCCTAAACTGAAGAAGAGGACTTCATGGGTTTCAGCGAAGATAATCCGTGTATCATTCGTTCATTTGTTTTTCAATATAAAACCAAAAATAGGAAAACGAAAAAACAACTGTTTTCTTCGCTATTTGTCTCCAAAACCAAAATGAAAAAACGGATAACGATTCGTTTTTTCAGTTTTCGATTTTGTGTTTAAATGAAGAATGGAAAAAACGGATAACGGCCGTTTCCCGTTTACGTGACTTCCGTGACTGCGATGGCGAAATTTTGCACCGGGTACGAACTGAATCAGGACGGATCCAGGTCCGAGACCAGACCGAGACCAGAGCGGGACTGAGACCGGCACCACACCGGGACCAGAGCGGAACTGAGACCGAGACCAGTGGTCCGAGTGGTTCTGTGTCATCGTCTCCGCGCTGGTTCCGTGCGGGGAAAGTGAGAATGTTCTGTGGACTACAGGTCCGGACGGGCTGCTCCGGTCTGGTTCCGAGGTGGTGCAAAGCATCAAACTGACGCTTTCACACCAACGAAAACGAACCCAACTAAGAGCTTTTGGTTAAAATGGACCAGGTCCGGGACCAGACCGGGACCAGAGCGCTACTGAGACTGGGACCAGACCGGGACCAGAGCGGGCCTGAGACAGAGACAAGACCGAGACCAGATCGGAGGCTCAGAGCCCACGGCAGGGCCGGAGCTCGAAGCTGAGGCTCGGACCCTGCGGAGGCTCAGAGTCAAAGCTTGGAGTCCGCCCCAGTCCCGCTCTGGTCCCGGTCTGGTCCCGCTCTGGTCCTGGTCTGGTCCCGCTCTGGTCCTGGTCTGGTCCCGCTCTAGTCCCGCTCTAGTCCCGGTCTGGTCTCGGACCTGGATCAGTCCTGGTTCAGTCCGTACCCGGTGCAAAAGTTCGGCATCGCAGTCACGGAAGTCACGTAAACGGGAAACGGCCGTTATCCGTTTTTTCCATTCTTCATTTAAACACAAAATCGAAAACTGAAAAAACGAATCGTTATCCGTTTTTTCATTTTGGTTTTGGAGACAAATAACGAAGAAAACTGTTGTTTTTTTGTTTTCTTATTTTTGGTTTTATATTGAAAAACGAATGAACGAATGATACACGGATTTAAGATGATTAAAGTGACTTGTGGTTTCAAACACAAGAGAAATTAAGGTAAATAAATACCGGTTATTTTCTCTTGGTTCTGTTCCGTTTTAATTAGCAAAGTTGTTGCCGTGTTAAAAGGCACTGTTTAAAGAATCTGTTCAGGTACATACATGTACATTTACAGTACAAAATCGTTCTGTACATGCAGTAAATATCAAATTTTTCAACATAGATATCTGCGGCTTATAGCCTGGTGCGGCTTGTATATCCTTATTTTTAAAAACAGAGCGGATGCGGCTTTTATACAGGTGCGCTCTTTCGTCCAGAAAATACGGTATTTGAACAAAGGTCATGACATGAACTAAAAGTGGGTGAAAACAGGACAGTTGTGAGTTTACATGTGGCACATATGACAAATGTAAAACAACACTCGTGGTAGTTAAAATCCTTGGCTCAGCCCTTCATGAGGGCAATCTGGACAGGTACAGTTAAGGTCCAAATCTTATGTGTGCTGGCTTTTGCTTTTCCCTGGGTGGCCCTTGGAGTGCCTAGAGCTCCGCTTGCTACTGCCCCCAGACAGGCTCCCAGACTCAGATGAAGTCTTACATGACAGAGTTCCAGGCATGATGTCCTCCTCCAGCTCCTCCATGTCGTCAGTCATGATGAAGTGCTGTGGCGTGGCTCTTCCTCCCATGAAGCTGGGGTCCAAGTTGAGAGCCGAGGCCAGTGAGGGCAGCCCGGGGTTGTTGACGATGGTGAATCCTGCGAGGATCTCGATCTGCTGCCACCGGTGCAGTCTCTCCCTCAGAGCAGCCGTCACTTCACCCAGAGCCTGCCTGGAAAAAAAAACAAAAAAACACATAAAGACATTATCAAAAAAACATTATGTAATGAATGCTCAATATAATACAAATGGAGAGAAAACTATTTGGGATCTATTGTGCAACCCTTTCTGGTTGTGTCAGATTATAGTGAATTAATCTAAATTTGAGTTGGCACAATTATCAAGTCACAAAGCCTGAAATTATTTTGATCATAAACCTTGAACTGCAAAAAAAACAGCAACTGTAGTTTAGACCTCTGCAAACATGGTAAACAATAAATTATCACATTTTATATAGTGCTTTTCCACCTTCAAGGCACTCAGAGTGTTTTACAACAAGGAACCACTCACCCATTCAGACACACATTCATATACCAATGTACGCAGACACAGTGAGCGAGGTGGAATCGCACCGCCAACCTGTGGGTCAGTGGATCTGAGCTCTCAACCAGTGATGTTTATGTCGAGAGCAGGATTCTAACTAAACTTCAGATCAGTGGACAAACGCTCTACTAACTAAGCCACTGCTGCTCCAAATGATCCAAAATGCAAGGGATTTGTATTAGTATTAACAGTTCATATTTCAGTCTTCTCTAAAATGTTAATGTTCCTGGAGTTACATACAATATTCCCTCTACCCCAGGGGTGCTCAAACTTTTTAGCCAAGGTCCAAGTCCAACTTCAAAGTCAGGTCCAAAGCTCCAGACACTCCTCCCCTTTTTTATGTTTGACAAATACTTTAAATATCATTTAATTATTTATTTAAATGAACTAATTTAATAGTATTTAACATGTTTAATATGCTGTTATTTTAAGAATAGGCCTATTGATTTTACTGACGTTGACAATGTAAATATATTTATTTTTAATCTGAACTGTGTCTTACTTTGCTGCCAATATTTTGTGGTCCACATCATCCAGAGAAGAGCTATGAGCCACGTGGAAAGTCCCAAAGAGAGTGTTCCTCTTTTTCTTGATCTTTTCAGCCTGTAATAAAACAACACTGACATTAGTATGGGCACTACAGCAGGCATTCATAACACTTGTGTTGCATGAGATGCATACCCCTTCTTTGGCCACTAGGAGCTGCCGTTCTGCGTTCTGTTTCTTGATGTTGTAGTACTGCACTTCTACCTCATGTGTGAGCTGCAGCCACTTCTGGAGAGGCTCAGGGGGAGACCAGCCGCTTCGGGACTCCAGCTCTTTCTCAGCCTTCTTCAAAGCCATGCGAACCTATGCAAATGATCAGTTATCTTCACATGTTATGTAAGAAATTATATAAAAATGACATTTTACAAAACCTGCTGTACTAAATCACCTAAAGAATATTAACGCTCTTGTTCAGATATTACATGGAAAAATAATAAAATGCTCCTATCACGGGTGTGCAATATTGTACGTAATGAATATATTTTTTTATATTTTTTCTTAAAACCCATAGTCAAGATATTCTATTTTGTATATCTTCAAAACTATGATTTCCATTTGGTTCTATTCCATTATGTTTCCATTTAGTCATATCAACCACCTCTGGCTCATATTAACAACACAATTGGTCATTACTCTCTTAGTCAGCCAACATTTTAATAAGTTGACTAATTGTTTTATTAGGATTATAAAAAATACACGCACATATGCACAAGAGCAGAAAAGAGAGGGCATGGAGTGAGGTAACCAGTGTTTCTGAAGTGTTTCTCTTTATATCTTCTTAAATGTGAACATGTTTACTGCATAGCTGTTACAGTGGAAGTGCTGTTTGGATCTGATGCATGCATGCAGAGATAATTTGCCACACCCCTTTTTATTGAGCCCTAATAATATAATGCCAATAAAACATCTTGATTATATGGGTAATTAGTGATAACGTAAGTCCACCCTGGGAAAAACGTACTGTATTTATTCTGACAGAATGATTTATAGTAATACCTGTTCTAGCTCCTCCTCAGCGTACTTCTGGCGGCTCAGCTCGTTCTCGGTGCCCTCTCTGAGCTCCCTCAGGCGTTGGGCTTCCTGTTTGGCAGCGTTGATCTCATCTCTCAGCTTCTGCTCCAGGTTCACCTTCTCCACCTCCACAGTGCGGTGCTCCTCCTGCGCTATCTGTAACCTGGAGAGCAGCGTAGGCACAAGGGGAGTAAGTGCAGTGTAGAATTTACTTTGCGATAAAAGAAGCAAAACAAGAATAAACTGAGATCAATACATTAATTGGGAGATGTGGAGAGTGTCACCAAGCTGTATTTTGTTTCATTCAGACATTTCTTAACACATAAAACATGCAAATTTGGGCTGACTTCTTATCTCAAACTGAAAACACTCTGTTCCACCTTGTGATGCTATGTGGCAGGAAGTGCTCCACTGTGATTTTATACTCCATATATGTTCACTAGAATCATTTTAGATGACTTCAGCCCTGGAATGGCCAATCTCTACAGGTAAAAGGTAGCCGTTTACTTGAAAATTACATGTTATCACAAAGTGAAACAGAGCATTTTGAGCTTTAGAGATGTAAACAGACTAATAATAAAAGGTTACTCAAACATGGGTGAATGAAACAAAACACAATTCCAGGTACGTAGTTGAGGAGGTAACATTATTATAGCAATGTAGCCAATGAGGACCAACCCTTCTGGACTGAAATTTGTGCTGACAAAGTGTTAAACTTTGTAGCAGTTTTCTTCATTGAAATAAGCCCAGTAAATACATAATCTTAACCAACAAATCAGTCTTTCACTAGATGGCCCAAAAATGTTGTGAAAGAAAAATACACATCTAATGAATAATATGAAATGGTTATTATTATTATTATGAGGGGTATTGTTTTTGCTCGGTTTCTTACGCTCTGCCCTCGCCACTAACAAAGTTAGGGGCGAGGGGTATTGTTTTTCGTCGGTTTCTTATAATTCTTATTTTTATTATTTTTTTCCTTGCAAACGATCGCGATTTTGAGGGCCTAAACATCGACGAAAAGTCCCCAAACCGGGCATCAGATCGATCGGCCCGGTGAAAAATTTGATAAAATGGGCATCGCGACAATGCCCAAAGTCCCCCCACTCAACAGCGCCCCCTAGAAAATGCACATTTTGAGATGAATGGGAGTCTGAGAGGCAAATTCTGTCGTACGGTCACGAAATTCGGAGCAGTGATAGAACTCTAGGAGACAAGCGAAAAAGCCAATCATTGTGCACCCCTACGACGAACAGGAAGTCGGCCATATTGGATCAAACATTCGGCGCCGTTTTGACTTGGGGGTCGCGAGTCCCCGGCATTCGCCAGGGGGGGCGGTGCGCGCCCGGGGCGAGGGCCACCATCGCCGCGCGCGGCTTTAATTATTATTATTATTATGATTATTATGATTATTATTATGATTATTATGATTATTATTATTATTTAAATTAAAGGTGCATTGTGTAACTTTTCTGGTGGAGGGTCGATCAAATGCTTTTCTAATGAAGACGTTATTGCTTTGTCTGAAATGTTTCACAGTATGGCATTAAACCTTTCTATCATCGTGGGAACCAAACCAGACCAAGTTACAGGTCAGATTTGTGGAGAGGCACAGTCACAGTCAGACAGATTTTCTAGGTATTTTTGAGCAGTAAAAAAACTGTAATTGAATAAATATAAAATAGATCTGTTCAATGTCATAGTGTGGAACATTTCAAGCAGAGCAATGACATATCCATAGAAACAAGCAGGGGACAAAAAGTTATATAATGCACCTTTAATTAGTCTTAAAACGCATGTCATGATTACTTCACATCTTCCATAACAAATATGTAACCGGAAACAATGGATAACCCAGAGACAACACAGTGCGGTTCAGCTGCTCGGCAACTCAGTAATGTGTCATGAGCGGTCGGAACGAGGAATGGGCAGCTGTCAGCATGCCATTTCCCACCAGCACAGTAGAAACACTGGGGATGTCAACAGGGATATTTTTACACCAGACTATTAAACCATCTCCCAGCCACTGTCAGAGGGGCCCGCAAAACATTACATAATTATGAGCACACATACTTACGACAGGGGACTGTTCAAAGGTCTGGAAAAAGTACTATTAAAGTAGTCACTGAAAATGTGTTTGTGTGTCTTCTTTTCAGATAATTATTAACACATTACAAGTAACAAAAACATTACTCTTCTGGAAATGGTATTGCAATGCAGGTATTATTAAAAAAGAAGACAATTCATATTTTTATTTGCTCTATTAAATTACAAAAAGTGCAAGTACAAAATGTGACTTACTTCTGAATTATATGTTCAACGTGTACTATAACTACTTCTGTCTCACTTATCTAATCTTCAATGACTTTTAATCTCAAAGCCTTAGTAACAAAATGTATCCTTAACTGAAAGTACTGTTTCAAATAGCCCCATTGCAATTCACCTTTTTATATTTTTTTCCCAAAATCAAGCAAACATCTGAGGATTACTAATACCACTTGACCACAGAAAAATTGTACAGGCTATTACAAGGACAAACAAACAATGAAGCAAAGCTATTTAACAGACACTAGAGGGCAGCACTCGCCAGCGTGAATACCTCGTCCAGCCAAAAAGTCCAGAGAACAGTAAGGTGATCCTGAGAGTCCACTATGGAAAATGTATCTGTGCGCAGTGCTGCTAATGCGTTGGACCCTGACCTCTGCTATTCTCTCACATGGATTTGTAAGCACTGGCACCAACGCAAGCACCAACTGTTTGATCCAGCATAGAGATGGGAACCGTTTCAAAAATTGGATAATATCGTAATTGTTGTTCTGGAGATATGCCAAATTAGAATGTTGAGTAAGTAATCTATTATTAAAACTTAAACCTGATAGCTGATTAAAAATAAAAGAAAGAAATGGAAATAGAAGCTTCCAAACAAGGGTATAAACTGACATGTCTTGCCTTTTGTGATTAATACCATATTCCTGGATTGTTAAAACATCCGCTGAGTATTATTATCAAGATCTCCATTGACGCAATTTGAAAATCCTTGACTTCACTGGTTAAAGGTGCATTCTGTAACTTTTCTAGGGGAGGGAAGCTACTTGTTTGTCTCCAGAGAGATGCCATTGTTTTGCCTGGAATGGTCTACTATACTGGCATTAAAGCAGCTTCATGGAGAAAAGCAGGTGATGCAACCGGGCCAAGTAATTGGTCAGGTCTGTGGCGAAGATAAGCATTTTTCATAAATATATGTAAGGTCCAGGTATATTTGTGATAAGGAAACAACATTATAACAAATCAGAAAATGGCATAATATGGGCCCTTTAAGTTCAAAATTACAAAAGAACTGTGTGCAGTATCCACAATCATCATTATTCTGTTGAAATAATTACTTTTTCTGATCTGCTCAGTTTTTTGTGGTTTTGTCCATTTCAATTATTATAATAAAAAAGTTTAATATCATGTTGTAGAACCCTCTAGCCAAAGCACAGAGAAGCAGGTGGCGTACCCTTGTCTTGTACAATAACATAGTGCACCTTTAGTATTGCACACATGATAGCAACACATCCGGTAAGTGTTAAGTCAGGAAGTCTAAAGTCTCCTGGACACATTGACCTTGTTTCGGTGGTCCAGCCAGCCTGTCTGCACGCCACGTCAAACAGCAAATGTGGGTGAATTAGTGCCGGAGCCAGTGTACCGGGTGCTCATGCCTACAACGCCATCTCCCACTATGGGGCACAGAAGAAAACCCTCCGCCCTCTGTGCCACTCGACACCGCTCCAGGATCTGCTTAAAGGTATGGAAAGAGTGCAGCTGGCAGCAGGGATCAGAGAGACACAACGGACAACCGAACTTAGCTACTGTAATAGGCGGACAGGAGCACAGTCGCCTTGGTAGGAAATGTGTGGGAACAACAAGTAGAGACATGCTGTATAATGAGTTTATCTGGGTTGGGTAGTATGGGGTTTAACCGTGGGTAGGAAATTCGTTATTCTAAAAGTGCATTGTGTAATTTGTCTGGTGAAGGGTGTGTCAAATGATTTTCTCCATGGAATTGTTATTACTTTATAATGTTTCACAGTATGGTATTAAACCTTTCTATCTTCATGGAAACCAAACCAGACCAAGTTACAGGTCAGATCTGTGGAGAGGCAACCCAATTCCCAGTCAGAATGCTTGTTTTTGTAGGTATTTGAGCTATAAAACACTTGTGCTTGAATAAATGTAAGGTAGGGCTGTTTAATGTCATACTGTGGAACATTCCAAACAGAGAAATGACATCTCCATAGAAACAAGCATGTGCAGACCCTCCACCCGAAAAGTGCACCTTTAATTTAGCTTTCATTTCATTTTTTGAGGGCTATAGTTGGCTTGAGAAGTTCTTGATCATCTACAGACATTTCCTGATGATTCTCAAAACTATTATGTAACTATGTATTTGACCCAATTTCTGACCCAGATCTGACCTGTAATTTGGTCTGATTTGGTCTCCTTGAAAACAGAAAGGTTAAATACTGTGAAAACATTCTAGACAAAGCAATAACATCTCCATGGAGAGAAAGTATTTGATGCGCCCTCCACCAGAAAAGTTACACAACGCACCTTTCAAATACCCATGATTTCAATTAAGAACCAAATCATGATTGGGATTTTTACTACAATTCCAGACCACAAATTTCCAGGTATGACATCACGACATTCTCCAGTCACTAATAAAACTCAGGTACATTTGTTGATTCTTACCTAACAGAACTGGAGAGGTAATTCATTTGCTCTGACCATGGCAGACATACATTATCGGAAGAGAAGAGAGTTAATGGGGTGAAAAATGTCCCTTACTTTTGTGCTTTTGGCAAACTTGGGTTGCTACTCTGACAACCGACTGATCCACAATTCCTCAGCAACTATGTAAGCCAACACCTTTTTTAATGTTTCCAATATGTTTGTAGACAATTTTACAAACGTTTTCAATATTTTTTTTAACAGACCTATGTGAGAGGTAAAGTGTGGCCGATCCTTTAAAGGAGAGGAGACTGCACATTCCAGGCATTCTGCAGTATTTCTCTTCTGCTTGAGTTGGTTTAACTGATTATCTGTCTTATTTTAGACTCAAAGACCAAATCAGCTGAGGTCTTCTGGGCTACTGTTTTCATACACTATACTTAAGGACAAGTTTCATAACGTCACTAAAAATATTGTACAGCACATGGATGGTCCTATTTAGCACAAAGCAAACTCAAAGACACTGGCATTTTGAAATGTCCTTTTTAGCATTTAAAAGACTGCTTTGCACCTGAATGCATTTCTTTTAAGTAAAAATTCCAGTAGACAATGGCCCATAGACCTAAGCACAATGTTCCTTTGTTTAGACCTTTCTCAATTTCCCTGCAGGTCAGTCTGAATGGAGTTTGAAGGAAATCCATTCCCATTTGTGAGATGCTGCATTTCAGGTTCTGTATACATTTCTTTATGCAAGCAGAAAAAAATTTGAATACTTTGGATTACATGATATTGTCATGCTTTTTAAAACTACATGAATGTAGCAACCGCATCCTGCAAATGTTGTTCTTGTTCTCTTCAAATTGGCTGTTGAGCTCAAGTCTCCATGAATACGAAACTGTTTGCTGTAAAGTAGCAAAGACTAGGAAATCTGAACATAATAACTTTTGTCTACTTAAAGACAATAAAAAGTCCAGTCTTTCCTTAACCATATTAGAAATATTATTGATAGAGAAATGCTTTATATATGAGATCACTGGTGTTAGTCCTGGTGTTAGTCCTGGTGTTAGTCCTGGTGTTAGTCCTGGTGTTAGTCCTGGTGTTAGTCCTGGTGTTAGTCCTGGTGTTAGTCCTGGTGTTAGTCCTGGTGTTAGTCCTGGTGTTAGTCCTGGTGTTAGTCCTGGTGTTAGTCCCGGTTTTAGTTCCGGTTTTAGTTCCGGTTTTAGTTCCGGTTTTAGTTCCGGTTTTAGTTCCGGTTTAGTCCTGGTTTAGTCCTGGTTTAGACCTGGTTTAAGTTCTGGTTTAGTCCTGGTTTTAGTCTTGTTGTTAGTTCTGGTTTAGAGGTGCACAGGAGGAAGCGCGGTTTACGCAGCGTATGCGAGAAAACGTACGCGGCGCACGGGAGGACAGCGGTGTCCGCGCAGTAACTACGGAAGGAAACGTGGTCCGCGCGTTCTGAGGTTAATATCAATATTTTTGCAATATATTGGGCAGCTCTATTGCAGGTGTAATTTGTGCTTGTGTAGAAGAACTTACTTCTGCTGCAGGTCATGCAAACTCTTCTCAGCCCTCTGCAGACCCTCCAGGTCCTTCATCATCTTCTTCATATGGTCTTTGGAGTAGCGGTTCTGGATGTAGGCAAACCAGCAGCCCCCCATTCCAATCACTATGGACACTACCAGCATGAAGTCCTTCAAGTGGTTATGTCGGTTCACTGGAATCAGACAATAAATCATTGATTCAAAATATTATGAACAAAATAACAAAAATAAACAAATAAGGAAAAAATAAGAATAAAAACTACAAAACTTAAGGCTAGCAATAGTGGAGGGAGTGAAGTGTAAATTAACCTAACAGCTGCAGGCATCAAGTTTGGTTATTTACAGTTTAGAACGCATTTTGACCGACAAGGTAATCAAAATTTTAGTTTATGCACTTTAAAACATAGAGAGACACTTCCTGGAGAAGGAGGGGACTGGGGCTCTACAAGAATCCATGTACAAGTCCACAAAGGAAGTGCATTACTGATTTATTAAAACAAGAAAACATAACATTTAAGGCTGCACTGTAAGAATGTATATGTAATGTGTAATAAAAATGGCCACTTTATTTATGGTGTGTGTGCGCTATGGGCTGAGGTTCAAAAGTCTGAGGTACAACAGTGTAAAAGAAGGGGGAACCAGTCTATGACACAGTTATGACATGAGCGGACATGAAGCCGAGTGTGTGTGTGGGGCTGAATGGCGCATCTTTTATTTTCACATGAACTACTGTGCAGCACTGTATGTTTATAAAATGTGCTGTACAAATAAAGTGGATATGAAACTGGGGGGAAAGTCCTACCTTCTATAAATATGATACTATAAATATAGCATTGTTTGGCTTTCTAACTAAAAAAAAAAATAATAATAAAGCCTAATAGTAGAGAATAGTAGAACCTACACTTACATATAACCAGACACAGGAGAAAAACTATTCTTTGTAAAGCAAAGGCCACATGTTTAACGTAACATCATGTGACCAGAGTGTCCAAGAAGACTGTATAACTCTAACACATAGACATAAACAATCCACTATATCAGGTCTGAGGAGGATAAATAAATCCTAATCCTAAACAGGAAAGACATTTGTCATCTGTAGTCTTGTTCATCTCAGTACATGGCAATAGTATGCAATGGGCCTGTTTTATGTAAAAGGGAAGCATAAAAAATTATAGAATTACATAATAATTACTTACTCGAGGGGGTAAGAGAAAAGAAAAAAAAAAAAAAGCGATTGAATGATCATGACACTTCCAATTCTCAAATCGATTCAAAATGCATCCAAAATGATTTCTAAAATATTTTTCGTAAAAAGCCAAAACCTTTCTTTCGTGAGACTTTTTGTTGCTGCTCTGTGCAAAACAATATCACCTATCGCCTATCACCATGCAGAAAAGAAGGTATTGGACCCACCACTCCCAAGCTTGCATAGCTCTCCTTTAATTACATTATAGACAAATCAGTGGGAGTTGTCCTTAGTGAGTGTCTTTGAGAGGCTGTCACATGCAGGCACTCTGAGCTGATGACCTCACAGGGAGGCGCCTTTCACCAAACACACTCACAAAGAAACATGCCACACACAGGCCACTGTCAATGTGCGTTTCAAAGAGGGGAACAATAATTACTTTTTGATTTGGGGTTTAAGGGTAAACCGCTTTATAAGAGAGTAGAAATTATATCTTCATAAAGCAAGATGTGTAGGTTGTATCTATGCTTATTCATTTAAGCTGGTAATTCATCTTAGTAAAATGAGCAGATGAGATGGGAGACATTTCCCACAAGACTACACAAGACATCGGGTTCACAAGAATGAGATTTTTGACATATGAATAAACTGTGCAGATCTGTTCACCATTTTGGCCTAACGTTTTAAAATGTATTTCATTTTATATTTTTGCTGTCAATGTAGATGAACATCTCAAAACTTGATTCACAAGGGCCTAACCCTTATTTTTGTCCAAGCCAAACGTAAACACATGGACAAAAAAATCTCACAAGATTGTGATACGAGATCTTCCCAACCCTCATACAGAAACAAAAGACAATGAGAAGAGTACTCAGAGGAGACATACTTAGGGGAGCTCCAAACAGCACTGTGTCCAAAGCTTTGAGCTGGAGCTTTTGCACGTGGCTCCTGTCCAGGATCTTCAGAATGGACAGTGTCAGGGTGGTGTTCTTCACAGCAAGCCTATGGGACAAAGTTAAACAGGAGATATTTAACTTCTATGGGATATTATTAAGCCAAAATATTTGAATCACCATTTTACTTTTTATCGTTTTCAAAATGCTAGATTTGCTCAAAAACATTATTATTTTATTTATTTTTTGTATCATGCTTTTGTAAGGAAAACTGAGGTATATGACCATGGATTACATTGACTTGTGGGTGGAGCCTCGTACAGGCTTGTACTGCTAACTGTAAGGAGGGTTCAAATAGTACGTGGTGGGAAAGATCACTAGATTACTCATTACTCATGGATGACATATAAACCACTTCAGGCATGTTTTTTGATAAGGAAACAATGTTATAACATGAATGAAATTAGCTCTAAAAAGTTGATTTTGCATAATACCCTCTTTATGCATGCCCCATCCAATTAAAAAAGGAGCACTAAAGAGACCAGACATAAGCCAGAGGAATCTAACTCAAGGTGTGGTACTGACCAGCATATAAAAGTAAGCAGCACAAAATATAAACACAAACATAACAGTTTACATAGTACTTGGAAATTTCACAGAAAACATCAAATGCTCTTGACAACAGTAAACAGTTGCGTTCATTTTAAACTACCTTCCAGTTTTCAGTGGACAAGTCTTATAGGACACAAAGACCACTCAAAGCTGCAACATATAACATAACATTTTGTGCGATGACCACCAGCCAAAGAAGTAGGGATAGGACGTTTCAATCTGAATGGAGACAGAATGGTCTGTTTCATGCACTGGTTCTCATGCCTCAAAGCTTTGTAATTTGGTAGACAAAATCTTAGAATATTTCTTTATCACAATCCATGCTCCAGACCATGTGGATCGTCCCATCCTCACTAATAAACAACGTTTGGGGCAAGCTTCACTCCCACGTGCATCACCTGGTGCCGTTCAGGACTATACCTTCCTTGGGCCACTTTAGACATAACCTGCCCACTGCAGACTAGGAACACTGCACAAGAACTGCAGTTTGAAAGGCTCACACCCTTCTCTTCTTCTCATCATTGTCATTTGCTGACACACACAAACACGTCATTACGTTATGTTTAATTGCTGGGTTTCAGACATTACGATATAATATTGGTCAATAATTTTAATACAGATTATACATAAATTGTTTCCTATTTTTTTTCCTGTATAAATATAAATAGACTTATAAGAGCAGTTTGGGTCAGATCTCACATAGATACTGCTGCCATGCCCCCTTTGTACTCGGTCAACTGATCGACAGGACATGTCTTTAGTCGACTGCAGCGCTAGTCCCCAATAGCAGTCGGCAAGTCCTTTTACCTTTTTGGATATTTCAGAAAAATGTACAGTGTAATATTCAGGGAAAACTGTATCTTTCCCCCCAATCTGGCAGTATGAAGTCATCATATTATAGAATCGAATAATCTCCAATAGGAGAAATGTATTGTCATAAAGTGTTTAGAAAGTAAACATACAGACTGTCATAGTAACTTTAAAAGATCAGTGACATAATCACATTCCTTACCGTGGCATAGCACTTCCACTAAAGTTCATTTTACGGATGGCCTCCACGTACTGAGGTAGCTCTACATAGGAGATGAGCCACTCCACCACCTCATCCACAGTCCAGTTATACACTGCCAGGGAAATGTGTACACAAAACAAAGATTAGCTGTGCTTAGTGGACACTCAAAACAACAATTACACACTGTAGTAACAATGAGCCGTTGCTGGAAGAATATATCCATTATAATGTTACTTTTCAAAGGTCAGAGGGCTACATTACAACAAGCCAGTGAATGTACTCCACCCAAGTAACCGGAAAAGCAAAAGCCAGTTCAGCATTCAGAGCATACACAACATGTAGTGTTTTGGTTAAAGACACAATGTTACAGTATTACTAACATTCTCATCTCATTCATAATTGTATAGTCTGCCTCTTTTAGACAGTATAAAGATACTTTGTAAACTAGGCTTTAAATAGATTGTTTGGCATTTCACCCACCCCTAATCTGCAACCTGTGTGTGAAGCTGGAAGATATTGTACCTTAACCTTTCTCCTCTGCAGCTCAAGCAAGATTTATTTTGGTGTGCCTTGCCTTGTACTTGAAGTAAAATAATTAGTATAGCTAGTAATAAACTTAGTAAAGTAATAAAATAATATTAAAACTAGATTACAACTATGCAACCCTAACATTTTTTATAATGATGTAATTCCACATTTCAAAGTGCACCTCTGATGAGAGTGAATCTAAATTCTGTCCAATAGGCCAGTATTTTTATGCTGAAACAGTGCTGCTGTATGACTGCAATGCAGGCTGTGTCACTATAACTGAGGATGGAGGGGTAGGGCTGCACTGGAGAGGGCCAAGGATGTGGAGAACTGTATGCCTGATAACACACCTATAGTTCAGTTTATCTAGTATCTGTTAAGTGTTTGGTGAGTGCTAACGAAGTGAAGACAAGTGGCAAAGAGGCTCCACAGCCACACTCTGGGTCTGACACCTTTTATCATACGGTCAAAGAGGAACTGAGTGGAATAATTGCATAGTGCAGATATAAAGGGAAGCAGTGAGAGCAGTGGTACCTTCGGAGCCCTTCCATGCATTCCACAGGTCCTCCACACTGATGAACTGATCGTCCCCATGAAAGCTGTTGTGCTTGGCTTTGGGGTCATGGTAGTTTAGGTCTTCTCGGAGGAACTTGAAGAAGAAAAGAAAAGAGTGTCTTCAAGCAAATAAAATTAATTTAAATTAAACAACAGAACTGTTATATGAGAGGAAGTTGCGTGCTTCGGTGGGACAATCAAAGTTTAGCACAGGCGCTCATCAGGATCACAGTGGAAAAAAATCACTTTACACACATTAAAAAGAAGAAATCCGAGGCACTCCAAATGCTATGTTTCTTCTGTGTCCGTAATATGAGTCACCTCACATACTTGAAGATTTTTATTTATGAATTATTTTACGTCCGCTTTTGGGAGTTTTTTTTATTTTTTTTATTACAGACGATATTGAAATTTTGAATTTCATATATTTAAAGCAACAATTTCTATACATTTTTCACTATATTTCCCACCACTATTTGTTATTAATATTGTGTGTAGTAGCAGTGTTTTTATTTTTTCCTATTTTGCCCTGCCCCCCTAAAAGGGGCAGTATGCAACTTCTCTGGTGGACAGTCTGATACTCTACTTGTCTCCATTAAAATGTTTTTACTTCCCCAGGAATGTTCCACAGTATGGCAATAAACTTGTTTATCTTCATCAAATAAAGTTTCAGGTCAGGTGAACGCCCTGACAGTATGAACAGTATGTTTTTCAAAGTATTTTGAGCTATAAAAACCCGTTTATATGAATAAATGCACAAAGGACAATTTAATGCTTTAATGTGGAACATTTCAGGCAAAGCATTAACATCTCCTTGGAGACAAGCCTGTTGCGAACCCCCAGTTGGAAAGTCCCATGGTGCAATTTTAATTTTTAGAACTAAAAAGGGAGCAAAACTGGCTACTTGACATCACTTGAGCAGATGGATTATTCCAGTGACTGCTCTGTGAGTGACAAAGTTGACACCAGCTCTGCTCCTCTACAGGACCATGACTCACTCCATCTGTCTCCAACACGTCCACATTCCCATTGGCATCGTCGTCCATCTGCTTGTGGATACTCCGAATGGCCTCAAAACTCACAAGGGCATTCTCGTCGCCGCATAGTGGCTCATCGATGCGACAGAAATCTGATCAGAACAACAAACAAGACAATTAGGGATTCAAAAAATGATGGAGGAGAACTGTGTTGAGTAAAAACTTATTAAAAAGATGCTATTTGTCACTCAGCAGGAGATTTGGTGAATTATTACGTTATGTTCAGCATTCAAATCCGCAAGTTTTTAATAAAGTGGAATGTTGTTTCAAAGTGCACTGTGTAACTTTTCTGGTGTAGTGTTCGCCACATATTACGTTCCACAGTAAGGCTTTTCTATGTCTAAGGAGACAAGCAGTTGACATCACCAGGCCAAGTTACAGGTCAGATCTGTGGAAACGTGAGCCCACTCACAGTAAGAATGCATGTTTTCCAAGGTATTTTGGAACAATAAAAATATGTGTAATTGATAAAAAAAAAAAAAATAAGTAGATAATTTAATGCTAAACTGGAACATTTCAGGTGAAGCAAAAACATGGATGAAGACATGTAGGTAATGGACCCTCTACCGGAAAAGTTACACAGTGCACCAACTCATAAATCCTGATCATAAACAAGAGGTCATAGTCATCGACCGCTCCTTGCTGTCAGGTTTGATGCAGTATTGTAAGAAAAGTCAAATGAAAAGGGCACATTTTCCTCTGGGACAATAATCTAGAAATCACTCCATGGTAATTGCATCTAGAAGTATCTGACAGGACACATTTTCATCTCTTTAGTAAATAACAGGATATTACGGGAAGCCTCCTAGCATAATTTCTCAAGTCATTTTCAGGTCAATTGACTTTTCTGTCTTATTCTACTCTACAGACCCTTCTGCATTAAGTGTCATTGGCTCCTTCCTCTGAAAGAAAAACAATACACTGCCTAAGTCATCTTCTTGAGTAGTAGTATTAGCAAGGGCTTATGATAAATGTGAATTGGCTTACAAATTACAACTTCTGGGTTCAATGCACAAGGTTTCCTGAGGGACTAGGCTACTTTATATCATGGATAAGAATGGACTGCCACTTCCTGAAGATTAAGACATTGTGTGGAGAAGATTATGTAACATAGCACCACACCATACTGTAGACATGCACTACAAGTAACTGGAGCCATGTGGAGGGTCACGTGATGCAGAGTTTAAAAAGAGCAAAGAACTGTGCAAACTAACTTCAGAGACCGTCAACAATGATTAGACAGACAAACCCCAAGGCGTCTCTGGAGAATCTAAAAGATATTCATATTTGTACAATGGCCACCACTGAGGCTTTTCTAACTTTTGTACTTAATACTTCCTAGAAACCCATGCAACCACAACAATACTCTGCACTATTACTTATCTGATGGAGTTCTGTATGCTTATTGAACTTGTGATGGTGATGAGCTTTTAATTACCTGTTGCTGGAGCAGGTTTTTTTAGCTTAATAAAACAGTCTTCAGTGAGATGTTAGAGTAAGCCAATGCTCTGTGTGATGAAATTTCTATCAAAGCCAAGTTTTAAATTGTTTAGACTTTTCTTAAATGGAATTCAATTGTTTTAACCCCATTTCAATAATATTTAAGCTATTAAAATATTTAATAATCCAAAATGTGTGTTTAGAGTCTGTTCCAGTTATTTTAGAAATATAAACATCTGTATATGGAGTGGACCATTTCAGCAATAACATCTCTATGGAGACAAGGCGTGACCCCACCAGAAAAAAGTGACATAGTGTACAGTAAATGTTTGTAGTGCCTATGAGTATGAGTAACACTGGGATCGATTCACGATTCTGTCATCCAAATGTGAACTGGCCTGAAGCCATAACCAAGGCCATTCCACAGATCAAGTTTTAGTATTTGCTTTGAGAGAAACTATTGCAACATTCAGTGAAGAAGGAACACAGTTCATCAAAAAGAGTATGAGAGTTCAGAGCTGCTTCTTGTTTAAGCCTTTTAAAGTAAAAACCTAACCACCAATTTTATTGAAGCATGTGTCTCCAGTCTTCTGCTGTGTAATGCTCATGCATGCACTCTCAATGTTTGCACAGAACTGTTGTAGAACCAGAGAACAGAGAACAACTAACATTTCTGAATTTAGTCATGATTTTTTCAGTCCTGTGAGCACGTTGGTGATAGCCTTTTGATAGAGAAAAGGACAACGTTTTAGTTCAAGCTAGGGTTGTTAAAAGCATTTACAAATCAGATACTAAAACTAGTATCAAAACTAGATACTCATTTGAGTAAAAACGAAATCACGCAGCCATGAACGTTTCCTGAATGGCTTTAGGATGATCTTGAGCTGTATCAAAACAAGTATAACACCACATACACTAATATACGCCCATAGATCAGAACAAGTACAAGAACACATAGACTAGGGGAGATTACACAGACGGCCACATGGTAAGATAACACAAAGTACTATTATTTAATGCTGATAATCAAATTCTGCTGTCTAAAGAAAGAGTGTTTTTAATTGTCATTGCCGTATCAGAATCAGTACTGCGTATAAAGAGTATTTCCTAGTATTGACATTTTTGTATCATGACAACACTTCAAGCTCAGTCTTTTTTTTTAATAGCAACAGTCTTCTTACAGCAGAGTTACATGTTAGGGCAGGCCTTTAGATTAGATGTGAATGAACTTTATTTGAGACATAGAAATCGCCCTGTATCTGTGTACTGGTTCTTCTTGTTACACATGCTGAAACTACCCCACTCAATGCTCTAACAGAAGTGAAGGGGTGGGAGATCGGTTAATTTTTGAACCAAATACTTGCACAGTGCACAGGGAAACCTACCAAGCCACATACCAAAAAGGCAGCAGCGTTGCCTCTCACACAAAGGAACAGTTAGCTTTCAAAATGTCTTCCCACTCATTTGGCTTGCAAACCTCCACAAATAGCAGATAGCATATTTACACATCATTTAGCCAAGTTTTAAACGGGTTGAGCAACTCATTCTCTGTACGCAAGCCTGTGTCTACATAGGCTACTTCACAACACTGTTTTTCTATCTAGTGGCAAATCCCTTTCTGCAGTGTCATCTCAAACCACTGCAAAGCTTTGACCCCTGCATTCTGTGGCGTTTTTTTAATGACTCTGCAAACTGAATATTAGGCAGGCCATAGACTATGTTAAAGGGCCCATATTAGGCTATTTTCTAATCAATGTTATCATGTTTATCGATCAAAAACATAAGTTGTATTTTGTTTCATTCATACTTGTTTAAAACGCAAACACTGCATATCTGGACAAGATAAGATAAAATAAAAAATATTTACTTCTGTATATTTAAGACAATACTAGACATATAAAGTATAATTATTTTCACCAGTTTTTTTTTTTTGTTCTGATTAATTTTAGACCATGGGGACAAAAATTAGACTAAGGAGGACCACCATAGTCTCTTCTATTTTTTTCAGAAACACTGCATATTATAACACGGTTTAACCACACAAGAGTCAATTTTGTGAAATAGAGGACTTTTAAACTAAGTGCACAGTTCCATAAGAAGTTGTTAACTAAGATTTAACTAGAACTCAATCACCAACACTGGCCAGAAATAGTGCAAACATACATTGCTATCTTTAGATCTCTTAATTTGCATACTAGTTCTGAAATGTAGTATGTAAGTAGTATTTTCTTTTTTCATTAGTGTGTGGGTATCATAGTTTATTCAGAATTTCCCCCTCTGGTCTAAAAATAACCTGAACAATAAATAGGCATTAAAAAAAAAGAAAAAAGTTTCCATTTGTCATACATGTGTGGCTCCACTGCACAATGGGACTGCATTACGACTATATTTCACTCAAACAAGACATTAAAATTATAAATTATATGTAAGTTTTAACAGAACATTCAACGGAAATCAAAGGGAACCACTGTGGGAGAGAGAGGGGCTACGAAGCCAGGGGTAAGGTCCGTCATGTTATTATTAACATAGTCATTTATGGAGTCCATTAATGACACTGCTCACTTTTGGGCTTTTTTCATATTGTAGGAATGACACACACAAGTACTTGAGCTATGCTGTAATAAAAGGATTCAAAGTTCACATTTTAAATAAAGATTGCCTGATGTGATTTTTTTTTTTCTTTTTTCATGGCTAATGCTGATTGAACGAGGGAGAAACTGACGACCAACAAGCTCTGCAATTAAAATGTACAACAAACTCACACACAGCTGTGTTTTTTAACCATAAATCTATAAGAGCGCTGTGTGTTATGCTTCAGGCTGTTATCTCTTCTCACTAAAATGTTCAAACAAAGCTTTAAGTGAATTCTTTAGGCAGCGGGGCGAAACTAAATATTGGCTGGTGCTGGAGATTTTGGGCCCATAGCCGACACATTAAAAAGCACAAATATCGGCCAACCAATACCTCTAATTTTAAACACATCCACAAGAATTAATGTGATTATCGTGTGTGTGATTAATTCATTAATTAATAGAAAAAGGAACCGACAAACTAATAAAAGAAACAGAAACAGACCTAAACTACAGGGCTAGAAACTTTCAAATCAGAATAAAAAATGTATATATTTTGTTGCTTGTGGAGGAAATTATGGTACTTCAGCCTTTGCCATTAGCTAACTGCATTAAGTTGTGATTAAACTTGCAACCCTGTTGCCGATGTTATGGTAATAAGTATGACTGATGGCAGCTTTACTTATCACAGATAGTGACAATAATTTTGCATTCTTTCTGTCAAAAGTCTGTCAATATATTTGCAAGGCCTTGCACTACAGCAACAATAATTTGCATAAATTGCACAGTGGTGAAATGAAAATGTGAACAGGCCTTGAATGTGCTTGTTAAGGGGAAAACTGTCAACTGGTCACTGTGCACTATCTTAAAAAGAGAAGTAGTAAAAGTAACATCCTCTTTTTAGTAAAACTGCCCTTTGTCCATGTATACCAGTGTTTCATAATAATTTTTGTTCAAGCACAAGATTTGTCTCACAATCTCAGTATCCCTTAACTTGAGTACCAGGCAAATGTTTACTAGTAGTATATTGTCATTTTTTTCTTGTTTAAATGATACTGACGTCTAGAATCCTCACAAATTACTCTTAAATATGCATACTTCTTTTAAAATCTGTAGTAAGTTCTTGCGGATCCCTAGGGGTTTCCGGACCTCTGGTTGGGAAACACTGATATACGCCACCAACTTCCAACTTTCAAAATATAGCTTTGGCTGCACTAGTGTACAGGCTTAGTGGAGAATTCCTGTTTGACTATTCTGAGCTGGGCTACATTTAGTACCTGCACAATTACAAAGATATGGCATGCAAAGTAACACTCTCACTGTCAGTCAGAGCAGCACAGCCCACAAAGGCCCACAGTAAAAGCACATGTATGAACTGTGTCAGTGCTTACTCACCCGGCACACTATCGGCCGCTGGACTGTCCGCTGTGGGGGCAGGGGGCGGAGCTTTGTCGCTCCAGCTCTCGCAGACCAGACACAAGCAGAGTATCCACAAGGTCACTAATCTGTTCAACTCCATGACTGGTGTACGCTGGGGAGGACAGGCAAATGGGATGGTTAGTTCTTTCAACCAACTAGAAATGTATCCATATTCACAGTGAATAATGATTAAAGAAGCTTCATTCTCAGGTCAAGCTAATCTATACTATACTGTTTATACTTTAAAAGGTGCAGTGCGTAACTTTTCTGGTGGCGAGTCTGTCACCTGCTTGTTTCTATGGATATGTCATAGAGCCCGACCGATATATCGGCTGGCCGATATTATCGGCCAATATGGGCACCTGGAGACATATCGGCTATCGGCCGATATGCTTGCTGATATGGGCCGATATTTCACGTGGGCATGTTATATCTCGTTATAAAGCTTAGACTCTCTACATTATGTTCATTTAATCCAATTTACAGACAGATAAATGTCCTAATATGTGGCTCCGCATCAGTATTTATCTACGGTGTAATTTGTCTGTGTCTGTGTCCGTACTGTCCCTGAACACACCACCAGAGTGACGTCACTTCACTCGCGTGTGTTTGTTTACACCCGCAGCCGTGCGCAACACTGAGATTATATTCTTTTTCGAACAATCGGTTTGAGTCTGGATTAAAAGGACATTTATTAGTGCAGACTTGTGATGTGAAGAGGAGCCTGTGTGAGCGGTGAGTGTTGGAAATACATCGACTTTGAAGCTAGTTTAGGTTTTGTTAGCAATTAGCTGCTGTAGCTCCCGCACATAAACAGACTGTTTTCTATTGGCCTATTGTAAAGTGACTATATTGTCCGTATATTTGTTACTGGACCAGCTTTGAAGCTTTGAAGTTTAGCTTTGAGTTCCGGAGTTGCCATGGTAACAAGGCTTTATGGAACTTTACATGTATGATGTCATCGGCGCCGTGAACCTGATGGAACTGGGAGGTTTTCAGGTTCTAGAATGTGATGATGTCATACTCCCAGACGGGGCAAGAGCCACGTTTCCCTGTTGACTGAGGCCGAGTGTTGTTAAGAAGCCACTGATATGAGACAAACCTCGATACAGTGCGCTTTCGATTCGATACGGTTCAGTAAAAAATAAAGGCTAAATCATGGAAAATCTTTGTTAAACCACTTCTTGTGCAAAGTTCATATGAAACACAAACATTTTAATCCTCAAAACAGCGAAAATGTCAAACGGGTTTCCTTCCACTAAACAAACAACGAAACTGTAGCTGTAACAAAATCATTTAGTAAAATAAACCAAAAATACTCTTGGTGATATATCGATAGAGCAGCCCACAATATCGATACTGTGTCATCACATTAAACGATACGATATATCGATATTTCAATATTTTTGCACACCCCTCTACTCTTTATCAAACGAAGACCACAGTTCTTTAGTTTAAGGTCATGGTTTAAGGTCAAGGGTATATTTCTTCTGTTATTTCTGGCCATTTTTGTTTTATAATTGAGTTGTTTTGTAAGTGTTGCTGTACTTACTGTTACGCAGATAAAAAGTGCGACCTACTCTGTGAAATCTACTCTGTAAAGTCTCCTCTGTGAAGTCTACTGTTTGAAATCTTTGTACGATTTGCTCTGTGTCAAGCTCAGCTAAATGTGCCTTTTCCGTTAAGCGATATGTGATTTTCGATTTGTGATTTGCGATTTGCCTACTCTGATAATCTCCCCGAGGCCAAACAAAGCTTTGAGTTAAAGCCCACAAAGCTTTGAAGTTTAGCTTTGAGTTCCGGAGTTGCCATGGTAACAAGGCTTTATGGAACTTTACATGTATGATGTCATCGGCGCCGTGAACCTGATGGAACTGGGAGGTTTTCAGGTTCTAGAATGTGATGATGTCATACTCCCAGACGGGGCAAGAGCCACGTTTCCCTGTTGACTGAGGCCGAGTGTTGTTAAGAAGTCACTGATATGAGACAAACCTCGATACAGTGCGCTTTCGATTCGATACGGTTCAGTAAAAAATAAAGGCTAAATCATGGAAAATCTTTGTTAAACCACTTCTTGTGCAAAGTTCATATGAAACACAAACATTTTAATCCTCAAAACAGCGAAAATGTCAAACGAGTTTCCTTCCACTAAACAAACAACGAAACTGTAGCTGTAACAAAATCATTTAGTAAAATAAACCAAAAATACTCTTGGTGATATATCGATAGAGCAGCCCACAATATCGATACTGTGTCATCACATTAAACGATACGATATATCGATATTTCAATATTTTTGCACACCCCTCTACTCTTTATCACACGAAGACCACAGTTCTTTAGTTTAAGGTCATGGTTTAAGGTCAAGGGTATATTTCCTCTGTACAGACATAGCTTCACTCAAATCTTCCATGTTTTTGGGATACTCCTTACGGTTCGCCCGTAGCACGCCGGCGAATAACGCCTTCAGTTCCTGTTTTTTCTGGCCAGCAGGGGCGCAAAGACTCCCCCAAAAATAGTTAAAAAATGATTACATGCCCATGTTTAATCGGATCGTGCTGAAATTTGAATCACTAATGTGTGATCTCAGCCTGAATATAATACACTATAAAACATATGAACTGCGAACACTATAGCGCCCCCTACCATTGACATGAAATGTCAACATTATCAGATTAGCACCAAATTTGGGGATTAAATTCTACGCATGATTACAAGCAAAAAAGTCAATCATTCTGCACCCCTATGACGAACAGGAAGTCGGCCATATTGGATCAAACATTCGCCGCCGTTTTGACTTGGGGGTCTACAAAAAGATTCAAGTCCCCGGGGTTTGGTCCAAATGAGCTCAGATTTGACATGTCACATCTACAGACATAAACTCACAGAAATTTTCAACTTTTTTGGGGATACTCCTTACGGTTTGCCCGTAGCACGCCGCCGAAAAATGCCTTCATTTCCTGTTTCTTTGGTGACCTGTCACGGCCACAGGCATTGTCCTAGAGAACTCAAATTCAAATCACAATTGCGTGATGCTGGTATGAATGTAATGAAATATGAAATTTAATAAAAGTGAACTCTATAGCGCCCCCTAGCATAGACGTGAAACGTCAACATTATCGGATTAGTACCAAATTCGGGGCATAAATTCTATGTATGATTACAAGCAAAAAAGTCTATTACGGACATGATGCATTTTCCACTATTGGCCAGCAGGGGCGCAAAGACTCCCCCAAAAAATAGTTAAAAAATAATTACACACACAGGCTTAGTCCGATCGTGCTGAAATTTGAATCACTAATGCCTGATCATGGCCTGAATATAATACACTTTAAAACATATGAAAAATGAACTCTATAGCGCCCCCTACCATAGACATGAAATTTCAACATTATCGGATTTGTACCAAATTTGGGGATTAATTTCTATGTATGAATGCAAGCAAAAAAGTCTACTACGGACATGATGCATTTTTCACGGTTTGCCAGTAGGGGCGCAAAGAATCCCCCCAAAAATATTTTTAAAATTATTACAGGGACATGCTTAGTTCGATTGTGCTGAAATTTGAATCACTAATGCGGGATATTGGTCTGAATATAATACACTATAAAACATATGAAAAGTGAACAGTATAGCGCCCCCTACCTTAGACATGAAATGTCAACATTATCGGACTTGGACCAAAGTCGGGGGTTAAATTCTATGCATGATTATAAGCAAAAATGTCTATTACAGTCATGGTGTATTTTTCACGGTTGGCCAGCAGGGGCACAGAGAATCCTCCAAAAAATATTGTAAAAATTATTATATGCACATGTTTTGTCCGATTGTGATGACATTTCTATCAGTTATACACTACATGACCCTTATTCCATTGATATGTCAAATACAGTTATCAGGGATACAGCGCCACCTATATGAATGCACACAATTTATTATTGTGTGACATAAAATTTGTTTTACATTCATTTGTAAAACTTTGCCAAAACATTCACTGACGTACTCCTCATCATAAAAGTCAGTAAGACCTATGCCCTAGTTTTACACTTTTGCCTCTAGAATAATGTGTGTCGGGGCGGTCGCGAGTCCCCGGCATTCGCCAGGGGGGGCGGTGCGCGCCCAGGGCGAGGGCCACCATCGCCGCGCGCGGCTTTAATTTGTTATTGGGTTCTTTTTTCAGACCAAAAGTTTGAGTAGTCGAAACTGTCAGATATGAAAACACTCTTGGTCTGAAAAAAGATCTCAATAATATATGTCATTGCTCTGCCTGTAATGTTCCACAGTATGACATAAAACAGCTCTACCTTACATGAATTAAATTACAAGTAATTTTAAAGCTCAAACACCTGGGAAAAAACTGACATTCTGACAGTGAGCAGGGTTACCTCTCCACAGATCTGACTTGTAATTAGGTCTGGTTTGGTCTCCATGAAGATAGAAAGGTTTAACACCAAACTGTGAAACATTCTAGACAAAGCAATAACATCACCAGGAAGAAAAGCATTTGACAGACCCTCCACCAGAAAAGTTAAACAAGACACCTGTAAGTATAGTGATTTTCTGATGGGCACTCAAAATGCTTTACAACAAGAATCCACTTATTCATTCACACAACTATGTACAAGGTGGGTAAAGGGTCTTATTCAAAGACACAACCTCAGTATCCAGAGGTGGAGTATTATGATGGTGTGAATTAAAAGATTTTAAGACATTTGTTGTTGTTGTTTTTTTTTTTTTTTTTTTTTTTTGTTACATTCTAGGACAACATCTAACGAATCCCTTTTATTAAGACAAGCCTTGGCCTACAGCTAGAAGATGACAGGTGAAGTATCAGCATTTAACTAGACCTCTGAGCATTATATCTCAACAAAACCAAAACCAGTGTCGTCCTTTAGGGCTATTGTTGAAATGGGCAGGGAAACAGTGCACGAAAAGCATCGATTCTACTTACACTTACAGCTTTACCTGATATGCCTCCCTAAGACTATGAACAACACTCAGATAGAGGAATTGGATCTTAGCTCGGATTGATTAAGGTGTTCATTTAACTGTAGGGACATCAACACAGTTTAACCAGGGACAGTGACATAAGGAAGACAGAAGCAGCCAGTTACATAAACCGAGCCAAAGTCCTCTTCCTGGATGACTATCGCTAGCTCTCTCATCCCTTTCATTTGACCAGTACAGTTTACATAAAACGCACTGTCACTCAGAATTTCCCTTCACATGGAGAAATTGACATTATCTCGAGTGGCAGCTGTTGAGGACGTCTCCATGCCTGTCCACAGCCTGCTAGCTTGCTAAACATCTCGGCTAACTAGGAAATGAATGCGACATGCGTAAAAGTGTGTTGTCGGCTTTCTGAGGAACGAAAGGGCTACGAGTCGGGTTTATTTAATCGTAATAAACAAACAAAAGATTCACAGCTTCCCAAGATTTAACGTTAGAAAAAAAACATCTCCAAAATAGACTGACAGCCGAGTGGGAGAAGGAAAGTCTGGGTACGTGTCCATCACGCTGCGCTGCCGTGGCACCGCTGGCTCTAGCGGGGACGTACCTGTCATGTAGAGCCCGGGAAGTCCCTCTCAGCTCTGGATTAACATTGCCGCAGATGCGCGGTCGCCTGAAGCCGAAACAGATCGACGCCAAAGCTGAATGCGGTGGCTCCAGTGAGAGGTAGATCCAGATCCGAAAGAGCCGCAGCAGAGAGCGCACTGGGGACTGCCTTCTTCTGCGCTGGCACCTGTGCGTTCTCTTTCTGCGAGTGTCGCCATCTAGAGTACAGTTGAAGTACAGAAGCCTTTGCCTGAGAGTGCCATCTGGTGGAATGACCAAGTTACTGCTAAGGTTTTATAATAAAACCTTAAAAATAACTGGATAGTGCAGGTTATGTTGGAGAACCACGTGGGGAGGGATAAGGGGATTTCAGACTCGATTAAATGCTGATTTGTTAACCTAAATAAAACAAAAACAAATCAAGGGCACAGTATCTCTGGAAGAAATGATATTGTGTCTCATTTGGACCTTCCTGGCTAGACAAAGGAGAAATAAAATATAAATAAATTACATTTTCCTATAGCTTCCTACAGCTCCCCACAGAGAATGATACAGGACATCACTTCTTCACTTCAATCACTTCTTATATTGTCTAGATTTTTTCCCCCCTACAAATCTGTAGGCTATATCTTTTGTTATTTTGTCTGCTTTAAATATTTAGCATTTTTTAATATCTTCAGTATATTTCAAGTATTATAATTTTTTTTGTTCTTTGCTATTATATTGTAATATTGGAGCTACTGTTTCTAATTCGTTTCCCCTGTTGATCAATAAGATATGTCTATGTCTACATACACATCTACATATACATCTACATATATATGATAAATGCAAATATAAAAAGAGAACAGTAACATTTAAAAACACTTTACTTTTATACCACACGGCATTGGCAGTGTCTTTGTGCATGTACATTTTACAACTGTCCTCATGGAAATATGTGGAACAGGCCGTCCCAGTCTTCCTGTGCTGCCGCTGCTGCTGTGTCTGACTCGTCTCCAGGGTTGGTGCTGTTTGAGTCTAGTCAGAAGTGTTTATCCTCCAAAGAGACCATCACTATATCCCGGCCTCTGAAGTCCCACACTGCTGTGAGGTGGAACGCCATGTTGGAGAAGACCAGGAGATACTCGAAGAGAGCAAACATTGTGTATGCTGAGAAAAGACAGATGGTATGGTTCAATGTTCAACCAGGGGTATGGAGATTTATGTGTGTATGGGTGTCGGCTTCCTGGAATTATTTCAGATTAATATATTTTTTATTACTTTGCAGAATAAATATAAACTAGCTGTAAGTAATGACATTTTTATCTCGATCCAATCAGGTCTACAGCTAATCCTCCGTAAGTAAACACATGTGGCTTGGAGCAGAGTTTAGACTTTGGAGGAACTTTAGTGTGTGTGTGTTCTATGTCTACAATACGATTTGTTTTTTGTTTTTTGTATTTTTTCTTATTACCCAACCCTAACTTGCTTATAAAAAAATGTTGCCTGACATGGGGGCTTATAGCATACTGTCTAATAGGTTTTAATCCACTTTCCTAGTCCATGTTCAAGTTTCTTTTACTCAACTCAAGCCTCACCTCCAGATTGGCAGTATATGTTGTGCTTCCAGTAGAAGAACCCGGCAAAACCACAGAAGAAGGAGCAGGCGAATAGCAGGCGTTTCTTCCAGCAATGAGACCTGGCATCCTTGGAAACACGGAGAAGATTAGCAGCACTTAGAGATGACTATATTGAGTAGATAGTGTGTAGTTTGCTCACCTCAGGGCTAAAGGACTGTTTCTTTATAGCACTCCACAAACGGCAGGTTATGAGCATGTAGACCAGAGAGCTGCCAATGAACAGGAGGAACCCAGTCTTATGCACGGCTAGGAGCACAGAGAAGATAAAGCAGGTTAGAGTCTGGAATATTTTTGTATGTGTGCAAAAAGTCACTTTGGAGGTCAGACTAAGACTGTGACTATGGCCTATTTGATTGTTGTACTGATGGGTTTCAGTTTTCTGTGATAGGCAACAATTCTCACCATTCAAAAGATTGGATACTGTATTTTGAATGCAATTGCTACAGCAATAGTCCTAATTTGTCACAATTCTGAAACCCCTGGATAACCATATGTCTCATCAGAGCTGAATTTGTATCAGCAAAACTGCAGAAAATATTGTATTTTGCATGTATTTTTTTATATCCACAAATATCCATACATATCCACAAGTATATAAAGCACCAAGGACACACTGAATCATAGAAATTAATGAGCAAAATGACAGAATTGTGTATGACGTAAGAAGATAAGATGATCAAACCTATATTAGCCTATATTATTACAAATAATAGAAGATATTTATCTATGATTTCAGATAATTATTATTATGATTAAGGGTAAAAAACAGAACTATTGTGAACAGTAAACCATGTTCAGTCGATAGAAATTGAAGTAGCAGTGAGTTTATAACTACAATATGGAATTATGAAAAGTGCTCACCATAGGCCTCAGTGGAGGAGACAGAGGTGAGCAGCAGCAGGCCCATGTTCTCACACACAGAGAAAAAAAGGCACAGGGCACTCAGGGACCTCTCCACAGAGCGGGCCCCAAAGCGGCCCCTGTACAGTTTGGAGTAACTGTACTCCACCAGGACACGGGGGGCCCAATGCAGCCCAATACAGGCCCTCCAGATGTGGCACTCTGGACTCAGGCTGATGGAGGCACTTATGGACGGCAGGTAGTTAGCAACCTGAAAAATAGACACTGGTCTATGAAACAACCTGATTATTCCACCAAATGGTCTGTAAATACGATGACATAAAGTCTGATTTCTCTAAACACATGAAATCCATACGTGGCAGTGTGTTCCTGTGGCGTCCTCAAAGTGATACACAGAGGAGATGAAGACACAAGAGAGCAATCCCAGCAGAGGCAGGCACAGGGTCCCCACAACACAAGACCTGAAGGAGAACCGCAACAACAGCGGCCTGTCAGGCCCCACCGCATGGGGTCCCTGCAACATCTTCTGCACAAGGACCAGGCCTGGTGTATGCAACAAAACAAATTAGTTAGAGCCAACGGAATATAAAGCTAAGTAGAAATAGCCTATATATACTATGTCAGACGTGTGGCAGACTTGTGGCAGACTAATTGGACACCCATGACAGCCATTACATACAATTGAATTAGGCCTACATACATACTTTTTGTCAATTGACACAGAACTCACAGTAAAACATTCCAGTTTGTGGACAGTGGTTGAGAAGTTATATCTCTCCAACACGGATTCTCTCAGGTAAGCTCTGTGCACCTTGTAATTCACGTTGAACAGTAAAATAAATGCAAATGCTCCTGCTCTGTGCAGGACAAAGCAGCCACAAGATGAAGCTGGAACAACCAGATTTTACTGTCGTTATATTCACCAGTTTAGGCTACTGCTCATGGTGTTGCGTGACAGCTATAGCCTGTACTGTGATTAGCCCCCTCATGTGTTTTATACAACATCACAGGCGTGAAAAAGCATTAGGCCCATGAACCCCGAGCACAGAGAGGAGGACGCGGACGTGCGTTACCTTAAATCAACTGCTGCCTCTCGGCATCGTTATCCTCCTCGTTAATACGCGATAATACACGTGCCGTTCTGTAACATCAGTCCAAAGCCGCTGCCAGGAACAGCCCTTTGTGTGCGCGCGTCAGCATCAGCTGGACCAGAGAGGCGCGCAATAGGCCATCACCAACCGGAAGAAAATATCAAGAAAACCGTGGTGACGTAAATGGTGCCGTATCCACTGATGTGGTTTGCAAAAACGTCGCCACGCTCCTACATCATCCTTAAATTTACAGTCCCTAAATTTAGCTTGCTTTATGACAGAGTGTATGCCGATATGACAAAAGCGGCGCATTTTATATTCTATGTTAAATCTATAGGTACTTTTTTGCTCTGTAAAAAATACATTTAAAAAAAAAATAAGAAAAAACGTTGTAGGCTACAGTTAACAGACATTTTATTAACTAGAAAAGCACTCAGAGAGCGCAGACCTCCGCCAAGGACTACAGTCCCACTCATATTAATTGTGTTTTCCATAAATATTTGTCTCGTATCTTTCAATTTGGAATATGAAAGAGGATCCCATTGTCCATCCCTGAGTCAAATTTCATGGGGTTTGGTCAATAATTAACCGAGATATTGAGAAACAAAATTTTTGGCCCCATTTACCACAATGTTAACTAAAATTTCAAAGTGATCCAGAATCCAGGATTTCTTCCGGATCACCCCCAAAATGAAATCAGTTCTTCCTTGTCACATTTCCAACAAATCCTGAAAATTTCATCAAAATCGGTCCATAACTTTTTGAGTTATGTTGCTAACAGTCAAACAACAAACAAACAAACAAACAAACAAACAAACAAACAAACAAACAGACAAACGCCGGCAAAAACATAACCTCCTTGGCGGAGGTAATAAGGCTAAAAATACAAATAAACAAATCACGCTCCGTACAAGGCCGGTTTCATGAATAGGAATTCGGGAGCTTTCCACGGTGCTGAACTGGAACATCACATATCAAAGTGAACTGCTGCTCCACACAGCCACGCCCCCTGTAGTTTCCCGCGGATTAACAGCTCTGTGTTGGGTTCAGAGTCCCATCTCCAATGTGTTGGAGAAGGGCTTTGATGGTTGGAACAAAATGAAGCCAGGCGGTGCTACGGGCTGGTTCATGTGCCTTATTTTTGTCACCATTTTTCAAAGTAAGTAATTTTTGTAATAATTTTTTTTCTTCCAAAGCATTTAGCTGTGAGTTAATCTCTAGCATAACTGCATAATTACTCTATTTAATTCTTATCAAACTAAGACAAGTAGACTGTACAACAACAAAGATCTCCCAAATGCAATCTACTTGGCTTCATGCAAGTACTTGGTTTGGTTGCAATGTGATTTTGACCAGTTACTTCTGGCCTAGGCTGTTAAAGTTTGTGTATGCTTTAAAATTATATATGTGAGTGTCTATATGTTTGTTTGATGGTGTACAGATAAATCTATAGATAACTGGATGTCATCACATGGTTTGGACACATGTTTCATTTGCGGTCTCACTCTCAGATGTTGTGGGGATTAGCACACACACTGCAGCCCTCACACGCACACACACAACCAGCACTGCAGAGAATGGCAGATTTGCATGATCTCTTACTGGAGCTTTGCAGAATGGCCTTTGTCCCAATCGCCATCTGTCACTGTCATGTCTAAGGCTTCTTTTTACATAATCAAGTTGAAATTGGTGGCCATGTTTATGTTGTTAAACACAAAATCTGATCATTTGGCTGGTCTCTCTTCTTTCGGTTGGTTCTGGCGTTGATAAGTCACAGGTAACTCATTAGGATAACTTTTTAACTCACCACATCTTCCAGTTCACCCAATTCAAAGACACTAGTCCCAGTGAGATGAGGAGGCCTCTCTAAACCAGGGCTCATTGAATAGCATAGGGAGAGGCAGGACTGAGGACACAGAAACCTCTTTTAAAAATTTATTCCATACAAAGAAAGAAGATATGATATGATGATACGTTAATTTTGGATGTTTCCATTTACAGCTTAGAGATAATTAGAAAGCAGTTTCCATATGTTGTGAGGTCTACCTGCACTCACCTGAGAAGGTTACATTATTGTCTTTTATCTAAGGCCAAAAAGTCATGTTTTTGGAGTTTATCCCCCTCTTAAAAGAAGGCATCCAAACATCAGCTTCAAATGACCATGGTGTGAGTTGTAGGAGGTGCACCTCTTTTCCAGAGCTGAGCTGAGCCAAAACACCCAATCTTACAACCCCAAAGACTCTAAATCCCACCAGAGGGGCCCTGTCCTAAGGCACGTGAGCTCAAGGAAGAGACCTGGAGGTTTTCTAGTCCAGGCTCTTTTGTCTCTGAAGATGGTCAACTTTATAGTTTCCAGCATCCTGTTGTAGGTGGCTGAACTTTTGCACTTTTCATGTGAGTCGTTGAGTGAAACAACAGCCTCCCACAGTGTCTGGTTAGATGCAAAACAGTCTGCACTCAGCATGTTTGGAAGTTGCATGCCCATTACAACCACAGCTCAACCAAAGTTTATATGTAGGTCGACCAAGCTCGACCTACATATAAACATCAGGTTTCTATACGACCTATATGCAAACATGAGGTTATTTCTAGCTTTTGCAAAGACACAAGGTTTAATTCAACTCAACCTTGAGTTAACTTCACCTGAGACATAGTACATTACTGAAATAAACAATATGAAACACAAATACATATCTCATTTTTCAAATGAGGAAAATATGTGAGGATGTATGTATACAAGTACAATATGAAATTATAAAAATGATTTATAAATCAAAAAAACAAGAGCAAACATTTTAACAGCAAACTGAGTTACACCAGTTGACAGCCTTATAACAATGCTTTTTTTTTTTTAGCTTTGTGAGGGCCCTACATGATTTTGCGGCTTTATATTTTGCCAAACTTTGGATTCCATATCTCTTAGATCCTCCACGTCCTTCACTGGCAGCTACAGTGATAGAATGGATAATAATAACACAAAAAAGTAGCAAATGATGAAACTTATTTGATGTATTAGGATTGTGGTGCATTATTACGACAAATAGTCTTTACTATTTGTTTTCATTTTCTAGAATGGGATGTTGGGAGGCAAGTATTTATTAAATATTATTGGCCTATAAAATAAATGTTATATAAAATGTTGTAATATATATAAAATGTTGTGATGTCTTCTGAAAGCCTGCAATTTGACTGCAGACTGTTATTCTCTAAACTAGCAGAAAGATAGGTATTAAAAGTATAGTTTTGTTGTGGCTTTGTGGCAGAGGATTCGAATACTAATCCCAAGTGCCCTTGGGCAAGACACTGCAGACCAATGTGCCTCATGTATGGTCGGTATGGAGCGTAACAGTGACGGCCCACCACTTGTTTACTGAAGCAAATTTTTCATTCATTTTTGTCACACACATTTGGGCTTCAAAGTGAGCAGGAGTCCTGACTGTATGCTCCATAGTGTGTTCTAATGCATCTGCACAATGACCATATGTCAGGAGATTGTACTGTACTTTTCTCACTGTTTCTCTGTATACCACATAGCCTGTTGCTGTGCTAATGGAAAATACGCTCAGAAGCTTCTTAAGGATTTATTTGCAAACTACAGCAGTGCCCTCCGGCCGGTGGAGGACACCAACAAAGTGCTGAACGTAACGCTGCAGGTGACTCTCTCCCAGATCATCGACATGGTAAAGCACTGTCCCCTACAGTCCATGCATATGCCCATACTGTCCCAACCAACCCTGTCACATATTACAGGACGAGAGGAATCAAATTCTCACAGCCTATTTGTGGATCCGGCGAGTGTGGGTAGATTCACACCTCAGATGGGACAAAGATGAGTACGATGGACTCGATACCATCCGTATACCTAGTAGTTATGTATGGAGACCTGATATAGTCCTATATAACAAGTAGGTCGGAATGGTATTGGGTTGATCTGGTGATGATGGCCTGGACAGAGGGCACAAGCTGAACTCTTCCACAGTGTATTACCGGGAGTGTTCAGGTCACAGTCTGCTTTTTCTAACCCCCCAAAAGAAAGAACTGGACTTAATTTTTTGTCAGTTTGTACACACACCTATATTCCTAATGAATATTAAAAACTAAATATTATGATGTAGTTATAGAGTCACTGTTATTGCATTAAAATAGAATATGCTTTTGAAAACACTTACACACAAAGAGTAAACTTCAAGCCTCTCATAGATACTTCATATAGCCACATAGCTTCTTTTTATAACCTTACCCACTTTGCTCCATTTACTTTCTAAATGGAAACTGCAACTATAACCTTGTTCTTTGATATGGAGGATTATTAAAAGCAGACAGAACTGAGGAGATAGTAGCTTTCCCTCAGCTGGTGAATTGTGCCCTCAAATCTTGGTTACCATCCATTTGCATTAAATGGGTTCTAACATGAGAATCTTGTGTTACAGCGCTGATGACCACTTCACCGGCCCCATGGACACCAACGTGGTCATCCAGCACGACGGTCAGATCACCTGGGATTCTCCGGCCATCACCAAAAGCTCCTGCAAGGTCGACGTCTCCTTCTTCCCCTTTGATGCTCAGCAGTGCCGCTTCACCTACGGCTCCTGGACCTACAATGGTAACCAACTCGACATCCTCAACGCCATGGACAGCGCAGATTTGGCCGACTTGGTGGAAAACGTGGAGTGGGAAGTTCTGGGAATGCCGGCGAAGAAGAACGTTATAGTGTATGGGTGTTGCGCGGAGCCGTACCCAGATGTGACCTACACCCTCAAACTGAAAAGAAGAGCATCATTCTATGTGTTTAACCTGCTGATTCCGTGTGTTATGATCTCATTCCTGGCACCGCTTGGTTTCTACCTCCCTGCCGACTCTGGAGAGAAGGTGTCATTGGGGGTCACTGTCATGTTAGCACTAACAGTCTTCCAGCTGTTAGTCGCCGAGATAATGCCACCGTCGGAGAATGTACCTCTCATTGGTAAGACATGAGATATAAAGATTTTCATGGTAAAAAGTGTGTAAGTAGGTGCATATGTTATTTAAGCACTATGTAACTTTTCTGGTCTACAATTCGTACCTGCTTGTCTCCATGAAGCCTAGAATGTTACAGTGTGGCATTAAATTGGAGATAGTAATAAATGTTGTCATAAAAGTAGTGATGATGGTCAGGCCCTACGAAAGACTCTTGACAAATCACATGTTTCATACGAAGTAACCACAGAAGCTCAGTTGGTATAGCATTTGTCCACTGATTAGACAGAAAGTCTCGACATAAACGTCATTGGTTGAGTGGTCAGACTGACGCACAGGTTCACTCTTGGACAAGACACTTAACCCACCTTGCCCCTATAGTATCTGTGTAGACTGGTGTATGAGCGTGTGTGTGAATGGGTGAGTGGTTCCTTGTTGTAATGCGTATCTTGAAGGTGGAAAAGCGTCATAAAAATTTGATCATTTAACCTGAGCTGATAATTCAAACAAACAAAAACAGAAAACACAGGTTCCTGTAGAAATGTTCTTATTAAAACATAGAACAGCACAAATAGAAAGTAAAAGAAGAAAGAAAGAAGAAAGTCAGATAAAAGGAGATGGCTGTGAGGCCCCACTGCAGGACACAAAGGATCTTCAGATGTTCTGAGGGCTGTTATTCTCCTTAAACTGCCCTAACAAAGAGACTAAGAGACTTTTGTTTGAGCTATTGTGTTATTATTGAATTTTAACTGCTCAGTGTGCTTGAATTGGGAACATCTGGGACAAATTCAGTTATATGTATTGATTGATTGATTAGTGAGGATATAATGTGAGCTTTAGAAATGTAGATGGCATGTGAGGTATTTGGATGTGTAGTGATTATGCAAAATAATGCAGGGATCAGACCTTTTTAGTATCACAGTCATCTGTCACTTTGTATTTGAAGTTAGCTTTTCTGTAGTAATATTATCTCAGTCATTTTATTTATTTATTTTTTTCAGGAAAGTACTACATTGCAACCATGACTATGATCACAGCCTCCACCGCTCTGACCATCTTCATCATGAACATACACCACTGTGGCCCAGATGCCAAACCTGTCCCTAAATGGGCCAAGACGCTCATCCTGCAGTATCTTGCCCGCATGTGCTTCGTCTACGAGGTTGGCGAAAACTGCATGTCTCCAACACCTGAAAAACCCGAACACCAACCTGTCAAAAACAACAACAACTGCACTCCCAACGGCCAAGCTCCATCTGGCCGAGAAGAGGACGTGATCAAAGTGGAGCGAGGGGTCCCGGAATTTTCTGAGGAGAGGGAGGATGCGGATCACATGTTGAGTCCCTTGAGTTCTATTGGGATAAACCCAACGAGTAACTACAGCGCCTGGAAGAATGGTGTTTTCGTGAGTATGGATTGTGGAGATACAGGTCCACCGAGGTGTAGGAGAGGAGGAGTGAGTGACCATGCAGACAAACGTGAGGGGTGCTGTAACAGTCAGAGTGTGGAGAATCAACTCCTTAGGAATATGGAGTACATGGCGAACTGTTATCGCGATCAGAGGGCGACGCAGAGACGCACAGGGGAGTGGAAGAAGGTGGCCAAAGTCTTAGACCGCTTCTTTATGTGGCTGTTCTTCATTATGGTGTTCTTAATGAGCCTTCTGATCATGGGTAAAGCTATTTAACTCCGGTCAAGAGGGCTATGATGAATCTCTGACTGACTGACTAATTTATTGGTTTCATAAACAAATATATCTGGAATTGCAGAGTATTAGGGATGTAACAACAACCAAAATGCCATGATATCGTATCGTCAAAAGTCTCACAATAATATTATGGGCTGTCACAATATATAGAATTACAAGTTCCTTTGCTTAAATGCATGGTTTTATAGCTGCAGCAGCTTGTGAACATTGGAAACTACATATCCCATGATTCATTTCAGTGCAAACAACGTGAAGACATATGTTTTTTCTTGAATTCTTGGGATTATGACGTAAATAATTCACACCAAAATGTTGTCAAGGTATTTTAAAAGCAAAAAAGTGTTACATCTACAATTATATTAGCCTCTTCAAAATGTCACAGTAAGTATCGTACCATGCATATCATGATAATATGGTACCGAGAGAGTTAGATCCCATTACATCCCCACTGAGTATGCATCAAAATCAGACGTAAATTCCTTTTTACTTTTTTTACTTTTTTTTTTACTTTTTATAAGGTGTAAAATGTCAATGCAAAGGCTCTCTTAAGGTAACGAATAGTGGATTAAAGGCCCTACATTACATTTTTCCCCATGTATTTAAGCAAAATTTGTCTTGTACAGTACAGATATATTGTGCAAGCAGCTCTTAAGGTCAAAATCCTGTATGTCTGCTGCGTGCTTTCTACATCCAGGGGTTTAATTTCCCTGATAATGAGGAAGTGTGCATACTAGTTGTTTTTAGCTTTACTGTCACAGCAAAACTCTGCATTGGTTTGAGCCGTGTAAAGCATTATAAACTGCTCAGAATGCACAAGGTAAAAAAGGAATAAGTTTGGACCACTGCAAACTGTTTATAATTGACTAATTCTATTTTTCACATTTTTAAGATCAGGTACAGGGCCTTTAATTACAACTACAAGCCATATTACAAAATTATTATTGCATTATCAGCTACTATTCCAAAAGTCCAATTGTTGTCGTAATTGTGTAATTTAGTCTTGTCACAGTGTCTACTAAAAAGTCTAAAGACTAAAAGATAATAATAGTTTTAGTCATAATATTGTGCATTTTTCATACTGAATACTTTATACACATTATATTTCTAACTTTCAGAAACACAAGCCTGACAAAATACTTGTGAATGAAATATCCATTTACTGTATGCTGTAAAAGTATGTATATAGTGATCCAAATGTTTAAAAAAATAAAATAAAATAAAAATGTAACAACCCGATTACAGTGACCATGATTTTTTGGCATTCATAATTTATAGTTAGGTGATAATAGCATAATTTCTTTCCTTTCTGTGGATAACAGTTGCCGCAGTATTAAAAAGGCTAAAACACTTAATTAAGTTATATACTAGAAAATAGGCTGCTTCCCACTGCCCTCCTTATTGACCTTATTCAGGAAGTTGCTTCAGGTGCTGCCTTTATTATTCCAGTTGCATGATTTAGGCTGCCAATGTTGAGAGCAGAAATACAGAATACAAAGCCATTTTCAGGCCACTCGTTGAAAGGATGAATTGTTAGTGCACATGAAGGTTTGAACATTTTAGACAACACAACCTGCTTTATATAGCCTAATATTTTAGCAACAAGACTTTCATATTAGTACTGAAATTAATGGAACTCCTCTTAACCTGAATGTGAGAAAGTAACAGAGGAAGAAGATGAATTTGACTTTATTCAAGTTTCATAAAATACACTTTTTAAATTATATCTCTATTAATAAACTCAACAAATTTGTAATTTTGTAAGAAAGATTTTAATCTTCTAGTTTGGTGACACTTTTCTTTGAACATAATACAGAATTTTATCCCGTAATAATTTGGTCTGTAGTCCATAGATAACAGGATTCAAATTAGCAGGAACCACGTGGAACAAGACATACGCTATTTGTCTCAAGTATGGATATTCTCGAAAGCGATGAAGAATAATCGTCAGAAAACCAGAACACATCATGATAAGGTAGAGCACCAGGTGACTTGCACACGTCTGAACTGCACGCTTATTCAACTCTTTATTCTTTCTAATCCAACACAGGAGCACAATCCGAATGTAAGTGATGGCCATACACCCCATAGAACAAGTAAAGAGCAGCACGGTGAAAAAGAGCCCGTAGATATTGTTTATGGATATGTCATCGCATGATAGTTTGAACAGGGATGCGTTGTCACAGTATGCGTTTTGAATCACATTCGTACACCGTGACAGTCTAACAGTCAGTCCAATGAGAACAGAAACCAGGACTATTGATATGCTCCAAGCTGCTGCTGAAAGACCAGTGACTGTCCAACTCGTCATGATGGCACTGTACCTCAACGGGTGACAGATAGCAATGTAGCGGTCGATAGCCATGATAATAAGAATCATATGAGAAGCTGAACCAAATGTATGGCTATAAAAAGCTTGCACCACACATTGCCAGTAGCTAATGTAGAGCTCTCCGGTCACAATGTGCATCATGAGTCGAGGTAGGAGGACGGTGTTCCCTATGAGGTCGTTCAGAGGTAGGTTACAGAAGAGGAGGTACATGGGCTGGTGGAGAGAGCGGTCGCTGAAGATGACCAGAAGGACGCCCAGGTTGGACAGGAGCAGGGAGGAGTAAACCAGAAGCAGGGAGAAGAACAGAGGGTACCTGAAAGGCGGAGCGATGTGGAAGCCCTGGATCTCCAGAAGGTCACTGGATATAGTGGAGTTGGCACCCATGATGTTTGTGTACGGAGCTGAAAAAAAAAAAAAAAAAAAGATATTTCCTTCACAGTTTGAGTCATATTAAAATGTCCAAGCATCTTTTTTCAATTTTTTTCAGATCATAAAATTAGGGGTGTCAAATTATCGCGTTAATTGCGATTAATTAATTACAGTCATATTTAGCGCGTTATGTTTTTTAATCCCGTTAATCTCATTTTTAATCTCTAACTTTACTGTTTCTGTATGTGAGTTGCTTTATTATAAAACCTGTTTTACACACACACACACACACACACAAAAAAACACATTTATACACTTTTTTATTTCGGTAATTCCACTCATTGCCGGAAACCCACACAAAACGCGCGCAGTAAGAGCGATGTAAACGTCACGTTCACGTTCGCGGCATCAGTCGCACAATGGACGAGGTCGAAGAGCCAGTAGAACAGAGTCAGCAGTGCACAGGTAAAAACACATTCGTGTCTTGGAAATTATTCTCCCGACGTGAAATATAAAAGAAAATAACAAATATAAAATCACCTACAACTTAAATGTCACTGGTGAAAACAACCTGCATGATGATGTCTGCACTACTGTCCTATAGTGACCTGCCACATGAGGGGACACGCACACAAACAGAAACACACACAAACACAAACACACACAAACAAACACACACCTTCATCATCGTCATTAACCTGAGAACGCGCGGACCATGTTTCCTTCCGTAGACACTGCGCCGCGTGTGGACCGTGTTTTCTCGCTACGCTGCGTAAACCGCGCTTCCTCCTGTGCGCCTCTAAACCAGAACTAACACCAAGACTAAAACCAGGACTAATCCAGTCCAGGACTAAACCAGGACTAAACCGGGTCTAAACCAGGACTAAACCAGGACTAAACCAGAACTAAAACCAGAACTAAAACCAGGTCTAAACCAGGTCTAAACCAGGTCTAAACCAGGACTAAACCAGAACTAAAACCAGAACTAAAACCAGGTCTAAACCAGGACTAAACCAGGACTAAACCAGGACTAAACCAGAACTAAAACCAGAACTAAAACCAGGTCTAAACCAGGTCTAAACCAGGACTAAACCAGAACTAACACCAGGACTAAAACAGGACTAACCCTTTCCAGGACTAAACTAGGACTAAACTAGGACTAAAGCAGGTCTAAACCAGGACTAAAACAAGGACTAAAACCAGTGATCTCATATATAAAGCATTTCTCTATCAATAATATTTTTAATATGGTTAAGGAAAGACTGGACTTTTTATTGTCTTTAAGTAGACAAAGGTTATTATGTTCAGATTTCCTCGTCTTTTGCTACTTTACAGCAAAACTGTTTCTTATTCATGGAGACTTGGGCTCAACAGCCAATTTGAAGAGATTTGTTAAACAATAAATGACTTTATAAAGTCACTTTTTTTAATCTATATCAGTCTTTTGATCTGCCACAATAATGTAATAATGAATTTAAATGAAAATACCTCAAATTGAAGGCTTTTCTCAGCAATTTTTAGGTGAGATTAAAATGAGATTAATTAGATTAATTAATTACAGATCATAATTAATTAATCTCTCAATTTTTTTAATCGCATGACAGCACTACATAAAATATAATAAGAAATATTGTACAAACAAGCAATAAAACTTATGGATGAAAAACCAAGAAATTGCCACAAAAATACAAAATCCCTTATAGGTGCACTATGTGAATTTGTCCTGTCCACCTCAACGTTGTATCTATTATTTGCTAAAAATTTTCCACATTTACACATTAAGGTATCTAGTATCCCCATGAAGTTAGGCAGTTTAAACCACCAGACCAAGTTACAGTTTAGATCTCACAATGCAATGAAAAGATTTGTCATTAAATATAGTTAATGATAGGTGTATTTAATGTCAACTTGTGGAACATTCCAGACAAAGCAACTACATCTCCATAAAGTCAAGTATATGCTTAAGGCCACATTAAAAAAAAAAAAGTCACATAGTGTAACCCTAAGCCTAATCCTTTAACTTCTGAACAATGGTTACATAACCATCAACTATAACCTGTTATCTCTGAGTGTCATCTAATATTTATACATAGTTTCCAACATTACTTTTACTATATTTTGTTGTTTAAAATCCTTTCTCATGTCATGAACAAGTCGAGTCTGTGTTCTGTTGTTTTAACATCATGACTGGGGAATGAAAAGTACCTCTTTGGTTGATTCTTGAATCATGAGTATGAAGAATTTCAAATGAATTAATCAAACCTGTGAATACTGAATCTTTCGCTTGAACTTAACATTAACTTGAACATTAATTACAATTCCATTTTATTAATGGTGAAACAATAAAACAGTTACCTCACTGAGCTATAGATACACTTCACCTTCAAGACTGAATGGCATAATGGGATAAACAGCATGTCGAAAAAGAATGTGGCACAAAACCACAAAATAAGGCCTAGAATTAATATTGCCTTTTACCAACTCCCATTGAAATTCAGAGTTTGCAATTCAGTATACTACAAGAAAGGTCTGTGACCAATAGTCAGATAATGAGGTACCATGGACAGTGTAATTGCTCTCAATGAAACCACAAGGAAGGAAAAGAAAACATATTGGTTTAAGATGAGAAATGAACATTGTAATTCACAATTCAAACAAAATATTGTATCTTTGCCTACATTTTGTCAAAAGTCCTCCGAGTGATGCAAACAAACACTTCTAATAAAGGCCAACTTCATACGTTCACAAGGTGTTATAAAAAGTATTCAACAATGATATGCCTATGATTGCCCCCCTAAACATGTGAAACATTCAAATACTCATACTCTTAAATGAACTATTATCACATTTTAAATACAAAACATGAAGACATATTGTACCCACTTACCAGACAGAGTCAATGTTAACTAACAGTGTGTTATGCTGCTATAGGCAGCTCTTAGAGGGAGGTGAATGTTCTGTACTACTTTTATGGAGTAGTTGCCATCCTCGGTCAGTTCCCAAAGGGTGACAATGACGACTTCAACATTCGCATGGTGCAAAGCAGGGCAAAGATCCTGGGCACTGACATGACACAAGGGATACCCTTTTAGTTTTTTCTTGGTTTTACTCAAATGAAGTATTCCATGTTCCATGTCATGATTTTTGTATCTAATGTGCACCAAGCATTTGACACTCAGGGTGAAAAATCTGAATTTTGGTCACAGTTTGTGACACATCGAGCAATCTTTTATCTACATTCTCACAATGCATTCACTATAGAGCTTGCAGTTAACTTTTATAGTTGGTACAGTATTCTGCCCTCACTGTTGAAGCGAATACAGCTATGCAGATAGATAAACTCCTCTACAACTGACAGGTGTATTGTCCACTTTAATGACGTTGCCTTCAATTATCGACAGAGTGAAACTACAACAGAAAAGAAATAAACAGTATTTAGACTGTGTAGTAATACAATTTCACACATGTAGTAGCTTAAATCTAGCTAACACTGGCCAAACTAACTCCAACTAAACATTCCCTTTATGTATACATATACACAACAATTGGAAATATGGTCTCCAAAACTTATTTAACATAAAATACTTACAAGCAATGCTTTCAGTAGGACAACAAAAAAGGATGGACATAGATTAGATCAGACAACTGTCTGTGTCAGCCATTTTACACAATGTGCTGCATCTCTAACGCTACAACAATTAACAGTGAACATAAGCATTAAACAAACACAGTGACTCCTGCTGGTGGAGGGGAAAACTACACCAGCACACACCCCGTCTGGCATCTATAGGATGTCATATCACTTTTTCTAGGAACTAATGTCTTTGTTACTTATTATGCAGGAGGAGTACAGTCTCTGTAACTGGTCTCAAGAAGGTTTTGCAGGTTCCTTCAGAAGCAACCTTCACTTCAATCTTCCGAACTCGTCCATCACGACTGGGAAAAGTCTCGACCACAATCCCCATGGGCCAATGGTTTCTTTTGGCTTGGTTGTCTTTTAGAAGGACAAGATCTCCTTTTTGTAGATTTGGACTTTGTGACTGCCATTTCCTGCGTTCTTGAAGTGTTTGCAGGTATTGTGTCTCCAGCGATGCCAGAAGACTTTCGAAAGATGTTGCACCTGTCTCCACTGGCGTCCAAACAAGTCGTTCTTGTCGAAGTTTCCGGGAGGTATAGGTGGTGATCCAGTTTTCTGGGCGAGAAGGGTAGCAGGTGTGAGAATGAACGGACAGTCCGGATCTGACGAGACTGGAATGAATGGTCGCGAGTTCACGATGGCGGAGACAGTTTTCTGAGAGGGTTTTGTTTCAAAAATCTCCCTTTGGGCTTCAAGACATGTGAAGACATCAGAATATGTCTTATGTTGAACACAGCTCAGGATGACACTTTTCGGTCTACTGTAGTCCTCTGGACTGACTTTTTTGCAGATATGCCAGCCTCGACACTCGTCTCCATAAGTGTTCCCCTTAAAGCTTCTGGCGATATGAACAAGCCTTGCTACAATTCTTAGCAATGACCCCCAGGTTAAGAATGACTCAAAGCATCTTGGATCAAGAAAGGAGTCCGTGAGATGGGTTGAGAAGGTTGTCACCGTGGGACGGATCTCGGGGTCGGTTCGGGGTTGACCAGATCAAAGGAGGATACAGTCTGTTCTGTATTCGATCTCAACAGAAAGTCTGGTCCTTTAAGCCACACACTTGATGTGAGAGCATTTGCTGGGATTGACCTTGAAGCGATGTCGGCTGGGTTAAGGTCTGTAGGAACATAGTTCTGGGCTGGATGATTTTCGGATCCTTTGTACTCGGTTACACACGTAGATGTAGAACCTTCTTGATTCATTCTGTATGTATCCAAGCACTACCCTGCTGTCTGTGAAGAATTTTGTAGAGTGGAAAGGAACATCCATCTCCTCTGATATGATGTCTGCAATCTCAACGGCAAGAACAGCCGCACACAGTTCAAGCCTCGGAATTGTTATTTCTTGTTGAGGAGCAAGCTTTGCCTTGCCAAACATGAATCCGAGTTCACTCTTGCCTTCTGAATCTGTGAGCTTGACGTAAGCTACTGCAGCAATCGCTTTGGTTGAGGCATCGCAAAAAATACAGAGCTCCCTTTTTGCTGCACCAGAGAAGGATATGGAGGTGTACATTCTTGGTATTCCGACCTCTTCAAGGAGTTTCAGGGATTCTTTCCACACGCTCCACTCTTCGAGCAACTTTCCTGGAAGTGGATCGTCTCATTCACCTGTATCTGTGGAGAGTTCTCTCAGAAGTGCTCTGCCTTTGATGCTGACAGGAGCTGCGAAGCCAAGAGGGTCATACAAACTGTTGACCACAGACAGGACCCCCCTGCGAGTGTAGGGTTTGTCGGCTGTAGAGACTTGAAAGGTGAACTCATCTGTTGCAATATCCCAACTTATCCCGAGACTCCTTTGCATTGGTGGGAGATCTGCTCCTAGGTCGAGATCCTTTAGACCCTTGGCTAGATCGTCTTTAGGGAATGCCTTCATTACTGCGACATCGTTAGAGGCAATCTTGTGTAACCTGAGATTAGATGAGGCCAGAGTTTCCTGAGCCCTCTGAATAACTGAGACGGCCTTTGTGCTTGATGGGAAGGAGACAAGACCATCATCCACATAGAAATGGCGTTCCACCAGATGGCGTGCGGTAGTGTCTTCTCCTTCTTGGTCTTCCGATGCCCTTCTGAGTCCATAGGTTGCAACTGCGGGCGAAGGACTGTTGCCGAAGACATGTACTGTCATCCGGTACTCAATTACTGGCTGGTCCATGTCGTTATTTTGATGCCAGAGGAATCGAAGAAAGTTCCGGTGGTCCTCCCTGACCATAAAGCAATGGAACATTAGTTTGATGTCAGCTGTGACAGCCACTTTTTCTTCGTGAAGTCTCATCAGCACACCCAACAGGCTGTTGTTGAGATTGGGCCCAGTAAGGAGAACATCATTGAGGGATACTCCGTTATGTCTTGCGCTTGAGTCGAGACAATACGTATTTGGTCCAGTTTGCAGGGGTGGTACACTCCGAAGAATGGAAGGTACCAACACTCATCGTTTTCACTGAGAGGTGGCGCTATTTCTGCATGGCCATTGTCAAACAAAGTTTGCATAAAGTCCTGAAACTGACCTTTCATTTGAGGACTTTTGTTTAACATGTGACAAACTGAGGCGAGGCGTTGGATAGCTTGCTGTTTGTTGTTTGGAAGGCGTGGCCTAGGTGAACGAAAGGGTAGAGGAGCAACCCAACCATTTGTACTGTACTGATAGACTTCCTCATCCATTATCTGCAGGAAGGCTCTTTCTTCTTGGGAGTAGCCAGGTCTTTCGTCCGAACTTGTTTCGTTAGGAGGGCCGTTGCGTTGGTCAAGAACCTTGTGTGCCTGAATGACGTCCCTTCCGATGAGAAGCAGGATGTGAGTGTCGGGGTCAAGATCTGGGATTTCAGTTGCAATTTCTTGAAGATGGGAGTGGTTTCGCACAGCTTCAGGTGTGGGGATCTCATTGCGATTATCGGGTAGCATGTCGCACTCAATAAGTGTTTGGAGCTCTAGACGTGACTTGCAATCTGGTGATTCCACGATGAAGTTGTTTCCTCTCCTCCCTCTTGTTTCCTCCAACCCAGAACAGGTTCTCAGTTTATATGGGAAGGAGTTCTTGGTGATGCCAAAGGTGTCGAAAACTGATGATCTGGCAAGTGACCTGTTGCTTTGGTCATCCAAGATGGCGTAGGCTTTGAATTTCTTCTCAGGTGAACCCTTTGGATAAACAAACACAAGACAGATCTTGGCACATGAGTGACTTTCAACTTTGTTGCCGCAAACTTGTGTGCATTTAGAGGTGGCCATGGGCAATGCCACATTGCACTCCCCGCCATTGGCTGTTGTGGGCTGTGTTGTGGGCTGTGTTGCGGGCTGTGTGGTGGGCTGTGTTGCGGGCTGTGTGGTGGTAGCTGATGGTGCAGGTCCTGGATGGAGGGCCGTAGTGTGCGAGTTGGAGCTACATTCTGAACAAGAAATCTCTGCTTTGCACATCTTAGCTTGGTGGTTTGTGGAGGCACAGCATCTGAAGCATATCATATTCTTCTTTAGATAGGCCTTTCTCTCCTCCAGGGTCATCTCTCTGAATGTTCTACATTTTTTGAGTGCGTGAGGTTTTTTATGGATAGGGCATTCTTTATTTGGGTCCTCAATGTGTGTTTGACTTTTTCTCGGGTCAGTGCTGATTACTTCGGTCCTGATAACTGAGATGGGCTCTTTCCTTGTGTGCCGTTCCTGATATTTTACTATCTTGGTGGGAGCAGGAGGTGGCTGCGCGGAATGCCTAAAGCTGGGATCGTTGCGCATTCTTGATTCCTTGCTGACGAATGCAGAGAATGGGGGGAATGACACACGATGTTGCTCTTTGTAGTTAGACCCGTAGTTCATCCACCTTTCTTGCATGCCGAAGGGTAGTTTTTCCACTACCGGGTGAATGCCTCTTGCCGTGTCAAGATACAGTAGGCCTGGGATGTACCCTTCACTCTTTGCGGCATGTATCTCTAAAAGCAAGTCCTCTAGTTCTCTCAAGAGGTGTGGCTCTTTGTTTGAGATCCTTGGAAAACTTTCAAATTTGTCGAGCAGTGCCTTTTCCAGAGCTTCGGGAGAGCCATAACACTCATTGAGTCTTTCCCACACTTTAGAGAGTCCCTCAGACGGATTGTTAATGTACACTGCTCTTAGGCGGTTTGCGTATTGAACGGATTCTGCTCCAAGCCATTTTATTAACAAATCAAGTTCTTCACTGGCAGTTAGATTTAGGTCACAAATCACATTTTCAAATGAAGATTTCCATCCCCAGTAGTCTCCAGCCTTGTCGTTGAACTTTCGGAGGCCACCAGTGAGCAACTCGCGTCTTGCGAGAAATCTGGCAATGTCAGATATGTCATCTTGTTGTGCGTTTACCTTGCGTTCAAATCTTGGTGAAGCTCCTGGTGATGTTTTCCGTGTGGAGATGCTTTTGGGAGACCGGTGAAAATCTTCACGTTTGTTAGCACTGAGGGGTAGCAGAGTGTATTCTTTTAGAGTGTCAGTGGACTTGACTGGTTCTTGTTTTGGTTTGTGGAATGTGACATTTGGTGTCGGCATTACATCATACTTAGCGTTATCAAACGGATTTGTACTATCTTTGAGGATGAATTGATCTTTTACGTAGTTAAAGGTGCGGTCCAATGTATCAACCTTCTGAGGCATCCATCCATGTTCTTCTTCGAGATCATTCGCAGCCGTTTCAAACACAATTGCCTCTGCGTGTGCTGCTTCTGCATCACATTCTTGCTGGAGGGCCTGTAGTGTGGCCTCTAAGCGTGTTTCCTCAACTTTAAGCTCTGCTTTCTTAACTTGTATTTCTATTTCCTTTTTAGCGTATTCTGCCCTTTTGCGGGCAGCTTCGGCTTTGGCTCGAGCGTTTAGGGCAGCCATACTTGCAGATGACTTACTTGATGCATGTGATCTCTCTGAGCGGAGTGATGGTGTTTTTCCGTCAGACATATTTGCTGAGGCTGATGTAGCATCCAGTTGTCGTCCTGTAGCAAGATGCTTTTTCACTATAAAAAAAAAACTAAAAACTACACCAGCACATACAGTGTTCCTTGATTTTTAAAAAAAGTTTTTTTTTGACACTGAACCATTCCGTGCTTGTAACAAAGTTTTACTTCTCGAAATGGTCAGTGTCCTAGTTTGAATCATAATCAATAACCAGTAATACTTGTCATATACATTTCAAACAAGAAATCCCCAAAGAACCATTCCTGGCACCATTCTCTTCAGTCTGTGCTTCAAACATCTCTATGAGGTGCCCCCAGAAATCAGTTTGCAGATGTAGGCTGAGGAACGGGCCTTCTCTGTGAACTGTAACAAATCTTGACATCTTCAAAAACCATTGCTGTCCCCTTAGCAGTGTTACAGTCATGTTTAATGGGTTTTTAATGTTAAAACCCCATCTAGGGACAAGTGCTCACTTGCATGGGACTGCGGGGGTACAGTTTGTTGTTGTACTTAGACTTTCATGTTTGATTTTCTGATTTCAAATGGGTAACCAGCACTGACCAGCACATACTGTGCCTGTGTGCTTAAATTAAGTTATTTGCTTTGAGAGAGACAGAGCCGAGGGTCAGACTCCTCCTGGGACGTGTGAGGTGTAATAATAATTCTATAATAAAGTTAAAGGTGTGGGCCAGCAGGTGTCCTCCCTTGGGCCGGTCTGCTCCTGTGGTCTGAGGATGATTTAATTATGTCTCCTGAGCAGCTCTGGGGACATTGGCCATGCACTGACACTGCCATGCTGACACTGCCTGACACACTGCCATGCACACACTGACACTGCCATGTCCCCCACACACACTGACACTGCCATGCCCCACACTGACACTGCCATCACACTGACACTGCCATGTCCCCCACACACTGACACTGACACACTGACACTGCCATGTCCCCCCACACACACTGACACTGCCATGTGCCCCCCCCACACTGACACATGACACTGACACTGCCATGTCCCCCCACACACACTGACACTGCCATGTCCCCCAACACACTGACACTGCCATGTCCCCCACACACACTGACACTGCCATGTCCCCAACACACTGACACTGCTGACATGCCACTGACACATGACACACTGACACTGCCATGTCCCCCCACACACTGACACACTGACACTGACACTGCCATGTCCACCCACACACACACTGACACTGACACACTGACACATGTCCCACCCACACACACTGACACTGCCATGCCACACACACTGACACTGCCATGTCCCACACTGACACTGCCATGTTCCCCACACACACTGACACTGCCATGTCCCCCACACACACTGACACTGCCATGTCCCCACACTGACACTGCCATGTCCCCCACACACACTGACACTGCCATGTCCCACAGCCACACTGATGCTTTCACACAAACAAAAACAGGATGGACAATCCTGCACATGTTAATTCAAGACATCTTTACTTGCTTGAGTTTTCATTCTCATGCTGATTGAAAGGACATTAGTTGACAACTGACAACATTCAGTACTACAGTACTACAGTAATACATTCAGTTATACTGATACAAATATAACAAAATGGACAATACAATGAGAAGTCAGAACAAACCCGTTAAAACAAGGCAAACGCTGCTATATCAACTTGTTTGCATATTAGTTTATAAAAAATAGTATATACATAATATGTTTAATAATGTTCTTTACTGAAACTTTATCATAAGTGTTTCCATTTTCTTTGATGGTTCAAAACAAAAACATTATAACATAGAACTATTGTCTCCAGACAAAATGGCTGCAAACATTAGCCCCAGAGGAGTCATCACCTGATGGACCAGGGGCCTCATTAGAGACTGAAATGTCCCAACTGTCCGGGGATTAATCACAGCATGAAACAGTTAATAACAATAACATGTATAATTATGTAGGGACTTCTCAGAGGAACTCATTACATCCATCAACTGCTGATGCAATCACACCTCCTCCCCTCAGTAATAATACAGAAGAAATTAAGACTGATCAATAACATAATAGAGAGGAGGGTTTTGGTCCAAGACATAAGAGAAGATATGGTAGAGAAGAAAGAGCACTGATTGCATTAATTTAGCTACAAAACATCATAATTATTTGCAGGCAAGTCAATATTGAAATAAAACATATCAGAAAAAGTAATAAATGATAAATTATTTACATATGGCAACTCCAAACAATAAATTAAAAAATTAAAAAATCATTCATATTCTGACTTTTCTGTTGGTCTAATGTAGCCCAATACAACCGTGGTCCAAACTACTCAAATGAGAGCATAATCTGTTTCATCATGTCCACAACATTATATGACAAACAAATCATAAAATGATGGTTAGTGGGTCATCGCATATATCACACAAAGCTGAAATAAATCAGTGAGTTTAGTCACTAAACATATCAGCAAAGTATAATGAATGCTGAAAGTAAAAAGGGCATTTTAAAACTAGGAAAGATAAAATTAAGGCAAGGTACACTTTATTGTCCCTGTAGGGAAATGTGTCCTCTGCATTTGACTCATCCTTCAGGGGACCCATTTCCAGATTTTGAGCTAGTCTTGGTCAACCTTAACTGGGACTGAGATTGGAGCAAGCTCAGTATCAGATTCATCAGATTCTACTGGTCTATCCATCTGTAGTTCTTGGGCAGGTAGATTTTTTTTTTAAAATGGCATAAATGGTTTATAAGTGGGATTTTTTTTTTTTTTTTTAAGGCTGGGGTACCTGACTTTAGTACCTGACTTTTAACTCATTATTTATTGTAAAAGCAAGAAAACCAGAGTACCACCACAAAAATTTATTCTGACATCAGAAACACAGTTTTGACAAAAAATGACAAAACCCATGTGCACTTAAATATTATCATGCTGAGATGAAACTAAACTCTGTTTAAACTTGATAAAACAGAGTTTACAAAGTGGTTCACAACAAAGCAAAACAATACAGGTCTATACATTCCATAAAATTGATTCTTGTAATCTTTGAGTCATGTTATAATGGTGTTAACTCCTTAAAAACATAGTTGGAGTTGTGTTTTGTTTCTTTCAAACATGTTTAGATCATCCTGAATTATTAAAATGTCTGCATCACCAAAGCTCAAAATGATCAGTTTCACCTTGCGATGTCATGCAGTAATACTCACTTTTTGTTTCACAGAGATGGGGAATTTCAGGGCTGAAATTATCCAAATTATTCTAATGATGGTGTAAGGAGTTTAAAAACACAGTGGAGCACTTCCTGTAATACCACATAACATGACATCACAAGGTGGAACAGAGTGTTTTCTGTTTGGGAAATAAATATGCAGGGTTTGTGTGTTAAACAAGTGCAAATGAAACAAAACACAACTTCAGGTCTGTTTTTGATGAGGAAACAACATTATAACATAGATAAGAAAATACCGTAATATGGGTTGTTTTTACAAGTAATAGGTTTGTGAATCCAAGTTGAAGCTACTCAAATCAACTGCTCAAAATCTTCGAAAATATTCCTTTTTTGTGTATTGAGTGATGTTTTCCAGCAGGGACATTCCCGGAGGAAGACACTGACGATGGCGGAGTTCTGTTTGGGAGAGATAAAAGCAGGTCTGTTTCCCCTGCTCCACACCTCTCTACCTCATCCTCTCCTTTGACTCATAATGGCTAACACTTCTTTCCAATTCAACCTCACTCTGGACCGCTTCGTCATCCCAACCGGTGGCAAATACCCCATCTTCTTATTCGGCATCGCTATCTACCTCTTTAGCGTCTCTTGCAATGTGACTTTGTTGCTTCTGATCATTCTGAAACGCAACCTGCACAAGCCAATGTATATTATTTTGTTCAGCCTTCCTCTCAATGACCTGATTGGTATCAACACCATGTTACCCAAAGTCCTTTCAGATATCATGAGTGAGAGCCATTGCGTCAGCTACCCTCTCTGCGTACTCCAAGCCTTCCTGTTGCACATGTACGGAGGCGGGATTCTGTTCATTTTGGCTGCTATGTCTTTCGATCGTTACATTGCTATATGCATGCCTTTGCGTTACAGCACTGTGATGACTCCTAAGCTCATTTTTTGTATTATTTCTTTAGTTTGGGGCTTGGATTTCATCTTGAACTGCATTCTTTTTTCACTACAATCCCACCTACCCAAGTGCAGATCTGTCATTTTCAATGTGTTCTGTGATAACCCATCTCTCTTGAAGCTAACATGTGGAAACACCACACTGAATAATATCATTGGTTTGTTCAATACAGCCTTTATGCAGGCTATAAGTGTCTCAGTGCAGGGGTTTTCCTATGTCAAAATACTCATTACGTGCATGGTTTCGGGGAGGTTAGAAACAAAAACCAAAGCAGTCAACACATGCGTGGCTCAATTGGTGATCTTTGTCATGTTTGAAATCGTAGCGACGTTCACCATACTTTCTCACAGGTTTCAAAATGTGTCAGACGATTTGCAGAAGATAATGGGGATGTTGATTTTCCTTGTCCCACCGCTGTTAAATCCAATCGTATATGGACTTTACACAAATGAAATCCGCAGTACTCTCTTGAAAGTTTGGAAAATTCGAGTGGACATGAATATATGATGTGAGTGAAGAGTAAAGAACTGCTCGAAATGTTTACATGTGTTTCTTGTGTTGAATTTACGTATGGTGTTTGAGTTGGCCAAACACAATTAATGATTTTTTGTAGTGTATGATGTGGTTTTCCCTACAAATACTGAATGAATTTTGTGAATGTTTGCTGTAAACCTACCTAGAGCCTATCTCAGAGACAGAAAAGATTAGTAAAGAGATTAGTAAAGAGCCAATCTTTACAGTATGTAAAAGGGCCCATATTATGTTATATGTTATAATGTAGTTTCCTCGTCACAAACATACGTGGATTTGTGTTTTGTTGCATTCACACAATTTAGTATTAAGTTATTATAAGTCTACATCTCCAAAGTTCAGAATGCTCTGTTCCACCTCACAAGAGCTTGAATTTTTTTTATCTTATTTATTTCTTCTTTTTTTTTTTTCAATGTTTACTGGAGTATATAAATTGTGATAACCTAAAGAAAAAGTCATGCTATATTTTAAATGCCTGTATATAATGTTCATGTATCCTTCATGTACCACTTTTTGTTAATTTGTGTACATCTTACTTTATTTTGATTCTGATTGCTTTTGATTACAATGTTCAAATGCTTTTAGTTCATCTCCTTTTCTGACACATCTGGTAAGTTCTGCAGGCTTGAATCCTTTTGTAAAAAAGGGCCATATACTGTATATAGACAATATATATTTACTGTGCATCTTCTTGTTTGTGAATGTAACCAGTAGATTTGAATGACATGGTTCAGTCTAGTGTACAGGCTGTTTTACATTTGTCAGCGAAAGCAGAAAACAACCCCCCTGGCTAACCCCGGTGCAATTACTGAAATGTTGAAATGAAAATAAAGAAATATTTTTTAGTTGCACCTGTCAAATAAATAAACCTGTCAAATTCACATCTCTAGTAATTTTTTCTATGCTTTAAAACCACTTTAGCTGTCTATTTTAAAACTGTTTAATTCCTGAGAATACTCAGTATTATGGTTTGACAGTTTTTATGGTTGTGGAGGCCCTGTGGTTCTTACTGGGGCCCTTTGTTTTGCAAATAAACATACTTCACGTTATACTGTTACAACTGTAAAGAACATTATTTTGCCCATTCTTCACCTATAAGGCTTTTCCTATGCCAGGAAATGGCTCTGTCAAAAACATAAAAGTCAGATCTACAAGAACTTTCTCAGATTTAATATCCCACATTATTTATAGTTAGGCTATGCTGACTTTGTGTTATTGTATAATTTGTAATAATTTATAAATAAACTATTGTAAAGTTGATTTATTCTAAACTACAAAGGTATTGGACATGATGCAGAAGTTGTTGATATTTTCATTTGGTGTTTGATGTTAGTGTTTAAAAAAAAGGAGTATAGGCCTCACATGAACCTTTCATTTGGATTGCTTGTTTCAATGCTGAAATCAGTTGGTTTAAATAGGGTGACCATATTTCCATTTGTGAAAACCTGGACATCATACCGGGGGTGGGAGGTGGGGCCTCGACATTGAGCTACAGTCGTCCCTCACTATATCGTGGTTCACCTTTTCACGGTCTCGCTGATTTTATTTATTTATTTTTTTTACCCATGGGTGGGTCAGGACTAAACCAGGTCTAAACCAGGACTAATTTTGGACTTAACAGAGAGAACGCCGAGCAGTTTGTCTGCAAAGCGCAATCAGGCAATTGCCGCGTTTACCTCCGTGAGGTATGGAGCTCTCCATCGGTCCCTTCTCCTGCGGCCACCTCCGGCCCGTCCCGACACTGACTCCTGGTTCAGTCCTGGTTCAGTCCATGGCGTAGGCAGCGCAAAAGCTTGATATAATCACGGGTTAACGGGTGGGTGTGGTGTTGTACTGCAGGTCTCCAAAATGGACCCGTGCAGGACTCTGTGCTGTAGGGCTCTATTACGGAATAAATGAATCTTGGGTTCGTTACATAAAGAAGGAGGAAAATAACAAAAGGACGACAGCAACAATAAGTTTGAAGAAGGATGTAAAAAGGGTTGTAACTGTCCTGTGTGAGAAAAGTGTATAAAGTGTGTGGTGGGGGGGTTTACAGCTTTAAAACAGATATAATAATTGTAAAATATAAAGTTGACTACTTAGCAGATTTCACCTATCGCGGGTTATTTTTAGAATGGAACCCCCGCGATAAACGAGGGACCACTGTACTCTCACTCGCAACCTGTGCATATGGCCTCGCACTTGTCCCGACCGGGATGGAAAACTGAGAATTTCTTGTACAAGTCATTGTTAAATGCGGATTTACGCTTCGGTATGTTGCAGGCTGACCGACTGTTTGTGTTTGCTCGCTACTTCTGAGTCACAGAGAACTACGAAAGCACAATCAATTTAAAGCCCCCAATGAACTGTAATGAAAACCCGGACATTTCCATCACTTAAAAAAAAAAAAACCCGGACGCCCAGGACACGGACATGTGTGGGGAAAAACGCACGTTTGGTCACCCTAGTTTAAACCTGAAATGCCTCTCTCTGATCTGAATGGTCAATACCTAAATCTCAGCATTTGCAGCCAGTCATGAATGAGTGCTAGTTCAGTCTCTGGAGCTCAGAGGTTCTGACCTTTCACATAAGGCATGACCTGTACATATTCTGCAATGAAAGACTTACACTTAGACACACTTTATTGATCGGATATTGATTGGAAATTATTTTTGTCAAAGTAGCTCACACATCACAATATACTAATAACAAAGAGCAAAATATAAATGGTAATATGCATTCAAAATAATTGGAGACTGGTGTCAGATAAGGCACTATAATAGAAATGTTTATGTACAAGTTAAAATAAAATATAGAAATATAGTAATGCAAATATGCCCCATCTACAAGAGGACTTAAGGCAGTGCTTCTGCCCTGGGGGGGGCGCGAGGCTCCGTCAAGGGGGGCGCGTTTGACCTCGGCGAACATGCTTTTTTATTTTTTTATTTAGATTTTTTTTACTGTCTTAAGGGCCGTTCACACAAAGCGTCAAAAAACGCCTTGACGCCTCTATTTGGAGCATTGCATTTGAGTTTAGACGCCCCCGACGCGCGTCTTTGACGCCGTGGACGAACGGGACAAAAATACTTGACGCGCGTCCGTTGCCCTGGAAACAAGAGCCCGGTCCCTCTTTTCCCGAAACAATGTCAGACCAGACTGAGAGTGTTTTTATGACATAAAACATCAACGGAGGAGATCTCGACGACTGGGGCGTATATATATTTATACTCCACTAATGACACTGGACCTGTCACACCTGGTCTAAGGCATCCGGTCTAGTCCTGTCTACATATTCTGCAATGACGGTCTAAGTCCTTGTTTAGTCTCGGTTACACTTAGTCCTGGTTTGGTCCTGGTCCGGTCCTGGTGTAGTCCTCGCGATCGGCTCGGTGATTGTGGCGTATATATTTATTCTCCGCTCATGTTTGTGGTTCTCGTTCTGGTTCTCGGGTCTTTCTTCCTGATAATAACGTCGCTGCGTCTCTGGATACTCGTCCCTGATTGGTTGACGCGAAAAGTTCAGCATTTTCAACTTCTTGACGCTGACGCCTTGGACGCGCGTCTTGGCCGCTGACGCCAAAACGCTGAAGACGCGCCGCGCTGACGCCAGATTCGCGCCGCGCTGACGCCGAAAACGCGCCGCAAAAACGCAGGACGCTCTAGTCGCGCGTCCACATAGACTTTACATAGAAAGTGGACGCTTTGACGCTTTGGTCTGAACGGGCCTTTAGAATAAAGTGCAATTGCACTTACTACATTAGGGGGCAGTGGCGCTCTCATTGGCAGAGTGTGCGCAGGGAGCATTCGTTCGGTGGTGTAGGAGTTTTGTTTGCACTGAGCATGCGCGCTTTGCACACAGCATAAGTTTGAGTATGAATAGACACGAAGTGTAGCAGATCAAGTGACACCATGAAAAAAATTTAACAGGGATGAGAAGACAGGTGGAGAGACACGGAGATAAAGAGACAAACGAAATCTCCGAAAGCTAAGACGAGGAAATATGACGAAGCGTATGTAGCGCTTGGCTTCACTGTGACTACGGTGGGAGACGAGAAAACTGGTGTGCTTACTGTGTCTAAAAATGTTGGCAGCGGACAGCATGAAGCCCAATAAATTAAGGCGTCACTTAAATACATTACACTCCAATCACTCTGATAAGCCGCTTGAGATTTTTCAGCGAAAACGTGCCGAATATTGCCGACAATCATCCCGCTTGTGACTGCTACTTCAGTAAACCAGCGAGCGTTGTTGGCATCATATAAGGTGGCAGTGTTACGCAGAGGTGTACTTATAACTATTTTATAGACAAATGATACTATCTATAGTCACGCGGGGGGGTCCTAGGGGGGGCATGACAGAAAATAATTGAGAAGCACTGACTTAAGGCAAGAAAGCAGCTCATGTATCCTCAGATCTGTTAAAAACCTACACCTATATTGCTTATTATTATCAAATATCAACATTGCGTATGATACCAGTTGTGTGCTGCTTTTTTGTAGCCAACCTGAATCCCTGGTGTCTCCACAGACAGTATACATAGCTGGTAATCTCCTCTCATCACTCCACTCAGTGTTCAGACAGGACCTGGGTAAGACCTCTAGACTATGACTGTACCACAGCTGATATCTAGACATTAGTATAACCTCTTGTAGTTCATGTACTGATTTGGTTTCTTTTAAAAACATGTACATTATTATTGTATTTTAATTCTTTATGTTATTAGGTTCTTTTTCAGACCAAGAGTTTGTTTTTCATACCTACCTTTCGAGTGCCATCAGGTATGAAAAACAAACTTGTGATCTGAAAAAAGAACCTAATAACATAAAATATCAGAAGACCAAATGAACCTCACTGGACTATTTTAATTCTTGTTAAGTCTTTGTATATAGGGGTGCAACAATGAACAATTTTACTATAGTACTGTGTTATTGTGAGAAGGTTAACAGTATTTTAGAAATGAACATATAACATGACTTAGAGCTCACAAGAATCAATTTTGTGTAATATGGGCCCTTTAAAATGTGTATAATTGATTGATTGATTTCTCTAGCACTCAATCTGTTTTATATACTGCAGCAACAAAGCAATGAATTTAGACTTTGGGGATTAGTGATAAGGCAAATAGTAACAGTCCTCAATAGACTTTAGATATTCTGATAGTAATAACATAATTGTACTTTTTAAACAGATTTACTGATTCTGATTGGTAAGAAACAGCTTAAGAATTCCACTTTTAACTGAGTTTTACATAAATGATGATCTGAAATGCTACTAAAATTGTTTGAGAAGTAACTAATACTTTGAGAACTATATTTAATGCTTACTCCATACTTGAGTAAAACATTTGGCAGCACTACTTGTACTTGTAATTGAGTACATATCACTGTACTTTTACTTCAGTGCTCTTTCATTCTAGCACAATTACTGATATATTTTTATTAGTGAATCCTTGTATTCTAATGTATTTCTCTCTTTCAGTGACATCTCCACCTTGAGACTCATTACCCTCTACTCACAATTATGTTTGAAAACACCACTTTGGACAATTTCCTGACCCTTGAAGAACTGGGACTAGACTCCTCCTCTGGACAGTACCCTGCGTTCATTCTTGGCATTCTGATGTACACACTAATCCTGACTTTTAACTCTATGGTCCTCCTTTCCATTGTGGCCAGTAAGAAACTCTACAAACCCATGTTCCTTCTCCTCTGTAACCTCCCCATTAGTGACATGATTGGAGCCAGTGCGTTCTTCCCTCACCTGATCTTCAGCATAATCACCAAAAACAGAATCATTCCCTACAACACGTGCATGTTTCAAGCATTTCTCATCCACTTCTATGGAACAGCTAACTTGCTAACCCTGAGTGCCATGGCTTATGATAGATACATTGCAATATGTAGTCCTTTGAGGTATAACTCAATCATGACCACGCAAACTTTGGTCAAGCTAATTATTATGATTTGGTTCATCAATGTGGCGATTATGGGCACTTTGTTTGCATTGCATGTTAGACTGACACTATGCAAGACAAAAATCATAGACTTGTACTGTAATAATCCATCTTTGCTCAAATTGGCTTGTTTTTCTTCAGATGTTATGGTTATAAACTATTATGGGATGTTTCATATAGCGTTGCTCCAGGGTGGGTCACTGTTGGTTATAATGTACACGTACGTGCAGATTTTGAGGTTGTGTGTAATGTCGAAACAGGCTGAAGTGAGGAGGAAGGCGGCTCAAACATGTAGCTCTCATTTGGTGTCGTATTTGTTTCTGCAACTGAATACAATAATTACACTTACTGCCCATCGGATCCCAAATGCCTCTTCGTTTCTGAGGAGGTCCATGGGGGTGTCAGTCGTCATTTTCCCACCCTTCCTCGACCCCATCATCTACGGACTCAGCTCCCAGGAAATCAAGTCTGCTTTTTTTGTGTTAATCAAGAGGAATGTGAAATAAAAACACACATTTTATTTTGTATTTTTCCCCCCACAATTTTGTATTGAACCGACAAATTTTTTATGAATGTTATTTTTGCTTCTAAATTAAAACTGTTCTTTATTCAGAAGAGCTTTTTGTGCCTGTTTATTAATGACTGTTCCTACCTTCACTCCAGACATTAAAATCATTTAGACTGAACATTATTATACATTTTAATGTAAGTAAAATGTTCTATATATGCAAACAATTTTGTCAAGAGTACAAATAATTGTGTCAAATGTCCGCTCACTGTCAAAAACAAGACATTTCTGGACAGTTTGAAGCACATCAGAAGTTAAATGTAAAACAAGTAGCACTAAATGGCAAGTCAAAAGAACCAAAGAGTATACTGACCAAGCTTTATTCATAAGAAGTATATTTATATTATAATATTAGGAATGTAAAAAGCAGTACCGTTTCACAAGTTATTAGTGAGTAATTAGATCAGTGTTTGCCATTTTTACATAGATCTCTTTATTGGTTATAGGGTTTTGTTAACAGGAGCTGTCCTGTGCGACGACTGGAAGTGTTTCTAACAGGCAGTTTTGCCCTTCCAGTAGAAGTTCTTACAGCCAGCCTTGCGTTCCATTGAAGGCAGGTTATTGTTTGACTCCACTGAGCGCTGGAGGGTCACATGACCAGAGGACTCCTTGGGTAGAGGAGGTTTGGGGACATTAGCTTCAGGAAGGGACATTTGAGCCAATAAGAGGTCCTCCACTGCACGCTGAAAATACAAAAAAAAAAAAAAGACAAACTCAAGACAAACAATATAGATTTCTTAAAAAAATATAATATATATATATATATATATATATATATATATATATATATATATATATATATATATATATATATATATATATATATATATATATATATATATATATATAATGTGAATCACATCACCACATCACATTATAGGTTTTGGCTGTGTAAAACTGATTATGTGGTTGTGCAAAATCTGTGCAAATGTATCTTTTGACCTGGACAAAATGCAAAGGAAGTTGTTCAATGGGCTATAACAACTACAAGAGTTAAAGGGTCTGTGCCTGATTTTTAACCATACATGAGGAACGTGTTTGAGTGAGAATTGTAGCCCCACCCACTTACTACTTTCTACTACTATGATACTACTCCATGACACAGACACAGCTGTTGAGGGTAGTCTCATGTAGTTATTTCCATTTTACAGTCATCAGCCTCAAGCTTCTTAGTGTTGTATTCTCATTCTTGAAAGTTCTTCATGATGGAGGATCAACTCATTTGTTTGGCAAAGAGATAAGCAGATGTTACTTGTGATTTTTAACAAATAATGTACTTAATCAGGAGAAAGTAAGTGGCTCTGTTAGTCTGCCTTTTAATTATTACTCAACACAATGCTTTGTAAAATGTAAATCTTTCAGTCTCATTTAAATTATTTACATTCACAATACACTGCATAATATAAAGGCCATTTATCTTGAAATTGAAATGAGCGACGTAAAGATTTAGTGCCGTTACTAGGCCACAAATTTTGAAGAGAGATATAAAAGTGCTTTGTGTTTCACTGAAAAGCACTCTATAAATAATGTTTGATTGATTGATACTGAAACAGAGATATACTGTAATAAACAATAATAGTGAAAATACTTTATGCCTCTGACACAATAATAATAATCAGGATAATCCCAGAGAATCATTTTTAAATAGACAGTATCACTTAAAGCCATGAACTGCAACAAATAAATAACAGCATTAACTAATAATTAATAATTATCCCAATGAGAATACAAATCCCTCTCTCAAACATACAGTCATTCACAGTAATATACTTAATGAGTGTAACATTTTCTAATTCAGTCAACCAATGCTGTTACCTGTGTGAGGAGTCCAGCAGTGCGCGCTCTCTGCAGCAGTCTGTGGCGCGTCAGCTCCAGGTCCAAGTCCTGGTCCAGATCCTGCCCCAAGTCTTCAGGCACTGGACTCTGGTCTGCTTCAGAGGATAGGGCCAAGACCAGCATGGAGAGCAAAAGGACAGACCCCCGCACACTCTGCATCTGCACAAGGAGGAAACAGAAAATAGTAGCACAACTCATTTTGGCAACAAGATGCTAATAGATGCTTTGTAGTGTGCTGTATTGACCAGAATCCGTTGGAATAAACACTTCCTGGTTTCAGTTTTGTTATGTACGTTAGAGTTCACACCAAGCATTTTTGTCTGCTCAGAAAAGAAAATAACAAAACTACATTGAAAAAACCAACAACAACAAAAAACTATATCTAGGTAAGTTAAATTGACTTAAATTAAGAACATTTTACTTTATTTGAGTCAGTTCAACTTGACAAGTAAAATTATCTACCAAAAGAAACTTATCAAGTGAAATGGACTCAAATCATGATAAAACTTTTTTAATTCAAGTCATTTTAACTTGACAAAATTTTGTTTTTGGCAGTGTATAATAATTAAATTACAGTTTTCTTGTATTCTGTATTCTATTATGGGTCCCAATTTCACATATAAGTTCATTAGCCAACTTAAAGAGCACAACTCTAGTTTACCCATCAGTAGCAGAACAGTGATGGTGTAAACTTCATAAAAACAGAATAAGTTAGCATAATAGAGAAAGTCAGACTTGTTAAGCACAAAATACTTCTCAAATGGAAAAGAGTTTTGGAAGAGAGGTATTTATACCTTAAAATAATCTGAAGTTGAAGACACAGAGAAACTGAACAGAAAAGCAAGAAGCATATTCATGAAATTAATAAAGAGTAAATCATACTTTTGTTGAGGAATGCGTCGTCTTTGCCTAAAGTTCGTGAAAAAAGTGGCTGCCTGTTTTCAGTATCATTTTTGTCTGTGCGCTGTCTTATTATATTTGGGTAGGTTCTTGTCACATGATCACACGGACCAATAAGAAAGCACCTCTACCGTTTGCAAAGATCAGAAGAAAAGTTTATTACAGATGATAAACCGCACACAAACACAACAGTAGAATTTCCTGCTAAAGTGAGGTCACTGAACGCCTCATTAGTGACAGCAAACAGACAGCAGTGATGTCTAATGATGACACAGAAGACACAATGATTATGTGGAAAACTTCAGCCACCCTCCTGGCCCACAAAACATCTGTCCCTAAAGTAAATAAGTCATTTTAATAAGTAATAAAGTATTGCAAGCATGTAGATCTTACCTCCAATGAAGTATTTTGGGACTTTAAAGGTACGAGAGTTGAAGACAAGCACAAAAGTTTATGATGCAATAATAACAGCAGTACATGCAATAGTAACAGCAGTGCACGTAACTGCAACACCTGGAGCGTAAACTCAGAATAAACAAAATGGTTAACATGTCCATCATCACATGCATGAGTCATTTTTATCGAGCATGACTCAACACGTCCCGTCAACAGCAGAATTCCTCAGGGCTGTATATACCTTTGTAACTCTCCTCATACCAATGAAGTAAGAAGTATCGAAAAAGGACAGATACTTTTTTTTTTTTTTTTACTTAAGTACAATCTGCTAAAGACAGTGTCCTAACTAAAATATATAATTCATTATTAAAGCTCCACAATCAAATATGCCACATTTGGCGTTGTGGGAAAGATCAATGACTATATGTACAGAGATGTGATTTATTAATTACAATTAATTATTTTTACAATGTATCCTACTTAATAATGCTGAAGCTGTTAAGTGGAACCCAGTAGCCAAGGTAAATGCCACACTTTCTGTTTGTGTGTGGACCTGTTCTGTGTATACATCTATGTACTGTGTATATTGAAAAGTGGTGGTACACGGTTTGAAAAACTAATGCTGGAGATCAGCCCAAATATATTACACATTGAAATACAAATACAATCTGATTCCCTGTACATTTTAGGGTTTCATCGGCCAAACAGAAAGCATTCCATATGAGGTAACTCCATCGACCAATCAGCGGTCAGTGTTCTGACATAACGATAGCAACCAGGTTCTAAAGTGACATCACAGCAGAGTCTGTGGGCTCTGCGCACTACATTTAGACAGTCAGTCTGACCAGGCAGTCGGACAGAGTAGTCACGTTTCACACACAGACTTCAACCACTAAACAACATGTCTGTGGCAGTATCTGTGTCAGACTACTGCCCGCACATCGGTAAGCTACTGCTACTGCACTTTGAACACCAACAATCAACGCAAAAATCACACACAAACACAACTGTACACACATAAACCTGGTTTCTGACCTAGCCTTGTCTTTACATCTCATTTCATTTGTTAGTTGTCAGCTGAATATGACTTTGTACCGTCAGTAATAGAGGTTGGGAAATGACAAAAAATCCACTATGTTGAGTGACAGCAGGCAAAAATATTAAATTGACAAGAGTGCGTTTTAGCCAAGTTTGAGTCTTGATGTAGACTTGGTTGGTCCTGTTCTACTCTTGATTTAGTCCCAGTCCCAATTTTGATTGGAATCCACCCTGGAACAAGTCATGAAACCAGCTTTTAAATGGCTGAGAAGCGTGAATATCTTTAAAACACATCATCTTTTAAGTTTTTTAATTATCACAAAACAAAAACTTACATGTGGTCAAGAAGTTATTTGGTGGCATTGGTCATTCGTGCATACATATAGCCAGTAGACAAAGCATTAAAGCCACAAGTTTCATACAGAGTGACTGTGGACCCACCATCTTCCAAAAATGCTCATGTTATGCCATGCAATATTTTTATGTACCATATCCACAGGAGTATTTAAAATGTAGAACTTGAATTTACAACTTATATTTTGAATTAGGACATAGGAGTTGTAGCATGTAGTTATTATTAAGTGGTAGCTATAACATTGACCACAGTGTATTTTAACCCACAACCTCCTGAAACAGCCTTAAATCCATGTCCATAACATGGCCCTTGTCTCTTCAGGGATTGAACTAAGAGGAAAAGCTTTTGGGGTCCTTTACCTTTGACCAGAGCCGACCCTCGTTCCACACCTTCGCCTTGCCCCGTATCCACCCGGAGACGTTCCAGCACCTCAGTATCATATGGATTCATAGGAGTCCTCTGACTATGTGTTTGATTGTGCATCTGTTGAGTGTTCTCTAACTAAACCTTTCTCTCCAGGTAAAACAAAAAGTCCCTGAACCAATTAGGCAGCAGATTTAGCCTTAGGACTTCACTGTATACATCTGCCCAACTAGAAACAATAGATTCATATGCCCATAGCTTTATTTAAATACATTTAGATCCATTTAATCATCAATTTGAGTTAAGTTCCACCATAGTTTTAAGTCTCAGACAATTTTGATTTGTTTGGCATTTCTCAAAGGCGAGTTATTATGCAAAATAGACTTTAAAATTATTATCTATAAATATGAACGGCCACAGCTTTGTACTTTCTTTGCTCTTCAGTTTATAGATTGTTTTACATTAAGGTGTTGCATAGACATTTGGAAATGCATTTTCTAAAAGACAAGAGCAGAGAGGACACAGGAAAAGACAGAAGCAGAAGACAGATGCAGAGAGGAGACAGGAAACTCTTGACTCTTGAATAGCATTTTACTAGACTACTCCTTTACAGATTAGCTCATTAGCAGAAATATGTATAATATATTCTTCAATTGGTTAGCCTCAGTACATTTGGTTTCAACCTTTTATATTATGCAAAGTTAATGGCAGGGTGGCAGAGTAATTAGCACTCTCACCTCACAGCAAGAAAGTCCTGTGTTCGAATCTCGGGCGGGGTGGGGCCTATTTGTGTGGAGTTTGCATATTCTGTCCTTACTTGTGTAGGATTCCTCCAGTTTCCCTACCACTAAATACATATACGACTTCCCTGAAAATGAGATACTCAAACTCCGAGGGACTATCAATTTAGATTGTTCCACAGATTTCTGATAGATTGTTCAATAGATTGTTCTACAGATTGTGCAATAGATTTCCAATAGGTTTTTTGTTCCATTGTGCAATAGACTGATCAATGAATTGTGCAATAAATTTCCAATACATTTCCTATCGACTGTTTGATACACAGCTCAATAGATTGCCGATTACACTGTTCAATAGACTGTCTGATAGATTGTTCGATATATTTTTTCGACAGACTGTACAATAGACTGTTTGATAGATTGTTCTATAGACTGTGTGATAGATTTTTCAATAGATTGATTGTTGAGCTGATATATTTCAGATAGAAAGATTATTCAATAGACTAGTATCAATAGATTATTCATGTATGATAGATTGTTCATTTTTTGATAGATTGATTCGATTTTTGATTGTTTGATTTTCATTTATAGATGATATTTGATTAGATAGATTATTTTATTTTAGATTGTTCGATAGAGATTTTGATAGATTGTTCAATACATTATTTGATAGATTGTTCGATAGATAGATTTAGATTGATGTTCAATAGATTTTATTTTCGATAGAGTGTTCGATAGACTGTACGATAGATTGTTCGACATATATCCGATAGACTGTTCAATAGATTGTTCGATAGATTATTTCATAGATTGTTCGATAGACTGTATGATAGATTGTTCGATAGATTGTGCGATAGATGGTTCGGTCAATTGTTCAATATATTTCCAATAGACAGATTATTCCATAGACTGTTTGATAGATTGTTGGATATATTATTGATAGATTTGATTTTTTGATTTTGATAGATTGTTGATATTTGATAGTTGGATAGATATTATTTGATTGTTTGAAAGATTGTTCAATATATTTCCAACTGATATATTATTTGATAGACTATACGATAGATTGTCCCATGTTCCTTTCGATAGATTGTTCGATAGACTGTATGATAGATTATTCGATAGATTTTTTGATAGACTGTTTGATAAATTGTTTGATAGGTTGATTAATATATTTCCGATAGAAAGATTATTCAATAGACTGTATGATAGATTATTGATAGATTAGATAGTTGATAGATTGTTCGATAGATTTGATAGATTGTTTCGATAGATTGTTTAGATAGATTTTGATAGATTGTTTGGTAGATTTCCAATAAATTGTTCAATAGATTGTTCAATAAACTGTTGGATAGACTGTTTGATATATTTCTGATAGATTATAAAAATTTTTTCTGACAGAAAATTATAAACTTTTCGAAAAACTGTTCGAAAGACTGTTCGATAGATTTTCGATAGACTGTACAATAGACTGCTTGAGAGACTGTGTAATAGATTGTTTGATAGATTTTTCAATATATTTTCGAAAGATACATTATTCGATAGACTGTATGATAGATTGTTCGACAAATTGTAAGATAGACTGTTCGATAGATTGTGCGATCGATTGTTTGATAGATTGTTCGATATCTTTCTGTTAGACTGTACGATAGACTGTTCAATAGATTACGCAATAGATACTTCATAGTTTGTTTGCTATATTTATGACAGAAAGATTATTCGATAGTCTGTACGATAGATTATTCCATGGACTGTACGATAGATTGTTTCATAGACTGTACAATAGATTATTTGATAGATTGTTCGATAGATTTCCGATAGACTGTTTAATAAACTATTCAATAAATTGTTTGATGGACTGTTCAATAGATTATGCGATAGAATGTTCATCAATATATTTCCAATAGACAGATTATTCCATAGAGTGTACCACAGATTATTCCATGTACTGTACGATAGATTGTTCGATAGACTGTGCGATAGATCATTCAATAGATTGTGCGATAGATTATTAGATCAATTGTTCAATATATTTCCAATAGATAGATTATTCCATAGACTGTTAGATAGATTGTGTGATAGATTGTTCTATATATTTCCAACAGATATATTATTCGATAGACTATACTATAGATTGTCCCATGTATTTCCGATAGATTGTTCGATAGACTGTACAATAGATTATTCGATAGATTTTTCGATAAATTTCCTTCAGACTGTTCGATAGACTGTTTAGTAGACTATTCAATAAATTGTTTGATAGACTGTTCGATAAATTGTTTGACTGTTCAATATAGTTCCGAAAGAAAGATTATTCAATAGATTGTATGATAGATTATTCCATGTACTGTAGGATAGATTGTTTGATAGATTGTTTGGTAGATTTCCAATACATTGTTCAATAGACTGTTCGATAAACTGTTGGATAGACTGTTCGATATATTACTGATAGATTATTCAATTTATTTCTGACAGAAAATTGTAAACTTTTCGAAAAACTGTTGGATAGACTGTTCGATAGATTTCCGATAGACTGTAATAGACTGTTTGAGAGACTATGTAATAGATTGTTTGATAGATTGTTCAATATATTTTCGAAAGATACATTATTTGATAGACTGTACGATAGATTGTTCAACAAACTGTATGATAGACTGTTCGATAGATTGTTCAATATATTTCTGTTAGACTGTACGATAGACTGTTCAATAGATTGTGCCATAGATTGTTCGATACATTATTCAATATATTTCCGATAGATAGATTATTCGATAGACTGTGAGATAGATAATTTCATCTACTGTATGATAAATTGTTCTATAAACTGTACGATAGACTCTTCGCTATATTTTTCGATAGACTGTTCAATAGATTTTTCGATAGTCTGTACGATTATTCCATGTACTTTCCGTTAGTTTTTCGATAGATTTCCAATAGAGTGTTCGATAGATTTCCGATAGACTGTTCGATAAAATATTTGATAGACTCTTTGACAGATTGTGTGATAGATTGTGCAATAGATTGTTCTATATATTTCCAAGAGACTGTTTGATAGACTGTGTGCCAGACTATTCGATAGATTGTGCGATAGATTGTTTGATAGATTATTCAATATATTTCTGATGGATAGATTGTTCAATAGACTGTACGATAGATTATTCCATGTCCTGTACGATAGCTTGTTCGATAGACTGTACAATAGATTGTTCGACAGACTGTTCGATAAACTGTTTGATAGACTATTCGATCGACTGTGCAATACATTGTTTGATATATTTTTGATAGACTTTTCAATAGACTGTTAGAAAAACAGACACACTGTTCAATAGATTGTGCCATAGATTGTTTGATAGATTATTTGACAAACTGTTCGATAGATTGTGCGATAGATTATTCAATAGATTATTCAATAGATTGTTATATATATTTCTGATAAATAGATTATTCTATAGACTGTACAACAGATTATTCGACAGACTGCTTGATAGACTGTTCGATAGATTGTGCATTAGACTGTACAATCGAGTCTTTGAGCTCACTACAATACAGTGTTGACAGAAGGAATTATGACACAATGTTGAACAGTCCTCTGAAAATCAAAGGTACCAAAACAAAGCTGATTTGAATTTAAATTTAATTCATTTTAGTATTTATACAGTAATAGTTTGACAAGCTATTGGCAAGTAATTAGATAATTGTGATTTTTACGATAGTTTCTTTATTGGTTATGTGTGTTGTGGTTGGCTATTGGCTAACAGGAGCTGAGTGTAACTCTAACAGGAAGTCAAGCCCTTCCAGTAGAAGTTCTTGCAGCCAGCCTTGCGCTCTCTTGGAGGGAGGCTTGTCTCCACAGAGCGCTGGAGGTTCACATGACCAGCCGGCCCCTCTGGTAGAACATTGGCTTCAGGTACAGTTATCTGAGCCAATAGGAGGTCCTCTGCGGCACGCTGAAATACACAAAAGACAAATCTAAGACTTTATATCACTTAAGTGCTCAGTGGCAACATAGTAGTTAGGTATAACAATTGTTACCAAACGTTTCAGACTGGGTCCCCACAAAAAAGCCTTGCCATGCAATTTAATTGGTGCTGATAACAATTGCGAGAGGCAAAACATGTCAACAACATTGTTTTTTTGGGGTTTTTTTTGTTATATATAGTGAGAGACTTTGAAATTATCTCGCAACTCTCCACAATGGAAACTAAGATGACACATATTTATATTATATTGTATATTAAAAAGCAACAGTTTTTAAATTTTGTGGTAACTCATGAATCATAAGTCATGAGTCAGTTAAATAAATCCATCCAGATAGATGCCTAAAATATAAATGCAATTTATTGTAGGCCTTTAAAACTTAATACAATAACTGCAATAAAATCATGAGTTAATTTTACCTGTGAGAGACTCTGCAGCAGTTTGTGGCGTGTCAGCTCCATATCTAACTCCTGCTCCAGGTCCTGGCCTAAGTCCAAAGGCACTGGGCTCTGGTTGGCTTCAGAAGACAGGGTCAGGACCAGCATGGAGAATAACAGGACAGACTGCATCTGCACAAGAAGGAAGAAGACTGGCTTTGAAATCAGGCAATAATACTTTTAGTAACAAGATGCTAGCAATTAGATGGTTGATTTTAAAGAAAGAAACTGAAGGAGAATATTGAAGAATTGCTAAAAGGTAAAAGATGAAGAAGTAAAATTATTTTCAGTGAATAAAAAGAGAAATAAATCATACTTTTGTTGTCTCTTTTGGCTGTTTTATCTTGGTCCGAGTCTCTTGAAAATGTGGATGTTTGATTTCACTGCCATTTTCCTTATATCAGTCCAGGTTCTAATCACATGACCTGTATGCGCCAATTAAAATGTGCAGCTATACCTTTAGCAAGAATCAGACAAAGTGTTTATTCCAGATAAAATATAATCACAAACACAACACTGAAATGTCCTGCTGTGCTTAGGTCACTGAATGCCTCATTAGAGTCAGTAAACAGAACACACTGATGCAATACACTTGGGTTAAGAAACTGAGGAATTGCAACTCACAAAAAGTAATGGATTTTTATAGGGACATTCAAATATTATAAATTTCCCCCCAAACTACATGTCTCTGATGTTGCTGTTTTTTGAAACAAAGGTTAAATTTTTGGCAGTTGCAGACAAGGATGCAGAGTGTCTAATTAGATATTTCTCATTATTCGTATGTCCACAACATAAAACAATGTAATTTTTGTTTTACCAGTGTGTGTCCTATTTGGCAACGTGTAGACTCATCTCCAACTTATTTGCACTAATTCAGAAGATTTGATACTTTCTCTTTTAACTCTAAATGCAGGCCTGATGACAAAGGGAATGGGCAGATATAGGCCTACATAACAACTCAGACAAAAAGGTTAAATAAGCTACCTGTAGTTGACAATTCATTAAAACACTAAGAAACTTTTGTTAGTCTAGAGTGTTAATAGTTGGCCCATCTGGATACTGGAGACTTTGGTTGCTATGGAGACTCACTAATGTCCCTTTGTGTTAGATTAAAACCTGATAAGGTTCCTATGTAAATAACATCTGTTCCAAGTAAGATCAGATCAATCTGGTGACGTCTTTACAATGTCCTGACCTCACAGTCAACAAAATGTCTCAGAATGACAAGAAGCTGCACAGTGGAAATAACTTTGTTCCTTCTAAATGTTTGAAAACCAATCAAAGGGTTATGTGAACTATAAAATACAGAAAAAAATCAACTTTTGGTGAACTTAAAGGTCCTATATTACACAAAATATCAGCTATAAGCCATGTTATAATGTTACTTCTTCAAAAACAAACCCACAGTTGTTTTGTTTCATTCACACATGTTTAAGTAATCATGTATATTAGTATATTAGTCGTAGTGTTCAAGTTAACAGTTTCTTTTTCCCTTAAGGGTTTTCTAGTTGAGCGAAGAGCCTAAATATACAGGGTTTGTGTGTTAAATGTGTGAATGAAACAAACCACATCTCCAGTTATGTTTTTGATCAGGAAACAACATTATAATAAATCAGAAAATTGTGTAACATGGACCCTTTAACTCCTGTCCATTTTATATACAAGACACACAATGCTGTAATGGAAACATAAGAGTGTTTTCAAGTTGGCATACATCTCTGGTTCTCACGAGATAACCACCATAACCCATCACAGAGGTAATGTTTAAAATACCCAGGAGGCTAATATGAGCAGCAGGGGCAAAAGAGATGGCTATAAAACTGTCTCTCTCTAACACAGCATGTCGCTCCTTGGCAGAGTGACCCCCGTCTCCTCATCTCTTCTCTTGTTGATCATGTGCCTGTTGTTATCCATGTTATTCTATCTATATATCTATGTATATTCCTAGGAATTGCCTAAATTGCATTTGATTACAGTTTATGTGTTAAATCTGACTATGCATTTTTGTCTTGGTTTGATTGTGAGATTAGTTACAATATTTATGGTGCTTATGCTATAACCTCTTTTAATATACTTTTTTATTTAGGCTTATATTAGCCAAATGTACAATGTACCGAATGTGAAATTTGTTGTGCTCATTCTATTGCAGTGTACTTTTGGAAGCAGCTTTGTTGAACTGGACACATTTACATGACCAGTAAAAATCAAATCAGCTAGCCCATTAATAAGCCAAAGATACATCTGAACCAACGATGCAGTGTTGACAATGATTTTCACAATATTGTTTTCAATCTTTAACATTTTTTCATTTACATGACATTGAACTGATCGGATAACTCCCGAAATAAGATAATGATCAGACCAATGATTGTTGATCAAATCGACTGAATTAATCAATATTATATCAAAATGAATGGTACTTATTATAACATTACACCCTACGTGAATCTTTTAAGCTATAACCTACCTCCTGAAACTGTTATCCCAACTTTCTTGTTTGCCAGTTTGAGCTATGTGATCATCCTTTTTTGTAATCTCATTCTTATACTGACTATCATTCTCAACAAATGCCTGCACCAACCTATGTACCTGTTCCTCATTAACCTTCCTATCAGCGACCTGATGGGGTCTTCAGCGTTTTTCATTCAAGCCATGAGACAAATCCTAATGAAGAGTCAAACTATTTCTTACCCCACTTGTGTCACCCAGGCCTTTTTCATCCACATTTACGCTGCTGGTACCATGTTTATGCTCACTGTCATGGCTTATGACAGATACATCGCAATCTGCTGGCCACTTAGGTACAATGTTGTGATGACCAATGCTCATATTATGAAAGTGATTACGCTTACTTGGTTAGGGTGCCTTGTTTTAATAGGTGTCCTTTTTGGGTTGCTTTTACGCTTGCCCCGATGCCGCTCTGAATTGACCCAACCCTACTGTGACAACCCTTCTTTGCTGATGTTGGTTTGTGAAAATACATCTATAAACAACATCTATGGACTCTTTAGTGTAGCATTGACACAAGTGATTGCCAATGGGATGATGCTGTTCACATATTTAAGGATTTTGATTGCATGCTTTCGATCCAAACGTTCGGATACGAAGGCCAAAGCGCTCCAGACCTGTGCCACTCATCTCTTGGTTTTTCTGCTACTTGAATGTTTGGGGCTCTTCACCATTATTTCCTACCGACTTCGGGCCATCCCGCTACACCTCCGGAGGTTCATAGGGGTATCCACTCTCATTTTCCCCCCAACTCTTAACCCCATTATCTACGGACTAAAAACAAAAGAGATCAGAGACAAAATCATACAGTTTTTCAAGAATATCTCCCTTCGCACAAAACTCAATTGTATTCACTTTTAATTATTTAGTTTTCTGTGTTTTTATTTATTTATTATTTTGTTAATTAATTGATTAATTTCAGGGACAGTGCATGATAATCAGCATTTCAATTTGCATATGCCAGAGTTAGCTGTAGAAATATTTTTCATCTGTACTGCTGTTGTAAAATGTTACAGGATTGATTGATATCTGCAGGGTCCAGTGTTTATTGTTGAAATTCAAACTTTTTTTCCCCCTTTTTGTTTGTTGCTTTGTGACATTATAAGACCTGCCAAGAAGCTGCAGGTAGCATATAATTTTGACTAATACACGGTATTTGTGTGTTACGTTTTACAGTATAGGTTTTATATACATTTTCGAAACAATACATCAAACTATGAAAAGAAAACAAACATATGTATAAACCCTCATAGCCTGAATTGAGAAGGTCATGACAAATAGCCACTAGATATTCAATTTGCTCAAAAAGAAAAACAAAAAATTAATTGGCTTCTCTAAGAGACACGAGGTTTTGGTCTGTGCATCTGTATAACTAGTGTCAGTTCTCTGCTTTTCTGTACATGGCACTTGTGGCTTTGTTCTTGCAGCCTTACAGCCTCTTAGCCTGCAGATGGTGCTACTGGTCTTAAAATCACTTGATCTCATATTCACTTGATTATGAAACATATATACAATTACAGCAAAAGTGCAGCAACCACAAACCTTTTTTCATTGTGAGATCAATAAAGTTCTATCATATCTTAACTGGGACAATGTAGTAACTGGGAAATGTGTAGCCTATTACTGACATTATTATTCATTCATCCCTATAGCCAGTATATATTTTTTTTATAAAACAAATGTCCATAGATACATTAGAAAGAACCTAGAGGCATTAATAAGAAGAGGGGCAGGGAGTTACAGTTTTTTCAATTGTTTTAGCACATGAGCACAGCTGGTCAAATCATTTGGATCAGCTCACAGCATCCTCAGGCTCTTTCTTAGAAAAGTTGACACAGCTCTTTTTCAGAAACACACATGATCAGTGAATTCAACTTGTATTTTCAATACTACAGGCCTGTTCTCTCATACTAAAGGACTTTGGCCCAAACTCAGTCACTTCAAATATAGAAAATCAAACAATGCAAAATTCTACAATTTGTGAGCACCAAAACTCTAACAGGAAAGATATCACACATGAGTCAAACAGGGAGAAAGGTCTCAGTGGAGAGTACACACTGTGTCAATTTACATACAGATATTCACAGTGTGAGATGTTTACATGTCTTGTTTGAAACAAAACAACAAAACACATTATATATTACAGAACAGAAGTGGTGTTGATGTATTTGCTAATCCAACATCTTTCAGTTAAATAAACAATTTTGATTATATACTGCAAAATCTACTTTGCAATTTATATTTTACATAATACAATAGAGACAGGTTTTAGACAAAAAAGCACAGATTTTCAAATCCAAAATTCATGTGTAAAGTGTGAACCCCAGAGTCAGACCGCACTAAATCAGTGATTCTCCGTGGTCACTGGTTTTGACTGAGATCAAAACTAAAGCTTTTGAGCTGCTTTGTCACATGAATGAAAAAGCACAGAAGCACACATAAGCGAAGTGTGAGTTTTGATGGTAAAATTTCCTTTGGGACATGATGAGTCAGTTGTTGTCAGACTGTATTTTGCTGAGATCAAATTTTGTTTAGGAAAACTAAAATTCTGTTTAGGATTTTGTGTGAGCTGAATTACAAATGTCAGTTTTCAATAGAAAAATGTGCCGAAGCGATTGAAAAAATCTTTAAGTAGTATTTGTGTATTGTGGTGCCTTCGCCACAAGGGGGAGGTGTTTGACATAACTTAACTGTAATGAAGACGCAATATTAGGCCTATATAAGCCTACTAACAACAGAAGCCTAACAATTGTCCAAATTGTCTATTTAATATAAAATGTGAGACTTCTCTAATGGGGAAAATGCATTTTTAAATTTAATTCAAACTGTTATCAATTGAAAATGTCTTCTGGGTGGGAGTCAAAACATCTTGATTGCAAAAAAGCAGGTCCAGTGGATAGATGTATTGTTTTAAAATGATCTTTTATTTTCTTTGACTGAGACACAAAGGCCACTGAGACTCACAGTGTAAATGTTGCAGCAACTGCAACAATTTGCTGCAGCAAAACTTGAATTTCCCACAAGCTCAATAAAGTATCACTCTCTCTATTAAAGCGATAACAAATTTAGAATATTCTTTAATTTTGATAAAATGGCGAGAACTGGGCACATACTTAAGGTACAGTCATTCAGTAATATCTGTACATTTGAACAGTGAAATTTATTTTTAAATAAATGGAAAACGGCCATGTTTATTAGGCACATTTGTACCTTGAAGGCACTCTTGAGGTGCTTTACATCAAGGAATCACTCACCCATTCACAGACACATTCACCAGTGCTCACAAACACACGGGAGAGGTTAAGTGTCTTGCCCTAAGGGCATGTGGCTCATGGCACAAGCTAGCATTTGAACACTCACAGCTTAAAGGCTCCATGTTACTCAAAACTGACTCTTGAGAGATTTAAGACATGTTAGTGTTGTTAACGCATCACAAACATACCTGGAGTTGTGTTTTGTGTCATTCACACGTTTGAGCAACTTTTTATTATTAGTCTGTCGACATCTTCATAGCTCAAAATGCTCTGTTTCTGATTGAAAAGAAGAACTCAGAAACATTATGACATAGATGAGAAAATAGCATAATATAGTGCCCTTTAAATGATATTTTTCTATAAAGGTCACCACCAATGTTCTTGTCAATCTAGTACTACTAGTACTGCTAATTCACTGATTTTCCTACACTCAGCATAATTCCTCAGGTAGTCCACGGTAGAAAAAGGATTCAGAGGTAGTCATTTAGACTGAACAATCTTTGATATAATTTTCCATCTGAAGGCACTCACCTAAGAAGCAACAGATCTATACTGCTGGGGACTAATCCTTTCAGGGTAGTATAAATTTTCACAGATTAAAATGTTGACATCTCTTCTGATTGAGATCAGTATTGTCAACATAATTTTCAATCCTAACTGTTAATACATATTAATGTTGACATGAATGAATCTGTTAATTTTTATTTTAACCTAGGTGGCCTGAAGAATAATAAAATAGAGGTCTTTTCCAACCAAAAGAAAAATATCATAATGTCTCTCAAAAATGCACATCCATCCATCCTCCTGCCTGTTCTGGGTCTTCCCCGGGGCCTCCTCCTGGTTGGAAGAAGAGCCAAAACAAACCAAAGCATCTTGGCCTGTTTCAGCAGACATATAGATGCGGAGGATGTCTGGATATGGAAAAGTGCACCTGCTTTACTACTGTGACCCTGATATTACTGAGTCCCAGATTAGTTTTGGTATTTAAGACAGGACACAAATAATTAAATCTGTTCTTTCAAGGATCAAAGTTGGTGTTACCTCTGATACAGTCAGTTACACTATGGAATCTACTGGAATCTTTTGCTGCCATTCAAAATAAAAATAACTCTTGATGTTGTTCTACTGAAAATGAAGATCACTTTGTCCTTGAACAAGAGACTTCTCTCAGTGTGGCTGTAGTGATTACTCACTCCATGGTATCAGTGTGTGTGTGTGAATTAAAGGGCAACATACTAGTTGCACCTTTTACATTTTGTTTTGCGACTGTGAAGAAAACCTTTCATTTGCGATAGGCAAATAACAAATTTTCAAACAGTTAACTTCAGTCTTGGCTTGACCTAAGACAGAACTATGTGTTGTTGTTTGTAAAATCAGTAAGACCCAAGTCATCCAAAAACAGTCTGGAAGCAGTACTGTGATGAACATGACGTTATATGTTTGTATATGTTGTTGGTACACAGGGCCCATTAACTACTGCTTATGTGTTTTTAATTAATTCCCAATAGCTACTTATTGACTTCACTCTAGTTGAGAGTGGGTGAATGTACATGACTGACAACAATAACAACATGACAAATGAGCACCACAGCAGTAATTACTATGAGCTGTGTCAGGGGTAAGGTGCCTCAAGAGATGTCTGTGGAACTCTCCAAACATGTTTGCCTCCAAATGTGTCATTGGTTTCTTTCCAGAGTAGTTCATCTGACATTCAACTTAATCAATATTATATCTATATTATACAATATATAATATACCTTTTGTATGGGTACTTGCTATACAATATTAGTCATGTATGGAAGAGAGCACATTTTGCAACACTTGTTCAGTTGTCTCTTAGAATGCTTTAACTGGTGCCGCTGGCAGGATAGACTGTCCATATTAATGAACATAACTAACCCGCTAGGTCCAAATAGGAAGTAAGCACGTAGGTGCTTTTGGCTCCACCGACTCTGGCTTCAATTGACTTTACATTTTAAAAAAATGTCACATCTCACTGTAACTGCTGCAGTGAGCCCGGTCACTTTAGTCTCTACATGATCCTGGAGTTTTAGTCAGCTATGTTGTCCTTATATAAATTCCTGTTCATAATATGGAACTCCCAAAGTCAACTTCTTTATACAGTCTATGTACGGTAGCATTTACAAGTTTGAGTTGAAATAAAATGTTTTTGCTTTCAGACATCTTCAGTAGAATTCCTAAAATATCTGCCAACCGATTTAACAAAACTGGGAGCAATACGTTCCGATTAGACACCACAGAGATTTGCATGACTTATTAAGATATCCTCTAAGCACACTATAACACAACTAATACATCTTAAGGGATTTGTAAATTAATAGTTTGTACAATTCACTTCCACTGGGTGAATGCTGTTCTACAGGGGCTGTAAATGATTAATAGGTCTCTGTAGACCTTCACTAATAGAGCTGCACATGGGTTCTGACTAACCACATGTACATTAGTCAGTCACAGTTCAATTCCATTTCTTTGACAATCAGTGTGAAAATATAAAACTAATCAGACAAGCAACGTTCAAAAGGTCCTGACAAACATAACTACTGACTGCAATAATTCACAGGTTTATTAGAAAAGATTGACCTGATCATTTAAACTGAATTGTGGCATGCAGTTTAACACTTTAGAGGAGGTCCACATCAGGATATAAAAATGTTGAAAAAGTTGTGTGACGCATTTTGGGCTCTCAGAGTATAGAGCGTGGATACCGTGACCTTCCTTTCAAAGCTCCTGAAAAGCCACCATGCAAAGTCAGATTAATATTACTAAATATTTTACAAACTAGCTCTCCAGTTGTTCATTGTTTATCAACTTTCTAAAATTAGTAAAATATAATAACCTGCTAAAAGCCAGCTTGAAATGTACAGATTTGTACACATTATTCATTTGAGATCACTGTCACTGAAAGGGGGAAAGGTCATCCCACTGTTCAAGCCCAAATGCAACAGCCAGGTTTGTCTGAAGATGGATTGTCATGAGTTTCAGAACTCACAAATATTGCAGAAGTTGATTCTGTAAATTTGCTTTGAGACTGACAAAGATGGGGCTGTCATTCTTCACCAAGGGTCATTCCAAACACTACCACACGGTCAAGGTGGCTGAAGACATTTGACAAAGCCAGATGCAGAAACAATATGTATGGGTTAATATAACGTCAGGGCGTGTGCGTCCTGCAAAAAAGTGCTTAAAATATGTGTCCTGTTACACCAACCTCGGACCTCTGCAGACACGGTCCAGGTGAGGTATGGGTCTGCAGGAAGGATCCACAAGGAGCCTCAGAGGTCTGAAGCAGTCTGCAAGTAACCTACTCAAAATATGTGACAAACTTGCCATGCATTAAGTATAAATTCCACATAATGGTACAACTACATGGTCTATACGTCAGACAAGTGGGCTTCATCACACTTGAGTTAGGAAGAGGGTGACTGAAGGGAATTATTGAAAGTAGCTTTAGAAAGTTGCACACGCAAAGTACATAAAGTTAGATTTGTAATTGATTGAAAGTTTGAGTGGGCTGGGCCTTAGGTTAGTTGGGGACAGGCCACAAAGAAACAGACAATGATAAAAGGTAGTGCACAGTTATAGAGATGGAACCTGTGTGTCTCTCTCTAGATTAGAAAGTGTTTTAGATTGATTATTACTGTTTGCTTTGAACATGTTTCCTTGACCCTGTACATTGAAACAAAAGGCTAATTATGCTTGTAAATCTGACAAAACTAGATCACTTCACTCTTCTGGGCTTCCCCGGACTACGCCCTCAGTATTATGGTCCTGTGTCTGCTGTGATGTTCTTTGTCTATCTTGCTATTGGCTTTGGAAACATATTTATTTTAGCTTTTGTTATGCATGAGAAGAAGCTTCAAAAACCAACTTATCTGATCTTCTGTCACTTGGCGCTCAATGACTTGACTTTTGGAACAGTCACTCTCCCAAAGATTATTTCTAAGTACTGGTTTGGCAACAGTCTCATCTCATTCAATGGCTGTTTTGTCCAGATGTTTTTTGTTCACTACCTGGGATCTGTTCAGTCTTTTAACCTGTTGGTGATGGCCCTCGATAGGTTCATATCCATTTGTCTTCCAATGCGTTACCCTGTCCTCATTTCAAACACTGTTGTGTCCAGGCTCTGTGGGATTTCCTGGGTTATTCCAATACCTATAATGATTACAGTTGTGGTGCAGGCAGTATTTTTACCTTTTTGTAAATCGAATGTTATTAATCAATGCTACTGTGACCATATATCTATAATGAGTCAGACATGCACTGAAAAGTTTCTGATAGTTAGCGCGACTGCTGTATCTTTGGCCATGTTCTGCCTTTTGCTTCCACTGTCTTTCATTCTTTTCTCCTACATCTCTATTATTGTAGTGATTCTGAAAATGACAAATGCTAATGGACGTAGAAAGGCATTTTCAACGTGTACTTCACAAATATTAATCACATGTTTGTATTATCTTCCAAGATGCTTTCTGTATGTGTCAAATCTTAAAGGGTTTTCCTTCAGCTTGGATTTTAGAATCTTTATTATAATGTTGTACAGTCTGTTGCCTGCAACTGTGAATCCAATCATATACTGTTTTAAAACACAAGACATTAAGCAATGTTTGTTCATGAAATTGCATCGGGCTAGAATTGGTATAGAGCAGAAAGGTTTTCCTATGAATAAAATAATTAGATCAGGATAATTATATATAGTGTGTAATAGTTTATGCAGCTTTCTTTTTCTTGTTGTTTCGTTTTGTGGAAAGAGGAATTGTATCCACTTTGTATACATCATTGTTTTGTGTAAACACATAGTAACTGCTAGGGAATTTTCAGGCACATGCAGAGCTTTAGCGCTTTTTGTCCAGATGACAAAGTGAAGCACAGTCAGTCTGATCTCAGGCCAAAAACAAAATGTCAGTCACAATATAATGTCAATCATTCTCTTTCGTTACATTTTTCACACTTGCAGACTCATTTTACTTTTATACTTTTTTTTATTCTTACCAATTCCTTCATTGTCTGCAAGAACATAGTGTTGTAATATGTGTTAATTGGCATTCACATTTTAATCTAGAGAAATGTTATTCACTTCAAATTATTACTCACTTGACTAACCACATTCACTATAGTCAACAATTGCAGCTATCTGATTACAAGCTATCAAGGACTGATATAAAAATAAAGACTCTAATAAAGAATAAAACATAAGTAACTTGTTAACTCAGACTGATTGTAGAATTAAAGTAAAAATTGATTTCATGATGCTGATGATGACAAATCTGTCTATCTATGCTAGACTCATAACTGATAAACTGTTGTTTATGCAGGCCTTCGTTAATTTTTTATATGAAAATTAACAAAGGTTTCCTTTATCTTACAAAATAATTCTGAATATTTATATTTCAATGTGAAAATATTGCATACTGTTTTTCTAAATGAATATAATTTTGATGTCTGCACTGTTAAAAAAAAGAAAAAAAGAAAACGCATTACCTTCTATATTCCCCTCCACTTATTCTCTCTCAACTGTACATTAAATAGCCTATTGATGGACCTTACTCTGGTGTTTGCTTGAATTGTTTGTGGCTTTCAGATGGCAGTGCCCTTGTGTTCTCCTTATATGGGAATAATAAAAATAATCCTCTAATATAGAGCTTTCCCAGATAAAACAGTCCATTAGGCAAAACTTATAAATTAAATGTGTGATGTTGTAAGTTTATTTCAAACATCAAAACAAAGATTAAAAAAGGGTATTAGGTATCTACTCAACTATGGTTTTGGCACTTGGTTGGCACCATATCGGTTCTATCAAACTATTTTTCTACAGCTTTACAGTTTTTTCAATCATTCTGGCACATTTATCTATTGAAAACTGCCATTTGGAACCAGCTCAGACAAAATTATAAAAATAATTTTTGTTTTCCAAAACTAAATTTTATCTCAGCAATATGCATTTTTTCAAAACTGATCATCTCTCAAAAGGAAGTTTTACCATCAAAATGTTCAAACTCTTGACATGTGTTTTTCTGTGCTTTTTCATTCAAGTGACAGAGCAGCTCATAAGTTTTAGTCCTGCTCTTAGAGACCACAGAGAATCAGTGGTTTAGTCTGGCGCTGGGATTCACACTTGAGACATATGGATTTTGGTCTGGAAAAGCTGTGCATTTTTATCTAAAACCTGTCTCTATTTTATTATGTAACATATATAACGTCACCAATTGCAAAGCAGACTTTTCAGTATATGATCAAAAATATTTATGCAGACAAAAATGGAACAGATGATGGAATAACAAATACATACTTTTGTACTGTAAATGCAATGTGCTCTTGAAAATCAAACAAGACATGTACACAACTCATAGTGTGTATATCTGTATATAGTCTATGTAGTCTGTACTCAGTGCTGAGACCCTTCTCCCTGTTTGACTCGTGCGAGATCCTTTCCAATTAGATTTTTGGTGCTCACAAATTGTATAATTTTGCGTTTTGTTTGAGTTTCTATATTTGAAGTGACAGAGTTTGGGCCAGAGTCCTTTAGCACGTGAGAATAGACCTGTAGTATTGAAAACACGAGCTGAATTCACTGATCATGTGTGTTGTGAATGAGAGCTGCAAGTGTTCTGAGAAAGATCCTGAGAACGGTGTGAACTCATAAGAAATGTTCCAAATGATTTGACCAGCTGTGCTCCTGTTCAGATGTTTGAATGAAAAAAAAAAAAACAAAAAAAAACTGTAATCAAAGAACAGAAATCTTAAAATAACCTAAAACTGATTTATTTCTTACATTTAGATGTTTACTTTGAAGTTTACATTAGTTTACTTGAGGATGAGGAAGTTTTTCAATCTCTTTGACATACATCTCTGTTAGAAATTGAAACTTACAAAACTTACAAAAGCTTACACAGACTCCCAAACAGGGTTACAAGATATTTACACCAACAGCACATACATATGACCTGTACAGGCTAAAGTAGGGCATCTCCTTACTCTTGACTCATCTGTGAAATCCTTTGCTTTCCTTTGATTTGTAGATTTTAACATGATTTGACCACCTGTGTAGATACAGGTTTGAAATAAATGATCAAACTAAACCAAATTTCAAAAAACATGCTAAAATGATTGAAATCTAAGACATTTTACCTGACTAAACACATGTGCTTCTGAGAGGTCAGGCTCACATTGCAGCAGAAACCAGTCATTCATCGTAGCTCTGATGTCTCCAGAGCATTGTCAGTTCTCATAAAAGAGCTGCAGGTCTGGGATGGTTGTGGAGGAGAATGTTCACCACCTTTACTTGCCCACACCTCTTGTATTGCCACTATGTCATACAATAATGGCACCAGGATAAACCACTTCTTCATCACTGGATTCCCTGGACTCTCTGCTCAATACTATGTACCTGTGTCACTGGTGCTTCTCATTGTCTTCTTGGCTATAGCTATTGGCAACATTTTTATTCTAGCTCTTGTGAAATGTGAACGTCATCTTCATAAACCCACTTACTTAATATTTTGTCATCTTGCATTGACTGATTTAGCATTTGGAACAACTACGCTCCCCAAAATTATTTCCAAATACTGGTTTGACGATAGTCTGATAGAATTTCATAGCTGTTTTTTCCAGATGTTTTTAGTTCATTTTTTAGGAGCAGCTCACTCCCTTATTCTAATGGTCATGGCTTTAGATCGACTTCTCGCTATTTCCTTTCCTCTGCGTTACTCTAGTGCTTTCACAAACAAAACAGTGTCTATACTATGTGGTCTGTCATGGTTCATTTCAATGTCTTGGATGGTTTTTATTGTAATTGATGCATATACTTTGCCTTACTGTGATTCTAATATCATTGTCCAGTGCTATTGTGACCACATTGGCATCACCGCACTGGGCTGTGACAAAGTGAGAGATGTACAGGTTATAGCGTTCGGTGGGGCTATGTTTTTCTTGTTAGTGCCACTGACTTTCATAATCTCTTCCTATTTTGCTATAATTGTGGCCGTCATGAGGATTTCTAGCCATGACGGTCGTATGAGGGCTCTCTCAACATGCACTCCACAGCTGCTTATCACATTGCTGTATTACTTGCCAAGGTGTTTTGTGTACCTGGCCAACAATGTAGGTTTCACATTTAGTGTTCCTATTCGTATTCTGGTGGTTATGCTTTATAGTCTGATACCTGCAGCGGTGAATCCATTGATATACTGCTTTAAAACGAAAGATATCAAAGAATGTCTGAATAAAAGATATAACAGGACAAAAATTCATATTGGTTTAAGACAACAGTTACATAAGAACAATTGCATTAGTGTTAACTGAGCTTCTTATTTATCAAATGTATAATAATCTTCTATTGTAATTTAACAGTAACAATGCACTTGTTTTGAGCTACAGTTGTTGAGAGCAGTCCTTCCCACAGCAGCATTATTAGTCTGAACAAATGTCACAATAATATATGCGCAATTAATAAAGTGCCATTTATTCATTAAGGAGCTTTGTCAGAGTCTATCAATCCCTTAATTTTACAAGTACAAGTTTTACTTAGAACACAAGGTAGTCAATCCAGGTATGAAAACGATATTTATTCTGTTACAATTTGAGCCTGATGCATTGTACCTTCTAGACTTAAACAAACTTTGATCCAGAGGGGAAATTATTGGGACACTGTAGCTCACAATAAATTATAATAACAAAAATAAATTGTATATAATAAATTCTAAGTAAGTAGCAGAAATAGTAAAAGACTGATGTCAAATAAGGCATAGTTATTTAAATGTTTATGTACAAGTAAAAATAAAATATACTGTAACCTCTGCTAGGCTAAGGGTCCCCACTTATACATTTGTAAAATACAGACAATTCTGGTAAAAAAGGACAAAAGATAGTATACAGTGGAACTGTACTTTTTTTTTTTTTTTTTTTTATCTATCATATTAAAAATAGTTTTTAAAAAAGTATGGTTTAGGCACTCAATGAACACAACAACTTGAGTCTAAAATACATAATATAACTAAACTAAATTAAATCATGACCACAACCAAAATTGGTAATACAATACCAAACTTTAATCAAACCAAAACAACCAGTTAAATCCTATAGTTTGGTAACGCAAAGTGCTAGTACTATGCAAAATACAAAGTGTAAAGTGCTATGTGTATGGGATTAAGGTGCCTTGAGTTTCAGATGTTTAAAGTGCTAGGTGCTAGAAGCCACCAAGGTCTAAAGTGTCTCATGTAGCTGTTGCTGACCCTGAAGAAGGCTCTCCTGCATTGCACTACCCTCTATTACATGATTATCTGGACCAATAAATAAATAAGCACAACTATAGTCAACATCTACAAGAGATCAGAATTTGAGAGTAAGATTACGAGCAGCAGGGCAATCTTTTACACAAAACACATGAGTTAACTTCAAGAATGCCATCAGTCACCACCACCAAACCAAATATACACCATAAAGGGCATTTACCTAGAATTTAGAAGATGGCACCCTACATGAGGCTTGGAGCCAGCAGTTGCCGTCACCACCGCCAACATCATAAAACACCTTTAACCCAGTTATCATAAACACCACATTAGGACAGGTTTTAACAGCAGTCACTTTATCAGAAAATAACCCAACGGAACCTGCAATAGAGTTTGTTTAATTAAGGTCTGGAACACACTGCACATGTATTTAGTAGCACGTAAGGGTAAAAACTGTACTTTTTGGGTGTGTATTTTTTAGAATGCATTAAAAGTGAATGGGCAGGGCCACACTGCAACAACACATCTTGCACACATAGATTTCAGAAAATAGATTCCAACCTGTTTGTAACACTTTACATGAGTGTAGGGTGAGCACCCCCAACAAAATATGTAGAATGCATGCATTTGCTTTTGTGCATTTGACATCAGCACATGTGCCGCAGTTCTGTGTCATTTGAAGGATTACAGGTTTAGAAAGACTCTTAACAATTGCTTTCAAATTTACTTTGGAAATCCTCCCAACTGCTTTGGGCAGTGAATGCTCACCTATTCAGCTGTTTATTTTCACTGTAAACCTGTGAGAATTGGCTAAATGCTTCCAGTCAAGTTTGATTGCCTTTCCCATTGACAATCACAGTGTCATGAACATAACACCTGCTTGAGCTACTGGTGCGGCTGTCATCACATTGAGGTGCGACTAGTTTCTTGATCTTATGAACATAAACTCTAATGCGTGCATTTTGTTTAGGCCCTAAGGCGACCACTGAAAAATTGTTTTGGGGGTTTTTAGTTAGTTGACAAGAAGGAAAAAACAGCTAAAATTATGTATAAAATTAAGCTAATAGTTTCTATTGCAATTTCTGTAGACATGTTTTTTAATTGGCATGGTACATTTGGAGATGCTATGGCACAGGTCAGTTTGGTGGGGCCACCTCCAACTGAGTTGGAGCTTTGGGCTTGGCTCCAGGGGCAAGAGTCTGCTATGTAAGCAACTGACATCACCCAAATAAGACAAATGTTGTCTTACAATACAAATTCCACCTGAAGTATCCTTTTTACACATGATGCTTTTAGTAAATCTAAGTGTGTGGAGCTGAAAGACAGGACTAAAGATACAGCAAACAAGAAACTACATAACTTCCAGTTCATTGTCATTGTCAAGTGTTTTCGGACAAAGTTTAATAACAACAACTCACACTAAAGCCTCTAGAGCATTGTCAGTTCTAATAAAAGAGCTGCAGGTCTGGAATGGTTGTGGAGGAGCATGTTCACCACCTTTACTTGCCCACACCTCTGGACTGACTTCTGTTGCCACTATGCCATACAATAATGGCACCAGGATAAACCATTTCTTCATCACTGGATTCCCGGGACTCTCTGCTCAATACTATGCACCTGTGTCAGTGGTGCTTTTTATTGTCTTCTTGGGTATAGCTTTTGGCAATATATTTATTCTAGTACTTGTCAAATGTGAACGTTCTCTTCATAAACCCACTTACTTGATATTCGGTCATCTGGCATTGACTGACTTAGGATTTGGAACTGTGACACTCCCTAAAATTATTTCCAAATACTGGTTCAATGATAGCTTGATACCATTTCATAGCTGTTTTGTCCAGATGTTTTTTGTCCATTTTTTAGCATCAGCTCACTCCTTTGTTCTAATGGTCATGGCCTTAGATCGATTTTTAGCTATTTCCTTTCCTCTACGTTATCCTAGTGCTTTCACAAACAATATTGCATCTATTCTGTGTGGACTATCTTGGCTTCTTGCAATGTCTTGGATGATTTTTACGGTCCTACATGCTCTTACATTGCCATATTGTAACTCAAATATTATTTATCAGTGTTACTGTGACCACTATACCATCACTAAATTAAGCTGTGACCCAAGGCAGGATGTACAAATTATTGCTACAGGTGGGGCCATGTTTTTCTTGTTAGTGCCGTTGACTTTCATTATCTCTTCCTATTTTGCTATAATTGTGGCCATCATGAGGATTTCTACCCATGACGGTCGTATGAGGACTTTTTCAACCTGCACTCCACAGCTTCTTATCACATTATTGTATTACACGCCGAGGTGTTTTGTGTACTTGACAGATTATGTAGGCTTTGGCTTAAGCCTTCCAAATCGCATTGTAGTTGTCATGCTCTATAGTCTGATACCTGCAGCAGTGAATCCATTGATATACTGCTTTAAAACAAAGGATATCAAAGAATGTTTGAGTAAAAGATATAAGATGGCAAAAGTTTATATTGGTATAACAGAACAATAATAATGATGGGTCTTTCAGCTCTTTTATGGGATTCAAATATTTTAGGTCCATTCATTAAAAAAACTGTTCAAAAGACTCATTTACTATTTATTTATTTATATGACAGAAGCTACATGAAAACTCATTTTCACAACAAATTAAATACAAAAAAATTACCAATGCTAGATTTGTTTAAAATGGTTCAACCTGGGGGTGTGCTGTTTACTCATTGAAATGCTGTATAACCTAAATAAAACTAATAAAACAACATTTTCATTCATTTCTATTATATTAACTGTTATAATGATGCCAAATAAGTTTTTCATGCACAGAACACTCAATCATATTGTCTACTGTTCTTCTGTGTCAATTCTTGTGTTGAGTACAAAACTGAACTCAAAAAAGAAAAAGTTTCAGAAACTGCTCAGGTGGCCACAAAAGTAGCCAACCACTCTACTGCCAGAGGAGCAAACACAAATCATGTATCTGAAGTATTGTAGCACATTTCACAAATAATAATAACACAGTTCTGACTTGTATCTAAACTAGAAGTGCAGTGCTCTGATGTTCTGAACACTTAAAGAGTCTCAAAGCGAGTCGTTTTTCTCTAGGCAGGAAACAGCAGACATGAGGTGCGCTCACAGCTGTGTAGCCTGTGGTACGCAGCCATATTCTGCTGCAGTCTCTGCAATCTGAGTAGTAGCATCAGAGACATTTTGACCCAAGTAATTGATTTACATGATATATAGGAAGGGCCCTAAAATAGAGCCTTGTGGCACTCCTTTGTTGACAGAAATATACTCAGAAGAGAGAGCACAACATAAAACAACATGACTGACAGTGTCAAAAGCTTTTGACAGATCAATAAAAAGTAAAGCACAGTACAGTTTCTTATCAAGTATCGCAATAATATGATTTATCACCTTCATAGTAGCCCTGATAGTACTTTGCTTTTTTCTGAAGCCTATATTGTGACATTGCATCTTGCAGCCAGATTAGGTTTGATGAAGATAATTTTGACTTTATTAAACATGTGCTTTCCCAACCATAGAGAGTACATTATTGTGTCTTGTAAGGTCCTTTACTTTTTTGGCATTGTTTTCTGTTTTCACATTGTGCACAATATGCTCCCTGGGTTCTCTGCTGCTAACACCTGTGTCTTTCATTTATTTAGCTAAAGCATTCTGTGCACAAACTGCACTCAGGTCCTAAGGCCTACGGCTACCAGTGAAAAAATATTTTGGGGAAGTTTAGGAAGTTGACAAGAAGGAAAAAAAAACTGCTAAAATTATGTATAAAGCTAAGCTAATAGTTGCTATTGCAATTTCTATAGCCATGTTTTGATTGGCATGGTACAGTTGGAGCTGTTTTGGCACAGGTCAGTTTGGTGGGGCCACCTCCAACTGAGTTTTGTCTCAATGTCCTGGGCTTGGCTCCAGGGGCAACTGTAAGCATCTGACTTCACACAAACATAACAAATGTATTCTTACTAAATACAGTATAAATTGCACATAAAATATAATTTTACACACAATGTTTTTAGTAAATCTAAGTGTGTGGAGCTGTCAGATAGGACTACAGATACAGCAAGCAAGAAACTACAGTACTTCCAGTTTATTGTCAACCCTTTCTGCATTTATTTCACTTCTCAGCACCTCTACGTTGCAGTTTGGTAGTTAGTATCCCCCTGTGCTGGACCCCTAAAATGTGTTGGTACGATTTACTTAAGACAGTGAGAGCGCATTCCGACCGTACTGATGCACCCCAAAGCAAACCAATAGAAACATAGATTTAAGGTCAAAGCTTTTGCCAGTTTGTTCTATAAGTGTTTTTGGACAAAGTTTAAAAACAACAACTCACACTAAAGCCTCTAGAGCATTGTCAGTTCTAATAAAAGAGCTGCAGGTCTGGAATGGTTGTGGAGGAGCATGTTCACCACCTTTATTTGCCCACACCTCTGGACTGACTTCTGTTGCCACTATGCCATACAATAATGGCACCAGGATAAACCATTTCTTCATCACTGGATTTCCGGGACTCTCTGCTCAATACTATGCACCTGTGTCACTGATGCTTTTTATTGTCTTCTTGGGTATAGCTTTTGGCAATATATTTATTCTAGTACTTGTCAAATGTGAACGTTCTCTTCATAAACCCACTTACTTGATATTCGGTCATCTGGCGTTGACTGATTTAGCATTTGGAACTGTGACACTCCCTAAAATTATTTCCAAATACTGGTTCAATGATAGCTTGATACCATTTCATAGCTGTTTTGTCCAAATGTTTTTTGTCCATTTTTTAGCATCAGCTCACTCCTTTATTCTACTGGTCATGGCCTTAGATCGATTTTTAGCTATTTCCTTTCCTCTACGTTATCCTAGTGCTTTCACAAACAATACCGCATCTATTCTGTGTGGACTATCTTGGCTTCTTGCAATGTCTTTTATGATTTTTATAGTCCTAAATGCTCTTACATTGCCATATTGTAACTCAAATATTATTTATCAGTGTTATTGTGACCACTATACCATCACTAAATTAAGCTGTGACCCAATGCAGCATGTACAAACGATTTCTACAAGTGGGGCCATGTTTTTCTTGTTAGTGCCGTTGACTTTCATTATCTCTTCCTATTTTGCTATAATTGTGGCCATCATGAGGATTTCTACCCATGAAGGTCGTATGAGGACTTTTTCAACCTGCACTCCACAGCTTCTTATCACATTATTGTATTACACGCCAAGGTGTTTTGTGTACTTGACAGATTATGTAGGCTTTGGCTTAAGCCTTCCAAATCGCATTGTAGTTGTCATGCTCTATAGTCTGATACCTGCAGCAGTGAATCCATTGATATACTGCTTTAAAACAAAGGATATCAAAGAATGTTTGAGTAAAAGATATAAGATGGCAAAAGTTTATATTGGTATAACAGAACAATAACAATGATGGGTCTTTCAGCTCTTTTATGGGATTCATATATTTTAGATCCATTCATTTCAAACAGCTGTTCAAAAGACTCTTTTACTATTTATTTATATGACAGAAGCCAACGAGAGAAGTAATTTTTTTTTTTTTTTTTACAACAAATGGAATAGAGAGAAATGACCAATACTAGATTTGTTTAACATGGTTCCAGCTGGCAGTGTGTTGTTTACCCACTGAAATGCTGCATAACCTAAATAAAACTAATAATACAAAATTTTAATTATACTGATATCCTATTAAGTGTTATTATGATGCCAAAGCTCTCACTCATAGTGCCTACTCTGCTTCTGTGTTGATTATTGTGTTGAACTCAAAACTGAACTTAAAAAAACAAACGTTTTAAAAACTGCTCAGGTAACCACAAAAGCAGACAACCACTCTGCTGCCAGAGGAGCAAAGTGGTTTGTGGCCATACCGGCTTGTAAGAGTCTGATCCCGTCAGATCTCAGAAACTAAGCAGGCTGGGCCTGGGTAGTACTTGGATGGGAGACCACTAGGAATTCCAGGTGCCACAGTGGGGTGCCAGAGGCAAAAAACTGTCATTGTGTCCTTAGGCAAGACACTTCACCCACATTGCCTAGTATGAAAGTGGTGTGAGTGATGGTGGCGGTCGGAGGGTCCGATGGCGCAGATTGGCAGCCTTGCTTCTGTCAGTCTGCCCCAGGGCAGATGTGGCTACAGTAGTAGCTTACCACCACTGAGTGTGGAGTGACTGAATAATGAACTGTAAAGCGCTTTGGGTATCTTGAAAGGCGCTATACAAATGCAATCAATCAAAGACTAAGAATTAAGGAAGCTCATGATAGTGTGTGCATATCTAAAAACAAATCAATAGAGTACTTAATTCAAGTCAGGCCAGGTGGATTCTGGGAACTCACAAATATTTAGATTTTTCAAGGGACTCCTAGCCAAGAGGCAATAATTTAACACATAGTTACAATATACATATAAATATACAAACATACAAACAACAATAAAATTACATAATCACAAATTAGGAAAAACAAGTGCACATTATTGAGACAGTCTTTTACGCTTTCACTTTAGATTTAAAAGTGTTTACGGACAAGAGCTCAATCAGTTTCAGAAAACAGAAATCAACAATTGATCATTAGATCACAAGGAGTAAGAGTCAGCATTTCTCTGTGTGATTAAAATACAAATACAGGGAGACAGTTGTCCAAGCATAGCCTTGCTCATAGCTCTACAGTTTGTAATGAAGTGAAGCATGATTCAGTGTCAATCATTTGAAGACATGAAGAAGATGCATTCATATAAAAAAGATGTCCATAACCTCTTACAGCTAAGAAAGTTGCAGTGACAAGGTAATTTTTTACTGGGGAAAAAAAAAACACACACACACACAACTTATTACAGAAGAAGAAACCCAATTTAAGTTTTAGTTTCCTCACAACTTTTTCTATGTATGTTTAAAAGTGAGGGAGTCATCAATCAAGACACCAAGGTACTTATAATCATGAACCACCTCTATGACATTCCCTCCAAGAGTGTACACTGCTGGAAGAGTTTGAGGTACTTTCTAAAAGTTGGAACGCACATTTGCTTAGTCTTGTCAGCACTGTAGTTTTAACTGATGAAGTGAATGCTGAACAGCAACAAAAGCTTTCTGCAAGGATTCAATGGCCTGAGCAAGAGATAATCCATAGCAATAAATAATGGTGTCATTTGCATAAGGCCGCCACACACTACAGGAGAATTTGTCTTGCTTCTCTGAGAATTCGTGGAGGCGTGACCTGACCTTGTGTGCGATTTTGAAGTCGCAGCGCTCCTCCTGTGTGGTAATTCACACCAAAGCGCAACGGCGCGTAAGCGCAGCAGCACAGCACACGAGCAGCAGACGCGCAGCTTTAGAACTCCATTTTAACCGGTCTGACCGTTCACACCGACAGCGTCATACGCGCGTCCAACGAGCGTCTGACGCTGACGCGCTGCTCGAGATAGGTTGGAGTTCTAATTTTACAGCGTCAATGGGGCGTCTCCAAGGTTTTTAGCAGGGGAAAGACAGGAAATAAACACGCGAAGTCAAAATAAACTTCCGATACCCTTTCAAAATAATTTGACCAAAGTCAAGACAGCGATGTAAACAACGCGCACGTTATTTACGATGTCAGACACCGATTCTACAAGGACTCAGGACTAACCCAGAACTAACCCAGGACTAAACCAGAACTAAACCAGGACTCACTGTCGAAATGTGCTCGGAGGTCCTTCCGTGTAGCCCCGAGTGTTCGCGGGCGAAAGGACCAGTGCAGATCTTGGAGAAGAGGTACGTGCAGCCGTCGCGCTTTTCGGACACCTGCTCCGCGGGGCTCAGGGTTCGCTATCTCTCTCTCTCTCTCCAAGATTTGACCTGGTTTAGACCTGAATTAGTCCTGACCCGTCCTTAAAATTCCAGAACGTTAAAACTCGCCCGTTTCAGCGACTATTTTCCCTTATCCATCGGCGCAGGACTCTGTATCAACATATAAACGTATAGGCCTTATTACCTGGACGGACATGATTTTAATCACACTTATAATGTATGTTAATTATACGTGATTTTACCTTATTAAGGGAAAACAACTGAGGTGTTTAATGTGCGTGCTAATAGATTTAAACCTCATTAAACGCAAATGCGTTGCAGTTGTACACTTAATTCATAATACACTTAATACACATTCTAACTTAATACACTTTAACATAAAATAAATGATAAAAAGCAAGTACAAAATGTGATGTCTGAAAACAGTGAGAAGATGTGCAGGCTGGTGTGAATTGAAACTTTGAAATTTACGCGTACACGCAGCTCCGCCTACGTTAAGCGCTGCTGCAGCTCCTGGTGTGAATTCGGGGTCAGTGTGATTCTGAGCTGTTCTGTCAGATCTTAACCACCAAACATCATCAACACTACAGTAACAGCCTATAAAACAGAGCATCAGGGACTAAGGAGTGACGGACACAGGCGCAACATACAAACTCAGGAAATAGCAAGTTGTAAATATAAACTGGAGTGTCTCATCTACATTATCCATAGAATTAATGAATCCAAAGAAATAGTGATACCCAGTCCACAATCTCACAATCTGTTAATCCAGTTTGAAGTGTTCTTTAAAAGTAGTGTATTCTGTGCATTAAAATCTTAAGTATTGTACCACATATCACAACTAATAACACAGAACTACTACCAAACTACTACTACTACTACTACCAAACGTGGACAAATCGCTCCCTCTCCTTCAGTGGCCTACATACCAGAGCAAACGTTTTAGTCGCGTCTCCAAAGTGACTCTTGGGACACACGCAGCATGTGTCCGTCTGTATTCTGCACTGCACTCACCTGTGTCATGCGGCCTCCTCGTCTTTAAAAATGATGTCCGTGTTATAGTTCGGTGGTGTCAGCTCCTCTGCTATTTGGTACACCACCTTATATGATGCTAACAGTGCTCGCTGGTTTACTGAAGTAGCATTCGCAAAGCGGAATGATTGCATGATGGCAAAATTCAGCAAAACTCAAGCAGCTTATCAGCGTGATTGTAGTATAATGTTTTTAATGCTGTAATTTATTTGTTTTCATGCTGTCTGCTGCCAACATTTTTAGACACAGTAATGACACCGGTCTTTCCTCATTTCCCACCGTAGTCACAGTGAAGCCAAGCGCTACATGCTTTACACACAGTTTGTCCACTTCACCTCATATCTCCTGCTCTGTGCTATGTATGCGTATACTTGGTGCAAAAAAACGACACTATAGCACTCCCTACACACACTCTGACATTGTCACTGCCAACTACTGTAGTGGATGTGCAATTTCACTTTATTCTAGGATGGTAAGTTAAAAAAAAATAAATAAATAAAAAGTATGTTGCCTGAGGTCACAGGAGGGTGTACCCTGTGGTACGCAGCCATATTCAGGCTGCAATCTTTGTAATCTGAGATTAAAAGTGTCATAAGGTTATCCCTGTGTCTGTGGGGTGTGCTTTTTACTACATGTTTAAAATTTACTTAAGACCGAAAAATCCTGTAGTGTGTGGCAGCCTTAAAAATGCATATTAGCATCAGAGACATTTTGACCCAAGTAATTGATGTACATGATATATAGCCCCAAAACAGAGTCTCGTCACAAGAATCTTTGGTGTAAGTGCAATTTGACCACAGAATACTAAGATAAATTAAGTGTTGTTTCCATTTGGGCTGTGCTTTTGGTAGTGAATAATGCTGTATGTTTCTCCACTCTTCCATACCATTCACTATTCATACATAAGGCGTCTGGGGGGGACTGTCCCTTGCGTCTTATTTGCATACATGAGCAGAGTCTCCTCCAGAGTGAGCCTGCTATAAAGATGGGCTGAGAGCTTCATCCAGGTCAGGTCAGGGGTAGTAGTTGTTGTTGTTGTTGTAGTGTTTGCTCCCTGCTGTGTTCAAGTTACAATGATGCTCATCTCCAATGGTACCATTTTGAAAAACTTTATTATTGTGGGTTTTCCTGGACTGTCCCCGGTGTTTTTTGGACCAGTGTCTGTTCTGCTGCTCTTTGTCTTTTTAGCTATTGTTGTTGGAAACTCCTTCACAGTTGCTGTTATATATTTGATCAAATCTCTTCACAAACCCACCTACATAATATTTGTCAACCTGGCCATGACAGATATTGTATTTGCGATTGTGATTCTTCCTAAAGTCATTGCTCGATATTGGTGGGATGACTCTTTGACTCTCTTTGGTACATGCTTCACTCAAATGTATTTTGTACATTCTATGGGTGCCATCACCTCTTTAATACTCCTTTTAATGGCATTGGACCGGTTTGTTGCTGTATGGTTTCCATTGCAGTATCCAACTGTAGTCAATAACAAATCAATTTCCATAGCATGCTTTCTGTGCTGGTGTTTGACATTTATCCGGATGGTGGGTGTGGTATGTCATGCATTAAGCCTACCATACTGTGGTATCCATGGGAACATTATTTACCATTGCTATTGTGACCACCTGTCAATAACTCAGCTAGGCTGTGGAGATGAGGTCAAATATGTGAAGCTTGTGTCTCTAGGAATTGCTTTATTTGGTCTCCTGATGCCCCTGGCCTTTATCATTTTCTCCTACTTTTCTGTGATTGTGGCTGTAATCAGAATGTCTCAGGCTGAGAGTCGATATAAGGTCTTGTCCACATGTGCTCCTCAGATTTTTCTCACTTGTTTGTATTATGTTCCAAGATGCTTTGTGTACATAGCTCACAACCTGGGGGTCAAAATAAGCCCAGATAGCCAAGTCGTCATAGTAATGCTATACAGTCTTGTCCCTGCAGTTGTTAACCCACTCATCTACTGTTTCAAAACAAAAGACATTAAGGACGCTCTCACTCAGAGACTAAAGAACAGGAGAGTATATGATGGAATTTTGTTTACCAAATAGTTACTGACTTGACAACAACGTACGGAGTTGTAAAATAAACACATCTTGCAAAATACAGTAATCTATGTGTAGACCATTTGAAATGCTGCATAATCTAAATAAAACTAATAATATAATAAAACAAATAACATAATATTGTTGGATTATTAATATGTTTTTTTGTGCATATTGCTCTCACTTATATTGCCTTCTCTGGTTCTGTGCTGATTCTCGTATTGATTCAGTGTTCATTAATAGAAAAATGTATACACAAATTAGAAAGAAAAAGATTTGATTCTTTTAAATAATGAGATCTGGTTCCAACTGTTCACATTAAGGGGTTATTTAAAAGAGCTGACTCGTTCATAAATGTCACATCACTAAACAATAACGTGCTTGACAAGACAGAAGTACTGACAAAGCTGAATAAAATTGTATTAAACTATATTAAAATGCTTTAAAAGATGCACTATGTATCTTTTTGGTTGTGGGTCTGTCTACCTGCTTGTTTCAATGGATATGTCACTGCTCTGCCTGGAATGTTCCACAGTATGACATTAAACAGCTCTACTTTACATTACAGGTTGTTTTAAAACTCAAAAATATTTAGAAAAACAGGCATTCTGTGAGCGGGACTGCTTCTCCATCTGACCTGTAATTAGGTCTGATTTGGTCTCCATGAAATAGAAAGGTTTAATACCATACTGTGAAACATTCCAGACAAAGCAATAACAGCTCCATGAGGAAAAACATTTGATAGACCCTTCACCAAAAAAGTTACACAATGCACCTTTAAATAATCAACTGAATGCAGAATGTAAAGTTAAATAAACACTTTTTTTCTTACAAAATCCAGCTTGTCAAATTAGTGTCCCACATTTTGTCAACTCCATCTGACCTTTTCAAAAACCTCATTAAAAATGTTTGTTATCCCCCTAATCCTAATCTTGTAGTGTGTGGCGGCTTTTACTCTTCTGAATCCAGCAGCAGCACATACAGTCTGGAAACTTTTACAGTTTTTTAAATATTTAAGACTAACAATGTTAAAATTTGTGCCGTCACACCTGGAGAATGTCAACTCTGTCAGTCCATTATGATACCATTATTTAAACAGTACTGAAAGAAGCCTTGAGAATGGCCACAGCTGCAGTGTACCATATACTATATATTTAACAAGGTAAAAACATGCACTATGTGAATGCCATCAGTTTTGAAATTTGACGGATTTGACCAGTCACTGACGGAGTTGACAAATCCATGTGTAGCATCTAAATGTGCAAATACAATATTATATGTGAACTTATAAATTTGTTAGATTGTCATTTCACAGTTTAAGTTATATACTATATGCTTAAACTCAGCATAAATAATATAATTTAAACCAGGCCTGTCCAAAATATGGCCCGTGGGCCAAATTCGGCCCTCAGACAATTTTTCTTGGCCCTCAGGCTTCCAGAAGAATTGGCCCAAATTACCTGCATCAATTAAAAAATACTTTTTTATTGCAAGTTTATTGAAAATCTACCTTGATAAAGCTCATATTTAATATTTAGTGTGTGGTTTTAAGGATCGTAGAGTGAATAAAGACTGATGGCTCATTCTAACGTGTTAAACATGCACATATTTCAGTTATTCACTGTACTGAGCACCGGTCTACGGCCCTCGATCGGCCCTCTACTTTGTCTGTGTTTAGATATGTGGCCCTTGATGAAAAAGTTTGGACACCCCTGATTTAAACTATCAAGTTAAATGTGCAACAGAGTTGACATTTTAGGCTAATGGAGTTGACTAAATAATTAAATGTTTAATGTCCAGTTTTCTTAAGAAAAATATATAACTGAATAGATTATTACATTTTCATCTCTTGAATATAGTACTAACATTTGTCACTTACAGTATATTATGAGCCTGCTATAGCCTAATCATGTTTTGACACTAGTGCTTCAAAGGGTCTAATGCAAAGTATAACACGTAAAATCACTAATACCAGAATTAAAACTCATTGATGGGCAGAGGAATGGGTGAAGAAGAGGAGAGAAACACTGGAGGAGCGCGGGAGAGGTAGAGGACGATAAAGAGTGGATGCAGACAGACAGATGGGGTTGAAGCAGGAGGGAGAGTGGACTTTCCTCTCTTAGAGTTAGTTTGGTGGCTGAAATTGAAATAATTGTCAGTGTTGTGAAGTATGGTCAGTGTTAACCTATAGTATCTGTTTTCATTTGGATTAAAACATGTTTGCCCGGTTTTCAGCAATGTTCACACATTTTTGTCAACTCCGTCAGGTTTTTGTCAGCTCTGTATTGCGCTTAGTCCATTCGAGTAAGAGCAATTTGAGCACAGAATACTTAAATTACACAGAATACTAAATTAATTAAATAAGATAAATTAAGTGTTGTTTCCATTTGGGCTGTGCTTTTGGTAGTGAAAAATGCTGTATGTTTCTCCACTCTTCCATACCATTCACTATTCATACATAAGGCGTCTGGGGGGGATTGTCCCTTGCGTCTTATTTGCATACATGAGCAGAGTCTCCTCCAGAGTGAGCCTGCTATAAAGATGGGCTGAGAGCTTCATCCAGGTCAGGTCAGGGGTAGTAGTTGTTGTTGTTGTTGTTGTAGTGTTTGCTCCCTGCTGTGTTCAAGTTACAATGATGCTCATCTCCAATGGTACCATTTTGAAAAACTTTATTATTGTGGGTTTTCCTGGACTGTCCCCGGTGTTTTTTGGACCAGTGTCTGTTCTGCTGCTCTTTGTCTTCTTAGCTATTGTTGTTGGAAACTCCTTCACAGTTGTTATTATATATTTGATCAAATCTCTTCACAAACCCACCTACATAATATTTGTCAACCTGGCCATGACAGATATAGTATTTGCGATTGTGATTCTTCCTAAAGTCATTGCTCGATATTGGTGGGATGACTCTTTGACTCTCTTTGGTACATGCTTCACTCAAATGTATTTTGTACATTCTATGGGTGCCATCACCTCTTTAATACTGCTTTTAATGGCATTGGACCGGTTTATTGCTGTATGGTTTCCATTGCAATATCCAACTGTAGTCAATAACAAATCAATTTCCATAGCATGCTTTCTGTGCTGGTGTTTGACATTTATCCGGATGGTGGGTGTGGTATATCATGCATTAAGCCTACCATACTGTGGTATCCATGGGAACATTATTTACCATTGCTATTGTGATCACTTGTCAATAACTCAGCTAGGCTGTGGAGATGAGGTCAAATATGTGAAAACGGTGGCTCTAGGAGTTGCTTTATTTGGTCTCCTGATGCCCCTGGCCTTTATCATTTTCTCCTACTTTTCTGTGATTGTGGCTGTAATCAGAATGTCTCAGGCTGAGAATCGATATAAGGTCTTGTCCACATGTGCTCCTCAGATTTTTCTCACTTGTTTGTATTATGTGCCAAGATGCTTTGTGTACATAGCTCACAACCTGGAAGTCAAAATAAGCCCAGATATCCAAGTCGTCATAGTAATGCTATACAGTCTTGTCCCTGCAATAGTTAACCCACTCATCTACTGTTTCAAAACAAAAGACATTAAGGACGCTCTCACTCAGAGAATAAAGAACACAAGAGTATATGATGGAATTTTCTTTACCAAATAATTGTTTAATTCAAGATGCTTACTAACAGCACTTGATGTACTTGATACACTTAAACAAAATAAACATATCTTGCAAAATACATAAAAAAATCTGTTTGGAACAACATCAAAATGTGATGACGTTTACGACGACATCTGATTCTACTGGGCTCCCACTGGAATCCCACTGGATTTCTATTGTACTCCATTGTTTTGGATCAATATTGCAATATAAAGTATTCAGAGTACAACATAAATTATCCACGAGTGTCTATATAACTACAGGGACTATATAGTAGACAAAAGCACAAAATGTCTTCTTTAAAAATATATGTGTAACTTTTCTGAATTTGTTCTGAGTAGTCATTGCCCATATGTCTCCATGGAAATGTTTTCTTAGTTTGACTGCAATGTTCCACAATATGACGAAACAAATAAACAAATCCAGCCAGCAAGCATTTACTAAATTACAGGAAACTTTGATTCGTGAAGATAGATGTTTAATGCCATTTTGTGGAACATTAACCACTAAAAATAACATCTCTATGGAGACAAGCAGCTGGCATACCTTCCTCCACAAAAGTTACACAGTGCATCTTGAACTGCATTTTAATTTAGCTGAGCTTCACTGTGAGAATCATTAACATAATTACAGGTTCATTATTTTGCCAAATGTTATGTATCTTCTTTTTTTTTTTTTTTATAAATGTTATGAGATTTAAGGCATGTTAAAATGTTGTTACATCATCAAAAACATACCCAGAATTCATTCACACAGTGTTTTTGTACTTTTCATTCAACCTTCAAAATAACCATTTTAACAGTTAGTAGAGATTGACATTCAAATTATCCTTAGTGTGTATGGAGTTTAAAAACACAGTAGCTGTATATCACATGACATCATAAGGTGAGATTGAGAGAAGAATTCAATATTTGATGAAGGATCATATCAGAAAATGTAATACGGGCCCTTTAAGTTTGGAGTGATGCCATTTTTGTATAAATCGCATATGAATACCAGCTTGATACCACATGTGCGAAGGCTGCTGTTACATATTGGTAAATTTTCAATAATTAATTTAAATTGTTTCCTCAAAATCACTTTGCATATCGCCGTCATAACTCTTCTCCACAGGCAGTTGAGTAATATTTTCTCCCACAGAAGTATATGGACTGCCGTCATAAAAACATGCACATTTGAAAAAAGTTAAAGTTGGGTCCTGAAAGCAACAGTCCGAGCAGGTGCATGTGGTGTCAGTGTCACTTCCAGAGATATCCATCGCACAATTTGAAAAAGTAAATCTCTTATTATTTTTATATTGCTCTACTGATGCAAAGAGTTTGTCTATCTCTTCAAATGTTAAACACTGTGGTGGCTTCATCGATTCTGTTCCAAGAGGTATCTTAGCGTGAAATAT